GTCCTAAGTGGGTAATGTTCACTGTGTTGGAAGTGCTTAATGCATAATGTTCAGTGTTGGAAGTGCTTAGTGGATAATGTTCACTGTGTTGGAAGTGCTAAGTGGCTAATGATCACTGTGTTGGAAGTGCTAAGTGGATAATGTTCACTGTGTTGGAAGTGCTAAGTGGATAATGTTCACTGTGTTGGAAGTGCTAAGTGATTTTTCCTTTAATTTTTCAAAATTCGTTTTGTTTTTGTTTTTTTTGTCCAGAGTATAATTTTAGTGCTATGATGTTGCAAATACCCTACTAACCAAGAGACAAATGGAGGATATCTAAGCCAGGACAATGGCAGTTCTACTTCAAATATGACAGCACGACAGAATGACTATAATTTCACCTCTAAAAACTTAAAGAGAGTATAAAAAACAAAACAATTCAACCAATCAAATTGTGATCATTTATATACACATTTAACATTATTTTGTACAATGATAAAAACTTCAACAATAAGTTACAGCAATTGTTGTTGCCTTGCAAATAAATACACTTGCTATTACAATTTAAAACAGTTTAATATAATTTTAAAACAAATCAAATAAACTAAAATCTTCTTTATAATTAAGTGGGCTTTTATACAAACAAAATAAATAAAATAAATACATAAATATGTTTTAACTATACATGTACATTTAACTGCCTAATTTTAAGTTCATTCATCACTTGATTAAAAATAATAAAATGTAATATGACTTTTACTTAACTTTAACCATATGTTTAACTTGTTTACAAGTAAGTAAATGTCTTACCAATGGTTATTTTGCCAACTTATTTTATCTTTTTCTGGATTTACATGTATATATCACCATCTTACTCCAGTTGTCATTTCTAGGAAATATCTTAAGTGAACTTGTCCAACAAAACCATTCATCATTTTGAGAGAAATTTTCGAAAAATGAACCAGTGCAGAACAGTGCAGAAAATGACCAGACAGCACAGATGTGTGAGCTAATTTTACTCTTGGTCTGCATTGGACGTACGGGTTGCAGATTTTTTTTTTTAAATGCAAAAGGCTTGCTTCACAACACTTTCTTATACTTTGTTAATCAGGGAAAAAATCATCAAAATGGGGGAGATCACTTAAGAAAAATGAAAACTAAAAGATTCAAATGTGATCATTACAGACTAGGTTTGATTACGTCCCTTTATGAGATAAATGAAATGAAGCTTCCTACCACCAGCTTAACCCTCAAACTGCTAAATTAATGCAATGGATTAGCCTTGCTCTAAATTTGGAATAGTCCATTCACATCAGTTAGTAGGTATTTGGTTACATAAAATTCAATCTTGAAAACAAAAAGTATTGTAAATGAGACTAATTTAGGGTCCTTTATATCTTAAGTAACTGAAATGTAATTAAATAAAAATTGTAAAATTGCATCCAATTTGAGAGTACACTTTATCTGGATGTAGATTTGTAAATAAATTTCATATTTCCCTAAATATAGCTAAATACGCACAAACCTCACGAACACTTGTCCATAATTTATCCCAATGTTATATCAGGTAATGGTGAGAAAAAACAACAAAACATTAAGGTAGTCTTATGCCTTAGCTACAACTACTGAACTTACTAAATGCACTGTTAAAATGTTCACTGGAACTTGAAGCAGTGTCTGCTGTTGAAAGCAACAGTGTGTTTCAAAGGATTATAGAAAATTTGTCAATTTTCACAACTTGAAGAAGAAACTATTCACGGGTACCTTTCAGTATGCATGTTCATAGCTGACAAACAAACATAATCAGCAATAAATACATTTTGTACTGACCATAACCCTGCTAAATTAATGTAATGAACCTGTCTCACTTTTGAGATTGAAACAGTTCATTAGCATTCGATGGGATTTTAATATAAAAGCACCCAACAGTATAGAGTCGAGTCCAACTTCATGTTATTAATATCACTGCTAACATAAAGTTCAACAATGGAAGAAATAATTAACTTACAAACTAGAAATGTGTCCATAGGACACGGATGCCCCCACACGTTACTGTTCTGTCAATCTTATGACTCTAGGTCAAATATTTTTTGGACTACTGTTATGTGCCACAAGTTGAAAACTAAAAATCAACAAAGGGCCATAATTCTGTTAAATTTGGTCGCAGCAAAAATTCCTTCCTTTACTACCATCTACACATTAAGGTTGTTAATCCCTGGAAGTTTAAGCAAAATCTGCCATCTGGTTTAAGAGGAGTTGCGTTCACAAAATTTCTACATAGTATATAATGAAAAAATCAACAAAGGGCCATAATTCTGTTAAATTTGGTTGCAGCAAAAATTCCTTCCTTTACTGCCATCTACACATTAAGGTTGTTCATCCATGGAAGTTTAAGCAAAATCTGCCATCCGGTTTAAGAGGAGTTGCATTCACAAAATTTCTACATAGTATATAGTGAAAAAATCAACAAAGGGCCATAATACTGTAAAATTTGGTCGCAGTGAAAATTCCTTCCTTTTCTACCATCTACACCTTAAGGTTGTTCATCCCTGTAAGTTAAAGCAAAATCTGCCATCCGGTTTAAGAGGAGTTGTGTTCACAAAATTTCTACATAGTATATAGTGAAAAAATCAACAAAGGGCCATAATTCTCTTAAATTTGGTTGCATCATTTGCTTCCTTTACTACCATCTACACATTAAGGTTGTTAATCCCTGTAAGTTTAAGCAAAATCTGCCATCCGGTTTAAGAGGAGTTGCGTTCACAAAATTTCTACATAGTATCTAGTGAAAAAATCAACAAAGGGCCATAATTCTGTTAAATTTGATCGCAGCGAAAATTCCTTCCTTTACTACCATCTACACATTAAGGTTGTTCATCCCTGTAAGTTTAAGCAAAATCTGCCATCCGGTTTAAGAGGAGTTGCGTTCACAAGATTTCGGGACGTACGGACGGACTGACGGATTGACGGACGGACGGACAAGTGCAACGCTATATGCTCCCACATTGTGGGGGCATAAAAAGCTGTTATACAGTTATTCTTGAGTATAGAAACATAAAAAATTATTTGCATACATATGTACTAACTATGTCATTTGATTTTAAAATTGTACAGGTGAAAAAAATCCTATGACAGTAATTGTTCTACATGTACTATAATGATAGTTCCTGACAGTACTCATTACAAACACTCTTTACAATGATGTAAAACAACAATGGGGTGTGCAATGTTAGAAACATGACAGTCAGATTTTATACATTTAACAATGTTTGTACATCAAATAGTGTTTGCCATATCAAAGATTTTCAACATTTAATACTGGAGGCATACAAAACATAGCGCAATTCCTATAACTTGTTTATAAATTCCATGAATCAGAAATGTTTTAGAATGAATTCTATGATCAAATACACAAAACTGTCAATTTCATCCTTATGTACAAGGACAATAAAAATAATAATACCCCCACCAGCAACTTTGAATTTTGAAAAAAAAGTAGTCTGAAGAAAAATTTGAACAAAAACTATCAACTGTGTACAAAGAAATATTTCAATTAATTGTAATCACAACTGGGGTCTTGAAATAAGCTTGCTATACACCAAGTTTGATTACAATATCTCATTCCTAACTCTAGTTAATGTCCGGAAACCATTTTTCTATTTTAAATAACACTATAACGGTGACCTTGACCCTAGGGGGTCCAAATGCAATACCAACCCAGGTCTTCATATAAGCTTCCTATACACCAAATAAGATTATAATATCTCATTCCTAACTCTAGTTATTGTCCGAAAAGCATTTTTCTATTTTTCGTAACAGTGACCTTAACCTTGACCCCAGGGGGTTCAAATGCAATACCAACCAAAGTCTTCATATAAGCTTGCTAAACACCAAGTTTGATAACAATATCTCATTCCTAACTCTAGTTATTGTCCGGAAACCATTTTTCTATTTTTAGTAACACTCTAACGGTGACCTTGACCCTAGGGGGTCCAAATGCAATACCAACCCAGGTCTTCATATAAGCTTCCTTTACACCAAATTAGATTACAATATCTCATTCCTAACTCTAGTTATTGTCCGAAAACCATTTTTCTATTTTTCCTAACGGTGACCTTGACCTTGACCCCAGGGGGTTCAAATGCAATACCAACCCAGGTCTTCATATAAGCTTGCTATATGCCAAGTTTGATAACAATATCTCAATCCTAACTCTAGTTATTGTCCGGAAACCATTTTTCTATTTTTAGTAACGGTGACCTTGACCTTGACCCCAGGGGGTCCAAATGCAATACCAACCCAGGTCTTCATATAATCTTGCTATACACCGAGTTTGATTATAGTATCTCATTCCTAAGTCAAGTTATTGTCCGAAAAGCATTTTTCTATTTTTCGTAACAGTGACCTTGACCTTGACCCCAGAGGACCCAAATGCAATACCAACCCAGGTCTTCATATAAGCTTGCTATACGCCAAGTTTGATAACAATATCTCATTCCTAACTCTAGTTATTGTCCGGAAACCATTTTTCTATTTTTAGTAATGGTGACCTTGACCTTGACCCCAGGGGGTCCAAATGCAATACCAACCAGAGTTTCCATATAAGGTTGCTATATACCAAGTTTGATTACAATACCTCATTCCAAACTCTAGTTATCGTCCGGAAACCATGATGTGGACCGACCGACGGACCGACCGACCGACCGACCAACCGACCGACCGACCGACCGACAAGCTGACTCCTATATACCCCCCCTAAACTTCGTTTGTGGGGGTATAAATACAAAGACAAATTCACAGTGACAAAAGAAATATCAATTAAAACATGATGTGTTGATTAAAGGATTAAAGAAAACTTACATTACATGTAATACCAGTATTCCTATGGTTTTGATTTTCATTTTGTTTACAACAGATATATATATATATATATATATATATATATATATATATATATATATATATATATATATACCCTTGATTCTAGCAGTGAAATAATTTGCCAATGCCACCAAAAATGAGCCAGATCTCATGAAACATCATATCCATCTTTAAGTTTGGTCACATTGCATGGATTAGTACAGCGGTTTGGCTCTATACGGCTGGATTAGATCTATTATAACTTATAGCTGGCAATATTAGTATCTATTGATAGTATGTTAAAATTATTCCTACCCGTAAAAAGGATTTAAGTTAATGTTCTTCACTGTAAAAAGGCTTGTTCTAAACTGGTATATACTGGTGGCAATGGATAATCACTTTTGGTTCCGGTTCAAGAAGGTAATGGGTTAAAACATAAAATTTTATTCCTAATTCCATTATATTGTAGATATTGTAGTACAATCTTTTTTTTTCCCCGCCAAAAAATTAATAATGAAAGTTGTTGAAAATATACTTCACATCAATTCGAAAGGCATGCACTTTAAAATAACAACTGAAATAACATTATTAGCATGTAACCATAAAATCACTGGCCTATAAACATTAAATCTTAAAATGCCTTCATTAAAATGCCTACATTTCTATGGTTCATTTCTTGGTCAACATAAAAATATGTACATCATAAAATTTAACTTTGAAGAAAGGACTTCTTAAGCACTGTTAAAATCAGAAGGTATCACATTTGAAAAAAACAAACAATTTAAATAGCAATTTAAAACATTGAAATAAATAATAGAAATAAAATTCTGGAAGCATAATGTTTCAATATCACAAAACAGTATGATTATCAATTACTAATAAACAATTACAGTAAACAGATTTACCTCCAACTAACAACCTTGATACTGATTATATTTAATGCCAATATTAGTCATGGTTTTTGACATAAATCTCAGATCATATTATCTGAACTTGCTTGCCTATAGATGTTATTTTTCTAGGCAAACAAACTTTTACCATTACAGCTTCACCGTGCACTACTTGTCACAATAGGTTAGTCACCCTGACTAAAATGTAACTTTAAATGTTTGATTGTACCCATGGATTAGCTGGGAAAACTTAAAATATCCTTAATTCCACCGTAAGTCTATTGTTAGCTTACATGTCCATTATACAGTCATTGTTATGCCCTGGAAATTAGACACAGTGGTCACATTAAATGAAATGTCAATTTGACAATGGCAAAAAATCACAATATGTTGTCAATGACTACCAATTAAGCCATGTTTATCCATTCCTGTTAACGGCAAAATTTTCAAACATTCATGATTACTCTCCTCTGTACTATATACAGCTTGATAAAAACTGGTCCGCTTTTTGAAAAGGATCTGCTATGTCATTAACAACATATCAACATTCTTGCTAACTCATTATGTAGGCTAACGACTACACCTTTTCATGCATCCTTTTCAGAATCTATCCATTTTCTATAGGCTTCTAAATTACTCCTCAACATGATTGCAACATGGCATAAAGTTCCCTTTAACATGGATATCTGTAAATGACAGAATTATCTGCAAATGACAGAATGGCTTTTTATTCAGCGACACTCGGCACTCGGCTATTTATGAAAGCCTAACATAATTTGTCATACCTAGTTCACAGAATTGTTTCTTTAGAATCTGCCTTGGCTATTTGCCATATTATAGTCTTTCATGCGACCTTTAAACAGGGTCTGTTCACTAGTCTCCAGGAAACCCTATGGACAAATACTCGATGGACAAATGTACAGTGAGCCCTTGTTCAATGGGCAAATATATGAAGTACAAATGTACGATGTACAAAATGTACCACAGTGCGATGGAAGCCTATTTATCTATATCACAGTCCAAGCTTGGCCAAATTCACCTCTTCTTCACAGAGTCTCGTACCTAGAAAATAAAGTATAATCATGCTAATATTTCACCCTCATTATAAATTCATACATTGTAACTAATGTACTATAACTAAGTCAATAATGATACAGCAAAATTGCATGGACATCAAATTCTAGCTGATCATGAACTATCTGATCATGAACTATCCGATGACAAGATCATTCAATACAAACACACTGGGGGTGGAGAGGTGGGATGGGCGCGTATTACTAAACACCGGTATATTACTAATGATACATTGATAAAAAGAATATTAATAAAAGCTAATTCTGATGGTAATTACATATGTAAGGAGCCTTTATTTAGTATTAGATTACACAAGGATGATAAATAAATAGCTTCATTACTGGCTACATCTGGTTAATTCAGAAAAGGTGTACTATACAAATTTTAATAATTATTATAATTCTGCAAAGTTAGAACATGTGGACAGAGTGTACATAATCCTTACTGATAGATCTCTTCTTTTATACATATGCATAGAATGTGCAGAAAAAATCCTTGTAACTAATTTTATTGATGAAAATTTCAAAATTAAAACCCCCTTTAAATTTATGTGTCGGCCAGTTTTGGCAGCATTTAAGGAGGGGAGAGGGACATTTTTCAGGGTTGTTGGGTTTACTTTTTATTTATTTTTTATACAATTATAACCTTCATTTTTTTATCTTTTAGAGGGGAAAGAGATAGGAATATGGGAGGTAAATAGTTCTGGTAGATAATTTATTTACAATCACAATCAAAATCTATCTATAATTCTTAAGTCAATTTTTTTCATTTGAATGTGATGAAAGAGCATCTTTAACAATCATATTTTATAACATTACACCCTGATCTCCACCATACCTGTTATTCATGCATAGAAATGTAGTCAAATATAGAAACAACATGCTAGAACAATAATTAGTCCTGTCTCTGTAAATTTAATATTTGTTAGTATATCAAATTACCATGATGATTTTAATTTGTGTATCAACATAAGCATAGACTGTGCATTTGATGAACAATTTTGTTTAATCAACATGTAAATAAAAGGAACAAAATGATATACACTATGGTATCATAATTATTTCTAATTAAGTTAAAAATTGGTAAAAATTTAGAGAAATAAGTCAAAGCTTAGGAGAAGTTGGTAAAAAAAATTGGATAAATTGGTATAAGTTTTAATAAATTGGTTTAAGTTTTGGAGAAATTGGTAAAAGCTTTGGATAAATTGGTCAAAGCTTTGGATAAATTGGTTTAAGCTTTGGATAAATTTGTATAAGTTTTGGATAAAAATTGGTAAAAGCTTTGGAAAAATTGATAAAAACTTAGGTTTTACATGTACGTCATACCAACACAGTAAGGGTCATATGTTTACTTTCCAGCTTTAATAGTAGAGATGTCATTCGGTACAATAAATGAATACAAAGGCAACAACACAACATTGGTGGTATATCATTTTCTAATTTCTTTTTTGTACATGTTGATTATTAAATAGAATTAATACCATCATAAACATGTTTAAAGCTATATAATGCCGACTGTTATTGGTTTAATAACTGTTTGTTACATCAAGATAAAAATTTTGCTAATGAAAATGAATTGGAAATACGATGTTCACAGATTTTTGAAAAGCTTCCAGCATAGGTGTGGAATCATTGACAGCCTATGGAAAATAGCTATGTAACACATTTTGAAATGATTCCTTTTGTAAACCTTTAACATTCGTGTTACAGTCATGACTGAAACACTTGTTTTAAATCTGATTTCAGAATTGGCCATCAAAAAGAAATTTTGTCAGTAAATAGCTTTAAACTTGTTATGCCTATACCCTGCAAATAAAAGAATACTTCAAAAAATGTTAGTGTATTAGTAGTAACAAAGTTTTAATTATTTTAACTTTGCCTGAAAAAAATATTTTAAACTGTTAAAACATGCAAATATTAGTGTCATAACATTTACTATGTTACAGAACTCAGATTTTTTTATGATTCAATCAATGATATAGACGTGTCAAAATCAAAATGTCTATCTTATCATAATTTTAATTTTTAAATTAAGCTGCAGAGCTTATGTTAAACTTGATTCCTAAAGTAAATTTAATATCATTCAAATTGCTCCTCTTTTTAAAGCCACAATCAGTTATATATACACAAATGTACTGAGTTCTGAAACTGTACAACTTAAAATTATCCTTACTTTGTGCCTGAACAAAAAGTAATTATCGTTTAGTTATCCATTTAAGCTGGATTGACACCACCCCATTCCCTCATAGATTAAACAAACAAAAATATGTTTGTTGGATTGGTTTTATGTCACACTGACACAGTTTAGGTCATATGGCAACGTTCCAGCTTTTACTGGTGGAGGAAGACCTCAGGTGCCTTTTTGTGCATTATTTCAGGCACGAGCATGCATCTCAGAGTAGAACCACAGACGTTCTGTAAGCTAGCTGGATAGCTTGCTCACATGAAAGAATCCAAAGTCCCTGTCGGGATTCAAACCCACAGTGGTTAGAAAAAATATACTAAATTGGTGTAAAAACCATCAAACAAACAATAATAGGGTTTAAAGTTATTTTTCATTTTTTCAGGCACAAAGCATTCAAGTAGATAATCATCCATTAAACATCAATTAATCATCAAAATCCATCAATCCTTTCCATCTTTTCACCAGAAATTCCTTGCCTAGAAACAATAAGTAAGACTAAGAAAATAGTTCCTCACTATATTTTTCAAGCAATTCTTGCCAAACTTTTGAACTTAAAGGCAAAAATTTTAACTTCCTGAAAAAAAGAATATCAAATAAAATATTAATTACACATACACAGGTCATTACATTCTTCAAAACTATTATAAATATTTTTAATTATGGTGAAGAATAAAGCAAGATTGAGTAGGACAGCCAAACCATTCTTTGAAAAGTCCAGCTAAAAACTACTATGCTAGTTTGTTATAAGTTACTTTAAATTTAGTATAATTTGTTAAAAGTTATTATAACATTGGCATAATTTGCTGTAAGTTACTTTAACATTAGCATAATTTGCTATAAGTTACTATAATTATGTAAACATTATTTGTTGTAAATTACTTTAACTTTAATCTGTTAAAAGTTACTATAACATTAGCATAATTTGTTATGAGTTATTATAACTTAAGCATAATTTGTAATAAGATACCATTACATTAGCATAATCTGTTAAAGGTTACTATAACATTGGCATAATTTGTTATAAGTTACATATAATATATAACATATTTGAAGTATGTTATGAAAAAATGAATAACAGTGGTTTATTGATCAGAGATACATAGTTATATTCTATACCTAGATTAGAATATATTAACTAAGCTAGTTTACAGTAAAGAAACTAAAATATCACATTCCACATTTGCCTTCTAAGTAGTGAAATTTAATATCTCTGTGTAACAAAATAAGCATCATTACTGAATAAATTACTAGACATTAAAATATCAGGTTCAGCAATAGCAAATGAGAACAGGCTATCAACTTAACACCGATTGAAATGCATCAGCTTGGTTCTACATTTCCATACATAAATAGGCAAGGACTTTAGCTTAATATCGCTGAGCAAGGGCTTAAGCATAATAACATATAGCAGAGAAAGGACTTAAGCATAATATTGCCGAGCAAAGACAATAATGCAGAGAAAGGGCTTTAGCATAACAACAGAGTAAGGACTTTAGCATAACTATGCAGAGCAAGGGCTTAAGCATAATTATGGTTAAAATTGGATGATTAAATGAGTATGTTAAATGGTATGGTTTTAATTTATATTCACAATTTGATTTACAAATTAATAACTAGCACCTATAATTTCAATAATTTATAATCTGATGTGTTATGGTACCTTTCATAAAAATGAAAATTTTTGTATTATACATTCTGTGTCTATGTACAACTACTGTACTTTTCTGACAGATAGAGAATTTCGGTTATTATGTAGGTCATTAGTACTAACAATGTCTGCGGATACTAAAATCAAACATTTTATATCTTTATAAAGTACGCATTGATTGCACTTATAAACATTGAACTTTTATATCGCTTTGTAAATACCATGAATGTTTACGTGTAATAAAATCGCCACTTTAATTAGTCTTAAAATAGAACTTATATATTATATAAAAATAATTATCTATAATAAAGCCTATAATACCTCCACATAAAACAAAGCAGACACACTTAATAGGGCTGTTATTGTCATAACATAAGGGTAACGGTTCTCACGGAAAGCTCTCTAAATTGTCAATTAGTCTGGTAACCTAGCAACCAGTCTTGACTGGTAACAGTCAACACTTTTTAATAAACACACCTTTTTTTATTCAATAACAAGAGTCAGACAATAAAAACCTAAATTTATATATCAAAATATCATTATAATTTCTTTTCTTTGTGTTTTCTCTGTTTCCACCTTATTAAAAAAACAGCAAACTTCTTAAATGATACAAAATTAGTTTCATTAACAAAACATAATGTATAGCAAAATAAGAATAACTCTATAGTTCAGTAATTATCTACAATAATTTCATTTTCCAGAATACAATGTGTCCAATAAAAAATCCTACTGAAGATTAATTTTCTTCCGCAAAAAACACGGAATCAAAGTACAAGACAAACAAAAAAGTACAAGAAAACCAAAAAAAGTACAAGCTCTTGTTTGCTTTACAAAACATCTGTAGACATTTTTTTTTTTTAAATCACACCAGCACTATTAAGTTCTTATGTGGACTTTTCAGCTATATTGACACAGGAAGCATCAGGTACCCCTCAAGAGCCCTTGGAGACACATAAGTAGAACCATCGACCAATCCTAGCCACCTGGGAAGCTACCTCAGATGGAAGAATTTGAAATTTTGAACAGAATTTTTAGTCAATAGAGGAAAAGGGCAAATGATTAACCATTCAACCACAAAGCCCCCTCGAGTTCAGAAAATACCTGCCCTTTATCAATAAATGCCATAAAACCAATGATTTAGCATCATTTAGCTTAAATTCACTTATGCATATCATTAAACAAAGAAAGTAACATTACAGTAATGTGATACGGCTTATATTATTCTTCATTGCAGTCATATCATCATGGTTTTCTTTTTGTTAAAAACAAACAACAATAATTTTGTTAAAAACAAACAAAACAACATTTTTTGTTAAACACAAACAAAACAACAACAAAATTTTACTTTTCTTTTCAGTTGAAAACAAACAAAAACAACAACAACAAATTTGCATTGTAAGTAACTTACCTCTTTTCTTCAGTCTCCATGAAGCTTTTCACCTTTTCCATAGCCGGTGCCCGACCTAGCAACTGTAGGAACCGTAAGTATAAGAATGCAAGCCAGAGTTTCCAACTCTCAGCCTTCACCCTGTAGTCATAAACCACCCGCTCCCACCAGGCCTGAGCCCTTGATACAACAGTGATGTTCTCAGCTTCTTTATGGTATGTACCAGTGATAGCACTAAATAACACAGATAAAAATATATTATTCACATTTGACAATAAACAGAAGTTCTTTACATATCCTTAAAGTAAGATTTTTTTGGGTTTTTTTTTTTTTTTTGTTTTACGTCACACCAATACAGTACCAGTCATATGGCCACTTTTCATCTTTACTGCTGGAGAGGACCTTAGGAGACATTATTATCACTGCAAGCACAAACAGGCACCTGAGTAGAACCATCAGCGTAACATATAAGCTAGCTGGATAGCTTCCTCACATGAAAGAACTTGAAGATGCTGGTTCAGAACAAACCTACAGCAGTGAGAGGCAAGTGGGTAGTGGATTATAGTCAATGACCTTAATCACTTTGCCGCGGATGCCCCTCCTTACAGTTTAAATTCATCAGAAAATAACAGCTAATCCATAACTGTTATGGTAAGAATATCCTTAATTCGTAAAATTGTTTAAATGCACCTTTCCAGCTTCTATTTTTGTAACTGTCTATTAGTAATTTAGAGATAGTTATGCAAAAGTAAAATTCCTGGTTAGCCTGCACAAATGTACAGGTCCGCTTGGCTTTATACTGGTGGCAAAGGCTTTCAGTTCCAGCAGGGTAAGGCGGTAGTGAGAACCACTTGTTGTGTTAAAGGTTATTACCCAAGAAATCTATACACGGGTGACTCAAAACACTGTCAAAATTTATTTTTTTGTAGGACACAGATATTTCTCTATTCAGCAGACACTGTAGTTCTTCAGGATGAAAGGTTGAAAGGTACAATGCCTATTAAAATCTAATCCAAAAGACTTGTTTGTAAATTTAGTTTGTGAAGTTACCTTTTTGCCATGATGCCATATCTGTCTACAGGATTGCCATGTTCTCTTAAAATGGCTCGAACTGTGTTCATGTTCCTAAAAAAATCACAATGTTCCAAAGATATCAACATGTTCCTTAGAATATAATATGTTCCAAAATAATATATGTTCCAAAAAGTATCAATATATTCCTTAAACTATCAACATGTTCCAAAAATAATATAATATGTTCCAAAATATACCAGTAAGTTCCTTACAATATCAGTATGTTCAAAAATATAACAATATGTTCCGAAAACTTTCAATATGTTGTGCATAACCAGCATAATCCTAAAAGTTTCAAAATGTTCCTTTAAGTATCAACAAGATCCTAACTAGAACTCCGCGAGTCGGATGTGTCGCCTTGTGAACAATATAGTTTAGGAGAAATGGCCAGGACAAAAATGAAATATGAAAACTAACAAAGGGTAATATCTCAAAATATAATAAGTGCAGAGAAGCAGTTTCTGTGCACTGCACTTCTTATCAATAAGATCTATCATTCTATGAAGTTTCAAGTCCATATCTTTTATAATTTATGAGAAAAAGCCTGGACAAAATAAAGTATGAAAATTAATAAAGGGTGATAACTCACAAATAAGAAGTGCAGAGTACCGGTTCTTGTACACTGCACTTTTTCTTAATGAGATCTATCATCCTATGAAGTTTCATGTCCATAGCTTTCATACTTGAGGAGAAATAACCAGGACAAAATTAAAGTATGAAAATTAACAAAGGGCAATAACTCAAAAATTAAGAACTGCAGAGTACTGGTTCTTGTGCACTGCACTTCTTCTTAATGTGATCTATCATCCTATGAAGTTTCAAGTCCATAGCTTTTATACTTTCGGAGAAATGGCCTGGACAAAAATTAAGTATGAAAATTAACAAAGGGCAATAACTCAAAAAATAAGAAATGCAGAGTACCAGTTCTTGTGCACTGCACTTCTTCTTAATGAGATCTATCATCCTATGAAGTTTCAAGTCCATACCTTTTATACTTTAGGAGAAATGACCATTCCAAAAAAAAAGTATGAAAATTAACAAAGGGCAATAACTCAAAAAATAAAAAAATGCAGAGTACTGGTTCTTGTGCACTGCACTTCTTCTTAATGAGATCTATCATCCTATGAAGTTTTAAGTCCATGGCTTTTATACATTGGGAGAAATGGCCCGGACAAAATTAAAGTATGAAAATTAACAAAGGGCAATAACTCAAAAATTAGGAAATGCAGAGTACAGATTCTTGTGCACTGCACTTTTTCTTAATGAGATCTATCATCCTATGAAGTTTCGAGTCCATAGCTTTTATAGTTGAAGAGAAATGGCCCGGACAAAATTAAAGTATGAAAATTAACAAAGGGCAATAACTCAAAAATTAAGAACTGCAGAGTACTGGTCCTTGTGCACTGCACTTCGGGTTATTGAAAGAAGCATCCTATGAAGTTTCAAGTCCATACCTTTTATACTTTAGGAGAAATGACCATGCCAAAAAAAAAGTATGAAAATTAACAAAGGGCAATAACTCAAAAAATAAAAAAATGCAGAGTACTGGTTCTTGTGCACTGCACTTCTTCTTAATGAGATCTATCATCCTATGAAGTTTTAAGTCCATGGCTTTTATACATTGGGAGAAATGGCCCGGACAAAAATAAAGTATGAAAATTAACAAAGGGCAATAACTCAAAAATTAGGAAATGCAGAGTACCGGTTTTTGTGCACTGCACTTCTTCTTAATGAGATCTATCATCCTATGAAGTTTCGAGTCCATAGCTTTTATAGTTGAAGAGAAATGGCCCGGACAAAATTAAAGTATGAAAATTAACAAAGGGCAATAACTCAAAAATTAAGAACTGCAGAGTACTGGTCCTTGTGCACTGCACTTCGGGTTATTGAAAGAAGCATGCATACCAAGTTTGAAGTCAATCAGACTTATAGTGACTGAGTTATGCTCCGGACAAGCTTTAGGGGACGCCGACGCCGACACGACGACGCCCGCCGACAAAAGTAACCCCTATATGTCGCCTTTTAAGGCGACACAAAAAATTAATTATTTCATTTCTAAATATTCTATGTTTAAAATTCATTTAAGATTCTGCACCCTCCAACACATTTTGAGGATAAGTCTTCTTTCATAATTTGTTACTAAAAATAGCTCATAAAGCATGTGTTACACCTTGATTTTGCTCTGTGTCATATTGATGTTTATTGAATCTGTATAACATTTAAATGATTATGAACAATGTTTTAACTTACAATCTACATAATTACATATTTATAGAAAACCTGAAATGAGCTCTTTTTTCACCAAAATTAGGATACATATTACTCAAATATTGTTAATATAACCAACCTTAATAAATAGGCAAATATTGACTTATGTTAAGTAATATTTCAATTTCCAATTTAACCTTCTTTCAATAGTAAAGTACACACATTTTTAGCACATATCTATTAAAAGAGAGTTTTTTCTGCTTTGACATACACATGGCAAAGTTTCTGTTTCACTATAAATGGACAATTTTGGATGCCTCTCTGTGCACTAAAGTAGGCACAAGTGGGTTTCCAAGTAAAACCATCACGCTTCCAAAATGTTTCAATGACAACAACCTTAACCACTCAACCAAGGATGCAAAAAAAAAAAAAAATTTTTTATTATCACATTACAGTTCCCAAGCATAATGCCAATAAACCAAATGATTAGAAAATAGAAACCCTTTGTTTAGTAAACTTTCATTCAAAATCAAAAAGTGCATAAATAAACCAGATTTAAGACCATAAAGTCATGTAGTTTATTTTATTAGTTACCTAATATTATCATGCATAATTTATTGAAATTATTAGTGTTAATTAACAAAGTAAAACCATACCATAAAATCAAACATGTTTTAACCATTCCAGTTTATTTGGTTATTTTGCGAAAGTCTCATATCTTATATAACCCTACAATTTAACATCCAACAGAAAGAGTCAGTTTAAACAATCCCAGCATATGTCTTATTGCAGCTGGCATTCAAAAACATTTGAGCTTTCATTTAGAAAGAACATTTATCATACAAAGATGGGAGCAGATTATGAAAAGACCACATTTAGTATTTATCATCACAAATAATTTGTCAATTGTTTCCATGATTCAATCTAAAACAAAGATTTTCATTATCAGTTATGTTTAAAGGCACTGCAGTTATGATATGGTAACCTATCCCGCTTCTTTATTAAAGAAATATCCCAGCAGCCTTTCAAAGTTATAAAATATTTAAGGCATAAGTCTAGCATTAAGGTAGAACACTGGCCTAACATAACTCACAACAAACACAAAATCATTTTACAGACACACAATCACAAAACACACATTACCATTAACAGTATTTACTCACGTATAAGACAGATTTTACCCTTCAAATTAAAGTGTCCCACCATACATACCCCGTCTTATAAACGTACCACAAACAAGTCAGGGTACAAGAATTCTGCTATTAAATGTTAGTATAAAATTTACACATCATCTTGTATGCTATCCATCTTATACAAGTAGGTGAGTAAATAGGGAACACACCTGACTATCAACAACATTTCCCTCGGCATGGCTCGTAACACGAGAGTAATTTCGTCAAAATGGTTCGCGGCAATTTTCTTCATATGAGCAATATCTTCATCAGATAGTCTACTTGGAATGTGCATAGTTGATCTATTCAACAGTGGTCTTTGCAAAATAATCTCACAAAACAGACTTTCTCGTTCTGTTGAAAAATATCATGAAACATCTGTTCAGAGTGATAATTTCTATAAATTTCTACGAAAAACTTAAGCAAAACTTGATAAAAGCTAAGTCAATGTCGCAGGGAGCATTGGCATCTTAAGACTTGGAAAACGGCACCACCTAGAAATTTGGCTCTACCTAGAAATATTGAAATAAGACAGATGTTATTAATAAAGGTGTCATATTCTAGGGCCATCATGGAAGGATTTTGTTCACCAAATAAAACTACTTTTACTTTCAAATCACACATCTATAAGCACACAAAGCTGCACTGAAGTAAAATTCAAATAACTTAACAAAATGCACAGGACAAATTTAGAAAAGAAATAGAACATGTCTGCATCAAACAAAAACATGTGTATGATGAAGCTTAAGTGGCAGAAACAAGTGAAATCTAAAATAAAAATCTCTCTAGTTCTTAAAACTTAAATCAAACCAGCTTACAGCCCACACTTAGATCAACACAAGAACCACTGAGGAGCTAATCATTAACATGTGTTCTTTAAAGCAGCACATCTCCAAATTTTCTGTTAATTTTCATGAAAATTTAAAAAATGATCTATTCAAATTTAAAAAAAAATGTTTAAAAAATTGTAAAATAATGATGTGTAACCATACCCAAAGTCCCTAGTACCCACTGGTATTACAATAATTATGAAGAAATATCCCTACTATGCTAGCAGTCAGGATAGAAATATGGTGATTAAACATGTAAACATTAGAACGTCCTGTCATACATTTGATTTCTGTCATCAAGTGGCAAATAAATTGTGGCTTTATTACATTTCTAAAGAAATCTTTTTCGTTTTTTGAAGGTTTTTTTAAGTTTGTTTTTTTTGTTGTTTTTTTTGTTTTGGTGGTGTTTTTCTGTTGTTGTTTTCATTTTTTTTTTCATCTGGAAAGGTGCTATTTTAACATAATTTTATACCATAACACAATTAAAAACTCACAAAGACAGAAAAACAAAACACAATGCAATAGGAAAATAACAAAGGAGAACAAACAACAATAACAACAAAGGAACAACTGGGTAAAATAACAACACAAGAAATTATATCTCAAGTAAAAAGCAACTTGAAAAAGATAACCCTTACACAATAGTTTCTAACTTTCCATGTAGGAAAAATTGTTTGTTTTTGTTTTTCCATAAAAGGAAAAATAGTTATACAGTAAGAAAATTCCAGGTCACATGACTTGAATTCCTTTACAAAATATTTAAATAAGCCCTGAAACTATCATAAAAACTAAAATGCTGTGGCAAACCTCTGTGTGGTAGTCAAAAATACATGGTTCTTCTTTACATGTATATCATAGTTAAAATGAAAACTGACATGTTTCTTTTTTTTACCTGTCTATCATTGGGGGGAAAATTTATTTGATAGAAATCTTTTTGTTACATTTCTCGACATCCTGAATAGTTAGGAAAATTTGTAATTGAACTCTGCATCATGATGAATGTTAGCTGCAATAATGACTTCCATAATGCTAAAAGTTGCAGCATGGCCGAGTGGTTAAAGCATCATACTAGTAATCTAAGAATTGCTGGCTGTATGGGTTCAAAGGCCGTCAGGGGCAAGCCGTTCGTGAGCAAGAAACCTTACACTCATTGCCTAGTACTAGTTGGTTCAAGGAGCAGATTCTAGGGTGTTTCAAAAAGCTAATAGCTTCCAACACAATCAAATATTAAAATAATTTTATATTATAATGCCAAAAGGATATGCTATGACTACTGCTGGCAGTTCAATTTTACCTTTTTATGTATTAAATTTTTTAAAATGCAAACAAACAGTTCAGTTAAAAGTAGGGCTCACCAATTTTGCAAAATTAGCAGTGTTATGACTATATTGTTCAAACAGGAACAGAAAGTGTGTTTTTTTAATTGAAAATCACTCCAAAAAAAAATCAGTTTAAAAAAATAATTTCAACACATATTTAACTAACAAAAAAAAATTCCTAAAAGACATAAGAACCCTAAAATATGATAAAATTACATCAATTATCCCATTACAAATAATCAAAATAAAACAATCATGCAAGAAAAGTTATGTGCGTGATAAAAAAACAACATGTAAACAGTGAAAATTATAAGAAAAACTGAGCATGCAAATTACTGTTGATTCAACAAAACCCTTCCACAATATTTAAGTCAGCTGATATCAAAACATCGCAAAAAACACACATCTCTACAGTTTTGCTTTTTAACCAAGAGTTGTTACTCGATAGGTTTAAAGTTTAAAGAAAAAGGATAACACAGTAATAGTATTTCTTTTTTTTCTATATTCTAAATATTTTCTAGAATACATTTTATATGTTTTTATCTGCTATCAGCTGAGAAAGTCGAAAATGCACAAAAATGTAAAAGTATATCTTTTCTTGTGTTGAAGTAAACCTCAAAGTACACATTTTATTATATATATCTCACTATATGTAACTAGAAATCAGTCAATAAGGCCAGGATGCCCCCAGATTCCACTGTTTTGTCAATCTACACACAGGCTGCATAAAAGCAGGACAGTGGGATGGACTGACAATTATCATATATTCTCTTAGTCGGGGCATTAAAAAAAGCATTGATATCAATTTACAATGTTATTACAACTTAACAGTACATGACTTCTTTGAACCAAAAGTGATCTATAGTCATTACATCCAGTATAAAGCCAGATCAGCATGGATCAGCGTGCAAATGCATGCAGCTTGGCCAGGTATTGTACTTCAATATTAAAAACATTGAATGGACAGTTCCAGTTTCAAAGCAGGTTAAGTTCAGACCTGCTTGTCTGAGGGAGGTAACAAAGGAAACTGTGCTACATTACAGAATGAGAAACCAAAAATAACAACTTATCTATATATTTTTTCTTTAAAACAAAAACACCTTTTTTAAAAATTGTTAACAGTTCTTTTGCTTATTTTTTAACCTGATCAGTTTTGAAAGAAAAATTAAATATACTTTTATATTTTTGTGCATTTTCAAGGGACACCTTTAAGTCTTTACCTAAAAATCAAAAGAAGAGAGCTGGGCATATCCCTCATGGCCTTGAATATTCTATCATGAAGAATTTCAAAGTCCTCCTTCATTTCCGCCTGTATTTGTTTTGACAGTTTACGAAATGCCTTCATGTCAACTGGCTTGTGGCGAAAAAGAGGCGGGGCCTTTGTGAACTTCACTGGGCCCTGTCTAACAAGACTAGCAAATATCTGGTAGTCTAAAATATAAATAAAATGTTAACAACCAAATCTAAAATAGAAATGTCTTGTAAACAGATTTGTTTGAAATATAAACATATTTTCACCTTAGTGCAGTAACAGATAAACTACTATTAAATTATATAAGGAGTTAATCTGTTACTGCACTAAGGTGATAATATGGTGAGGAAATATGTCTAACCTATGAATATGAGCATTCATGCCAAAATTATCTGCTAAAAGTAAGTAATCTTGTTTAGGGTATAAATATATTGCAAACATTGGCAAACAAATCTGTCTAAAATTTTACCAAAATGGTAGTAAATAATTCTGTCTTAAATTCAAAGAAATGATAACAACCTAGTTCAAAATATTCAAAATAAAAATGGTTACAAAAACTTGTCCAAAATATAAACAAACAGTAAACAATCTTGTCTAAAATATAAAAAAAAAATATATAAACAAATGATAAACGATCTTGTTTAAAATATAAACAAAAGGTGATGTATGTATTCTAGGCTTAATAACCCTTCATCCTCCCTTTCAGGCACTGAGAGTACAGACCCCGAAACAAAAGGTGAACAATTTCTTCGCAAATATAAATGGTTGACAATTTCTTCTAAAATATAAATAAACTGTGAACAATTTCTACTTAAATAATTATAATAAATTTTGTCTTAGATAATCAGTAAAGTCACACTTCCATTTACAACCTGAACTACCTGTATTTGCTACAGCTTCAGAAAACTCACAAGCTTTGTATATACCTTTAGATATGCATGAGACTAATCTTTATACAAAAGGAACCACTTTCTTACTAATGCAACAAGATGTTTAAACTTATTTCCATATAATTCAGAAGATGAAGCTGCACTGTACATGACGCCTTTAAATGCAAAGTTATTTGTTATGTTTAAATCAAACAAGACCTCTTACATTTTTGAAAACATTTGTAAAGTGCCTTCAATTAATTGCAAATGAAATATAAATTTCATATGATTTATTTTCAATTAAACTACAAATAGGCTATGATTAATTGGCAATGCCATTGCATATTGACTACAATTGATAAACATTAAACTTAGTTACATTTATTACATACCATAAATTATCAATGAAATTAGGAATTGCCTGAAATTAATTAGCACTTCAATATATAATTGTCTAACAGTTAATTGGCAATGAAATAAATTGCCTGCAATAACATCTTGACAATGCAATAAATTGGCAACAAATTCTAATTTGTCTACTGTTAATTTGCAATGAAATTGTAACCTGTCTATCATTAATTGACAGTAAATTTGCGAATGGTCTACTATTAATTGGCAATAAATTTGCAAAATGCCTGCCATTTATTGTCAACAAATTTGCCAAAAACTCACAAAAAAATTAGCAACAAAATTGCAAAAAATTACTTACCATTAACACCGAGTAAATGTGAATATCTCTCCATCTCCTCCTCGTTTCTCATGATGATGGCTTTATATAAGTTACACAGATATCCTCGATGTAAAGGCTGTAACCGATCATATAGACCATGGTCTAACAGCACGATCTCAGCTTTCTTGTCCTTCCCTTGTCTCACAAATACTGATACAAAACATATTATAAAATGAAAATAAATTTCAATTCTGGATTTTGATAAAGGCTGTTTCATAAAATTTATAAAATCTAGTCAAAAATCAGTGCAAGGACCAAATGCTAATGCATCAGCTAACTAACCATTAAAAAATGAATGGCAAAACAGCCATAACTCTGGTTTTACAATGTAAAAAGTCATGATTCCATCTTTCTGTTTTAAGTGCCCCAGTTGATTTATATCAGAAATTCAAATCTTATGATTTTAGGCTTTTGTACCTCAGTGAAGTTCCTTTGATACGAAGGTTAATTCCTTTTACTAACACAATAAAACATAATATGGCAACTTTCAAAACTTTTCAGGCAGAGACAGACAACAATTACAGACCTCAATTATTCCTCTATGCATTATCACAGGCAAAGTGGGATGGCAGAACCACCCATTTTCTATAAGCCATCTGGCTAGTTCCTCACTTTAAAAAAATTCCAAAATCCCAAATTGGTGGACCTTGAACTTTTCCAACAACAGTGAAAATTTCACCCCATTACAAAGGCTCAGTATTTTTATGTATAGGACTATAGGTCGCATAAATGACCTCATCATGAGAAATGACCTCAGAGTATAAGCAATATCTGATACTACAAAACATTATATAAGAAGTTCACTGGTTATACGAACCATTTCCTGGATGGGGATCTGCATGAACAAAGCCTGTCAAAAAAATCTGGTCCGAAAAGCACCTCACCAATTTCTGATCAACCTGTAGATAGTTTCATGTTAACAATTATTGGTAATTAATAATCAACTGAATAGCTTTTAGCCTAAAGTCAAGACCTTGACCTTGACCCTGTTAACCTAAAATCTCATTATAAAGTAGAGGTCGGTACATGTAGTACATGACAATTATGTAAGATATCGCTAAAATATAACAGCATGATTTTCACAAATAATCAAAGGATACATGCAATTTCTCTCTGAGTGGCCAAATTCATTTTCTTATGTTGAATATGAACAAACTGTCATTAGAAAACTGATTGGTTTATAATAAATATAATCAATTAATAATCATAACACTGATGAAAATTACATGTATATATAATGATATATCAAAATATTACCGTAGAGTAAAACACTGATGAAAACTAAACTTACGTCATTTAGTGAAAGACCCATCTTTCTAATACCTTCTGTATCGCTCACTTTACACCCATCTATATACTCGGCTGTCAATACTCTCTGAAAAATGTGGCAAGGAAAAATAAAATTCATATCTTAAAAACAAAACAATATTAATACCTGTTTCTTATAATTAAGAGGGCCATGAAGCCCTGGATCACTCACCTGAGATATTAATGTCTGCTTCTTAAGACAAGAGCTGTCAAAAGTGAATGCTGGACTATGCTCAGTGCTTGATAGTAAAATACAAGACTGGATAATGTCATATTTATTAAGTTCAAAAAAGGCCATAATTCTGTCAAATCCATGTTAGAGTTATTGGCCTTGGTCTGTGACCTTCCTTGTATGCTCTCAAATAAGTGTGTGAAGTTCCAAACCATTCCTTTAACAAGTTTAAGTACTTTTGGAGATACCAAAGTGCCCACAAAAACATTTGGTCAAGTACAATAGCTCTCCCTATTCTTAGAATAGTCAAACTATAAAATGTATACAGATACCAATGATAGAAATGTAACAGAAATGTCATCAATTTTTTCCTTAACATGAAAGTTGTGACCTTAGCCCTTATAATCATTGACCTTTTTTTAATGTTAATACAAAGGTAACATTTCATACAAGGTATATCTGAACTGTGATTAAAAGAAGACAACTTTTCTCATATTTAACAAAACTTTGTGACCTGAACATTGCATCTACAAATCATCAAATTAACAAACATTCAAAGCAAAATTGATATAATTTTTTTTTATCAAAACTTATGTCAAATTGAAAATTCTTCACTCTGTATTCTGACTTACTGTGCTTGTTTTATCCCAGTAGACTTTTGGCACATATACATATCCTAGATGTTTCAAATCTTCCTGGCATCTCTCCGAGTTAGATCCTTCATTTACAAAATCCAATTCTTGACCGAGGGTCCCTTTCATATCCTACAATTATAAACATATTTCTTATTTTAATATTTTTCACTCAAGATATGATTATATAACTTATGAAATAACACTGACCCTTTATGTTCTATGTATATGTATAATTATAAACATGTTGTTGTTTTAATCATGGTATATAAAAGTAAAACAATTCATTACATTGATCAGTGATTACAAATGATAGTTGCATTCACTATCAATTAACAAATATGATGTAGTGAAGATTGACTTGAAACAAATCTCAACTAAAACCCGTTTAAATCATGGTCATTTAACACTGCAACATATTTAATCCCACTATTTCTAATTTGTTACCAGATTACCAGTCTTAATGGAAATCTCATTTTGTTTTTGTGAATTCTGTTTAAGAAAAACTTCAAATGTTGCAATATGTAATATTTCAGTATTGTGGTAGGTCAATTGTTCAAGGTCATGATAATTAACCCTTCACCTGCTGGAACAGAAAAGTAACTAGCTTTTGCTACCAGTAAAGTGCCAGGCATGCCTGCACATCTCTGCAGTCTGACCAGGTTCTAAACTACTGGTAGCACAATTATTGTTTCATCACATTAAGTTTCAGAATGTCTAAATGAACTGCACAAATTTCAAAAGCTCAGCAAAATCCATTACACAAATTCAGGTGGCTCAGAGTTAACCAAACATAATTTACAATTAAGATGTTAAAATTTACCTGTAATACCCAAGCAAACTCAAACTTTGGGTGCATCCAACCAATAACCTTTAACAAAATCTCACATGTTCTTATATCACCTGCAAATCTATCTTGTAAGTCAATATACTGAATCTGCAATATACAAATAGTGAATAGTTCCTTTTATTTATTGATTAATGATATAATTATGTACTTAAACAATTATGTATAGTACAATATCTGCAGTGCAGTACCCTTTGGGAGACAAAGAAAATGTTTTCTGCCGAGAGGTGTTGCTCCTCAGAGGTTAAATTTGTTTAAAAGTCTTATTTTGTAAGGTTTGATTAGTAATGCTGTAAAGAGTTTATTATTCTATAGAGGGCCTTTTTTGCAGAGGTAACACTGTTAATACAATGTATTTGAGTTGGGAGAAGAAAAAGTTTATTTTTTTAATACATGTATATAACTTTGATTTGAAAATAACTTCTACAAAAATCTACTCTCTTTTTTTTAATGTTTTTTTTTTAATGGGGTGACGGGGGCTGGGAACTTTTAACACAATTTGTGACAAAATTAAGGTGATAACTAATACATTACAAATCATATAACTGTCAAGATTTCATTGCGGTATCTATTACCACTCCTAGTCACGGCCCAAGGCTAAAGCTAATTGTAATTAAATTTGCACTCAAAATATTACATATATATACCAGGAAATTAGACATAATATTCTAGTTATAACTGACAGATCATTTAACTGGTGATTAAATCTTAAATTTAACACCTAAAACACTCCTCGTGACATTGTAAACGACCTCCGCTTGACCTGGTCAGGAGCTGTCTATAAAAATTTAAATATCACGAAACAGACACCCAGACCAGTGGTTGTAATTTATGAGTGAAATATTTTCAAACTATCTAATAGATTACCTATGCACATATAAAATCATAATATTCAAATATGAAAGGTCAGACAGGACATTTTAAGGTCACCATGAGTTACCTTAACGTTATTTTCAGACAAATTTTTGACAAGGGCAAAATACAACAGGGTGTGTAAAAACAAGAGTTCAAGAAATATGTTTTATTCAAATGATATGTTGATGTAAAATATGGCTAAATTGTTCACTACATAGCCATATTTCTACCTTGTTAATAATTATATTAATTATCATACAGAATATGCATAGTCTTGATTTATTGGTTATTCCAATAGTTTAGATAAAAGACATTGTCAAAAGCTAGTTTGGATCCCTGTAGGTGTAACTGATTAAAATTTTACTATTTAGAACATTTCTGTATTTTTGTTAAAATCAGTAAAAATTTTGACAAGTAACACTTTAACAGAAACCCAGGCAATCATTTTACCATGTCTTTATATACTTCTACAAGTTTCTCACCTTTACTGCTACATCTTTGCCTTCATGAGTGACAGCACGGTGAACTTGGGCCAGACTAGCTGCGGCTATAGGTTCCTCATCAAATTCTTTAAATACTGTATGCGGGGAAGCACCAAAATCTTCAATAAACAGTTCTTCCATCTAAAAAGAAATAAATATCGACAAATATTCAATTTCAATCACGATAAAATTTTCAAAACAAACCTGACAGTGTCAGTTCTTTGGTAAATCAATTTAATTGAAATTTTAAAACTGTCATCTTTTTTTGATAAAACAAAATGTAATGTTAACAAAAACTTAAGTGTAAACATGTAAACACATAAATCTTAACAACTGTAATAATAATGTCAAGTTTGTTGAATATAAACTCAACATTCAACAAATCCATTTTTATGGACATGAATTTTTGCAAAACAAGTAAAATTGTTGCAAAACAAGTAAAAAGAAAACACTATCTAATGCAAATTTCTTACATCCTGAGGTTCCATAGACAAAGCCTTGTCCTGAAGTATGACTAGAGTGTCTACATATTCCTTTGGCAACACATGACTCATTGAGACAAGCCCTTGACCAAGTTTTACATAAAGACCACCGTTATTAAGGCACCCCATTAGCAGCTTCTCTGCAGAACGTTTATGACACAACTTGACGGCTTTATCATATTCTACTGAATCATCTTCAAGGTTCCACAATGAAATTTTGTAGTCTATAGAAACTGATAAGCCTATCACAGCTGACCTGTTGGAATAAAGAAAGATAATATAAGATTAAATGTAATAAAAGATATGATTGAGAATGTCAGGGGTTTTTTATTTATTAAAAAATAAAAACTGTTTGTAGCAGCCAATTACTTTTCTGCATTCTGTTTAAATATGTCTTACACTTTTAGATCCATGAAAGACATACTTGATGAAAAAATCTAAGGTTTTCTTCATAAAACACAAAGTTATTACTATTTCATAAAAACATTATCATTTTTACAAAGAAAAAAAGATATTCAATAAGGTATAACTCAATGTGTCAAGTAAGAATGCTGTTATTAATACTAAATTCACTAGTTTCTACACCTTCATCACCTAAATTAGCTAAAATTGTAACAATAAACAATTATCTCACCCTACCTGAGAAATCTCACAAATCCACCAGCAGTAACCCGAACTTTTCTTTTATATTGCTCTTTCAAGCAAAGGTAAGTAACTCCTGACACAAGTGATAATGCTGCCATAAAACGCCCAAACCTTTTACTTCTGGACAAAGTGGGTTTAACTACATCTTTCTGTGAATATCTACGAACAACATGTTTCTGAACAAGGTTCAAATTTCCTTCTGATCTTTGACACAGGCATTTTAGACACACTGACTGTTTCCCTTTCAAAGTTAAGACCTCAAACAGTCTTCTTGATGCCATGATTTGATTCTGTGTCAGACTTCTTTATTCATATTGTGTAACATTATCTAGTCTGAAAAATTAAAATTTAATGTTGCTTAGGTGAAAATATCAATGTGTGAGTATGGCAAGAGGTTGTGACACTTGGCTGTATCGGATGCATATTTTATATATATATCAAATTAAGAAATATGGCAATGTCATTTTTCAAGTTAATAATACTGCACTTGACACATTGAACGGCTACTTTTTATAATCAATTAAAATTGAATTTTTGTATAAGGCTTATCCTCCACTAAAGGTAATCCTTTGCAAGTTCATGGGACACAAAAATTTATGTCCAGTTATAATCACCAGCATTGTGTAACACACATGGTTTTGTTCAATTTGTGAATAAATCTACCTTTTAGGCAAATAAAACAATAATAAATGTTAAAGGGAGACATAGGCAAAATTTTATTCCTCCAATTTGAATTTTTCATTCATTATTCTGTAAATGTCTTCAAAATAAATACACTAGGCAGTCAGAGGAACGGAACTTTTCTCCTTGTAAAGTAAAAAATGGTAGTATCCTAACTTGACCAACGTTGGTTAGGTTAGAGCGTTAAGAATAAGATTTCACAATAGTTGCCACAAAGATCTCTGGAAATGTTAACTTTAGAACATGTCAAATGAATGGATTAATTAGACTTGTTTCAATCATACAATAAGTCAATATCCACAATATCTGTTATTGTAACTTCCAGGGTTTGCTAAAGTCACACGACTAATTTTAAAACTACTTGGTGATTATGTTGGCATCTAAATTTCGTTAAACATGTATAAATATATTTTCGCTTCAAACTAAAACAAACATGGAATTTATACAGAAATATATACTAGTACTCGGTACAAGTCAACCCGGCCCCAAGTCAACCCGGCCCCAAGTCAACCCGGCCTCAAAATTGGTCAACCCGGCCCCAAAATTGGTCAATCCGGCCCCACGGTATTTTAATTTGGTCAACCCGGCCCCAAAATTGGTCAGTGCGGCCCCAAAATTGGTCATTCCTGCCCCAAAATATATATTTTTCAAAGAAAACTATAAATGATTTATTATTAATTGAAGATTATTAACTATAGAACAACAGTAACAAAAAGTGTCGGTAAATTTAATTGCGTCGATTAAGTTTTTAATACGCAATATTGATGATGAATTTTTATATAACATCAACAATTATATGTACATCAACATTAATTCAGATGTGATAATCAAACAGTTTAAAGCAATCAATTAACAAAAAAGGTATAGCTGTGAAAACAAATCCTTTTAATAAGTTGGTAGTATCTTTCATGTCTTTATTCGATGTAAATTAAAGATGGTTTTGTGAGTGTTAATGCGATAATTAGGAAGAAATGCATAGAATTTCGAGTTAAAAGGTTTTTATAAATATTGTTTCAAACAATATTTTATCAATTCATTTGAATGTTTTTATTGAATACGTTCATCATTATAATTAATATTTGTTTCGTTTTTTATTAACTTTTTTTCAAAGAATATTTACTGTGTAAAAAGGTATTGGAATATTACTAAGTGTTTGGAAAATTGTATGAGATAATACGACAATTTCATTTTTGAATTTAATAAAAATGGTAATTTGAAGGTTCGAACAATAATTAAAGAAATTAACTTGAGTCATGTACAATGTACCATTATTTTGCTAATATTGGAAAGAAACATTAATAATTTATCGTTTAGTACCAATATAAACTAGTTACACTGATAACTATCTATAACTTTTTGTTTTGTTTTCACAGATATCGATCGAAAGAGCTATCCGCAACCGCCCTGTTGAAGCTTGTGTCCAACATGTACAGGCCGATACTAGATAGAAGCGAGGCAGAGGAAGACGACGAATGAAGTGTTTATATGTGATGAACATTGTAGGGGTGTGTCAGGAACATTGTTGAACTATATAATATACAAGTTGCTTGTTGATATTGATAGTTGATATTGATACTTTTTATATAAAATAAATAATAAAAGATATCATCATTGAACTTTTGTTTTTGTTGTTAATTTTTGTCTTATTTCTTGATAAGTATTTACATTTTAAAGCAAAATAAATAATAAAAAAACATGGGGCCGGGTTGACCAGAAATAAAATTGGTTTGGGGCCGGTTTGACCAATTTGGGGCCGGGCTGACTTGGGGCCGGGTTGACTGTAATTCACTAGTACTTTATTACTAGGACTTTAAAAAATGTCATTTTAGCATGATTTCAGCACATAAGATCATTTTTAATTTTTTTGCCATTAATTTGACCAAGTATCAATTTTAATTGAATATACATGTAATGATCAGATGTACTGTCAGTATGTGTAAATAGATTGATGAATCTTTTCAGACTTTCGAATTTGTCCGAGGTTATTTTTAACGTTATGATTTTTCCCTGTATTATTTCTTCAATATTTTTTTCCTACAAAATATCACTCAAATTACAGCTAGAACCAAAGGTTAGGTTAGGTGTTAGTGTTAGGGTAAGGGTTAGAGAGTTATAGAAAGGGTAAGGATTTTGCTGCACACAGATTCTAAACTAATACAATACGACCAAAATTTGACATTTTAAATTATGTGATTTTAAATTGTGTTATGCAAAGCAATCAAAGAAAAAAATTCATTGCACGGATTCGAATCATTGCGTGCAATGAAAATGTATGTCAATCTCTCAAGTGAAACAACGTCCGAAAACTATTGTATCCGAATACGGACAACTTGTAATTTATGTAATAGCATCAATAAGTACATAAGTTGAATGAAACTTCAAATAAAACGATGGGAAAATAATTCAACACAACTACGTCAATGTTTACAAAATCAAGTTATAGCTGATGATCATCCAGAATTCCGATAAACAATTGTTTAACCTTGCGAAATTTCTGCTACATATGAAGGGTTAGAACCTAAAGAAACATAACTGGAGAAAAGATATTATGCATGCCGTACCTTTCCGTACAGTACAATTTGTGTTACCTATCATAATGTTACCATTACTACATTGATGTAGTTAATATTAATCTAGAAAGTTTTATAAATGTAATACCGTCTGATAATAGAACAAAACCAGAGATATAGATTACAGTGAGCATCTCCACTGAATTACCACTCATACATCAAAATGTGAAAAATAGGCATTTTGTAGCAATTGAAACTTAATGGATGTAGACTTGACTTGTACACCGTTTGAAAGTAAAGTGTTTTATCTATTGCTGCAGTTTAAGATATTGCATGATAACTTCCTATGCCGTTTACAAGATTTTTATTATTTTTTATTTTTTTTTGCATAAGCATACATGTAGTTATGAAACAAAAGTAAATAAGTAGTTCTCTTCAAAAAATGATGAATCGTTTATTTAAATAGGAACTGTAATGTTTTTTAACCTGTAGCCATAGACAAATGTATACAAGTGTAAGCTTTCAGAAAATGTATTATTTTACAGATTTTGATATCTGGTTTAAAAAAGTTTTAATTGCTACAAGTTTTAAGTTTAGCAAGCACGCGTGATACATGTATCTTAACTGGTTAGGAAGTTGCCTATCTCTGTTATGTATCTACGTCTCTGACAAAACGAAACTTCCCAAAAGGTATAGTTAATTAACCCATCGCCACATCAGAAGCAATCACATTAATTGCCATTGTGCCTGTACTGGTTCCAATGCCAATAAATGAATTAATCAATAATTAAATAATCTTAAAACTATTTAAGCAGTGCCTACACACAGTAATCAGAGAATTGAAGAAGTGTGATATATATATAAAAAGATCTCTTTCAGACATTTAAAATAATGCACAAATGAATGACGTCTCTATTCCAAGATATTTCAAAAAGAACAAAAATTCACTTTCGACCTATATCTACAAAATGTAGCCCAACACATTGTGCACCAGAGCTTTTTATTATCTTATTCGCTTCAAGACCGACATCGATCTTGTAAAATAGGTCTGTCTTGCAGTCAAAATATTAAGACTAACCTATATCTATTACGTTATTACCAAGTGATGAAATTATCTTAATTATCTAATAGGTGTACTATGACTTAATCTATATGTAATCTATTGCATAATTAAACAATCAAATATTCTATGCTCGATACCATGTCATTTATGACCATGACACCTTTTATTTCAAATAAATGAAATAATACTTTCATAAAACGAATACATCAGTTGCTATAGCAATACTAGTACTTATATATGATTAACATAAATCTTTAAACAATAAAATCGCCAGAAGATAGTTATTCAAAATACGGGTATATAATTTGTAAAAAAAATCTGATATAAACATCCCAAACACTTAATATAATAAATACTAGATTAAGCTTGATTCATCGTCTCTTGCAGTTTCTTATTTACAGGAAATAAACTATATTTTATCACTTACAAAATAATACAGTGTTTGTCCAAATAATATAGGTAATCCTTAATCTTTCACAAGATATTTATTCCATTATTTTCGTAAAATGAAAAAACAACAACTTAATTCCAAATATACATTTTAGAACGGTGAATTGCTCACTGAACTTCAAAAGGCACATGTCAGGCCAACTGTCAAGAAAATTTTCGACTAATATACAATAATATTATCGTGCATTTCCGTCTCCCTGGGGCATTTTTATTTTACGAAGTTTCATAAAAAAGATACTTGTAATAAATCGCAATGTTTAGATATCAAAATAAATATATATCTGAAAATATAATCTGGAAGACTTTTGTTCATAGTCAAAGCGATAAAAGTTGCATGTTTTATGAATTTTATTACGATATATTTTTATTTATCTCAACTTGAATAAAATAGAAACATCAAAATAGCAATTTCATCGGTATTGAGGCCTTCACTTGTAAATTTTTTATACATCGTTTTACTTTCGTTTCGATATTCTGTTTATTCAAAATTAAATTTTGAATTAAACTTTGGCACAAAACCTGTAAAACTTAAACTTTGACACAAAACTTATGAACAGTATTTTATAAAATCATATTTTTTCTGATTAAGATTTACAACGGTGCAATCAGTTTAATTGCTAATGACAGCTTGACAATTATTACAACATATATTACACGTTTCAGGGATATCAGCCATTATAGACGATGGTAAATAAATAGACTTTCATCTTTAAGTTCTATTCCCACTATCATATATGTTGTACGCGTCATATTTGTTGCTGTTGTTGCTATTTAACTAATCTTTAAATGTGAGAATTTTTATTCAAGAAAGAAGAATCATTAAAAGGAAAGTAAAGAAAACTAGTAAGAGAAAATGACTTGCTTGGTCTGATTAAGTACTGCCCTTTCCAATTTAATATTTTTTTGTTGAAAATTTAAAAGGAGTACCGCCTTTTTGATAACACAATTATAGAATCGAACACACTTTTAAAGGCATGTATCTAACGCTGCTACCAGTCTTTCAAAATCAAGCCATGCTTATGACAGTATCTTGGCTTCAAATGACGCCATTTCCATAAACCATTTCACTACAATAATGCATACATCTGCAGAGTAAGAAATAGACAAAAGTAATGAATAAATTATTGAATTGATTCGCGACCCGGGGTTGATCTTTTTATGCTGAATTTATAATTAGTAAGTAATTTAAACTTTTCTCATACATAGTGGATGGACAGCGCTAAAATGATGACCCCCCAAAACCATCTCACTTTAGATAAAGCTAGGAATAATAAATAGAAGACCCTGTGTTCGCGTTAAACATTTGTTAGTATAGTGCCGATCTAGTAAAGGATGTAATTAATTTTTCGAGACTTGGATGTATTACCGTATATTGTTAGAACAAAGGTATAGGAAAAATCGATGACAATGAAAATTAACTAATCCACCAAATAATAATAATACGGATTATACCAGGGTATTGCTAAATATACGTTTTTTATGATATGACCAAGTAAATACATATACATTACTTAATAGTAATCGCTCATAATTAGATTCATATTTTGAGTGATTTTCTACCTGCATTTGCAATTTCGCAAAATAAATAAATAAATAAATAAAATTTATTAAATAAATAAAATTTATTAAATAAATAAAATTTATTAAATAAACAAAATTTATTAGATAAATAAAATGTATTAAATAAATAAATAAATAAATAAATAAATAAATAAATAAATAAATAAATAAATAAATAAATAAATAAACGGAAAATTAGCATGTTCAAACAGCAAACCATTTACAACCAGCAAGAATGACTTAATTAATACTTTAAAAAAAACAGAGAGACGAAAAAAACCGTCGATATAGAAGCATATGTACAAAACATAAAATCAGGGCCATTTAAAAAACACTTTTTTGGGTCCCCGAAAAAATATAATAGTACAGTTTGCACAAAATTAGATGTCGGTCAAAAGGCTATATTGCTTTTGTTATGTAAAATGTTATATATATTATATATATATACATACATAGTGCAGGAAAATTTACCTAAGGGATAGACTATTTTCTAATTGGAGATCGCGCTGTACCGGAAAATTACAGCAGGGCAGAATTTATCAAGGTCGATATCACATGATCATTTTTCGTTCAAAATGGCGTCGCCAAGTGTCAGACAATCAGCGAGTAGATCTAGAAATAAAATTTCTGGGAAGAAAAAGCTACCAGAACCAACCCATGTTGGCCATTTCTTCTCAATTTTGGTTATGTCATTGTGTAAGAGGGTCCTACATATAGACACAGCCGTAAAAATAGGAGTTTACCTCTGTGGTGTGCTGATCGGATCAGTGTTTTCTGACGTTTTCGCTTTACCCAAGTCGTATTTTTCAGACAAGAAGAATATATTCAATAGAATGTTTACGTCTTTTGGATTTGGATGGACTTTGATATTGTTAGGAGCATATATATTTCTAACAAGCTTTGTGTACACGTGCGGGAATTGGAAAGATGTTGTACGCAAACACTTGAGTAGATTGGTGATTTCTACATTTTGGTGGTATATATTAACCAAAACCTTTACATATGTTGATTCAGTTGTTGGAGTTTGCTCATTCTCAGCTCATAAAAGAAAGTATGATTGCTTAAAAGCAGGAAGGGCGTGGCTGGGATTCGACATATCAGGACATGTGTTTTTACTAATTCACATTCTTCTAACGGTATCTGAAGAGGTTAAAAGTTTCAAAGGTTGGACAAATCTAGATTCACTGCTGAAAGAGGAAGATTTAGCTTACAAGAAAAACTTAACAGAACAACAAGTTTCACAAGCAAGAATCTCTTATGAAAGCCTAACTCCTTACATCAAGATAGTAGTTCTACTGCTGACGTTTTGGACAATATTTTGTGAATTCATGTTAATTATTACAGTGGTATACAGATTTCATACACTAACTCAGAAGGTGACTGCCGCATTTGTTTCCGTCGGATGCTGGTTTATAACATACCAACTAACTCTTGAGACCAAGTCTTCATACCTTCCATCAAAGCCAGGAGAGTGTGCTTTAAATTACATGAAAGTGAAGCAGAGTTGATGAAATGTAATTTTATAATAGCTACAAAAAAAATGTAGGATAATCATTATGTTTGAAGTTTCCCAGTGATTCTTACCAGCTGTTGCATAAAATTATCAAACACAAAATTAATCTATACAAAATACTTTTTAAACTGCTAGGCTAATATATTTTTTAACCTTAAGCATTATATTGTTTGCATGTTTTTCATTTCTGTTGTTGTTGTTTTTAGCTCACCTGTCACAAAGTGACAGGGTGAGCTTTTGTGATTGCTTTTCGTCCGGCGTCCGTCCGTCCGTCCGTCCGTCGTCCGTCCGGCGTCCGTCCGTCCGTAAACTTTTACTTTAAATGACATCTCCTCATAAACCACTAAGCCAATTTCATCCAAACTTCACAGGAATGTTCCTTTGGTGGTCACCTTTAAAAATTGTTCAAAGAATTTAATTCCATGCAGAACTCTGGTTGCCATGGCAACCGAAAGAAAAAACTTTAAATATCTTCTTTTAAAAAACCATAAGAGCTAGAGCTTAGATATTTGGCATGAAACATCTTCTAGTGAGTGTCTACCAAGTTTGTTCAAATAAAAGCCCTGGGGTCAAAATTGGCCCCGCCCCGGGGGGTCATTGATTTTCCCTATATGCATATAGTAAAAAATTAAAAAATCTTCTTTTAAAGAACCCAAAGAGCTAGAGCTAAGATATTTAGCATGAAACATGTTCTAATGGGTGTCTACCAAGTTTGTTCAAATAAAAGCCCTGGGGTCAAAATTGGCCCCGCCCCGGGGGGTCATTGATTTTCCCTATATGCATATAGTAAAAAATTAAAAAATCTTCTTTTAAAGAACCCAAAGAGCTAGAGCTAAGATATTTAGCATGAAACATGTTCTAATGGGTGTCTACCAAGTTTGTTCAAATAAAAGCCCTGGGGTCAAAATTGGCCCCGCCCCGGGGGGTCATTGATTTTCCCTATATGCATATAGTAAAAACTTAAAAAATCTTCTTTTAAAGAACTCAAAGAGCTATGGCTAAGATATTGAGCATCAAACATGTTCTAATAGGTGTCTACCAAGTTTGTTCAAATAAAAGCCCTGGGGTCAAAATTGGCCCCGCCCCAGGGGGTCATTGATTTTCCCTATGTGCATATAGTAAAAACTTAAAAAATCTTCTTTTAAAGAACCAAAAGAGTTAGAGCTAAGATATTTAGCATGAAACATGTTCTAATAAGTGTCTACCAAGTTTGTTCAAATAAAAGCCCTGGGGTCAAAATTGGCCCCGCCTCGGGGGGTCATTGATTTTCCCTATATGCATATAGTAAAAACTTAAAAATCTTCTTTTAAAGAACTCAAAGAGCTATGGCTAAGATATTTAGCATCAAACATGTTCTAATAGGTGTCTACCAAGTTTGTTCAAATAAAAGCCCTGGGTCAAAATTGGCACCGCCCCGGGGGTCATTGATTTTCCTTATATGTGTATAGCAAAAACTTAAAAAAACTTCTTTGAAAAAACCCAAATAGCTAGAGTTAAAATATGAAGCATGAAACATCTTTTAGTGAGTGACTACAAAGTTTGTTCAAATAAAAGACCAGGGGTCAAAATTGGCCCCGCCCCGGGGGTCATTGATTTTCTTTATATGTGTATAGCAAAAACTTAAAATCTTCTTTGGAAAAACCCAAATAGCTAGAGTTTAGATATTAAGCATGAAACATCTTCTAGTAAGTGTCTACAAAGTTTGTTCAAATAAAAGCCCTGGGGTCAAAACTGGCCCGCCCCAGGGGTGTCATTGCTTTTAACTATATGTGTATAGTAAAAACTCTAAAAAAATCTTTTTTTAAAAAGCCCAATGAGCTAGAGCTTAGATGTTTAGCATGAAACATCTTCTTATGGGTGTCTACCAAGTTTGTGCAAAATAAGAGCCCTTGGGTTAAATTGGCCCTGCAACGTTTGGGGGGGTGGGGGTTGGGGGGGCCTATATACAGGTGAGCGACCTCAGGGCCATCATGGCCCTCTTGTTTATTGTAGTTCTAAAATGTTTTTTCCGTAGTAGTATCAGAGAATACTTATCATGTTATGGTATTTTTTATTGAAATTATTGCAGTACAAATGCATGGTACATTCAATACAATTTACAAAGGATTACAAATGCTGATATACTGGTTTAAGCATTAATTAGACAGACACAAAAAGTAATAATGTTTATTATCTAAAAGAGAAAAAGATAAAGTTGTACTGATAACTTAAAAGATAAGGAAATTCTTTTCTTAATTGATAAAGATTTTGTTCATACTCTTTAAATACATTGTATTTAATTTATATTTAACATAAATATGATGTTAAACTTTAAAGAACAAAACCTATGATATACTATTATTTGCTTTTGCACATTTAACTTCAGTTATTCTAAACAACTTTTTTATTTCTGAGCAGTACAAATTGTTTGGATATGTTTTATGTTTTAGATGTATTACTGCTTTAAACCTTTTAGTAAAAGATAAGAATATTAAGAAAAAAATGTTCATAAATTATATTTCACTGTTTAAACCTTTTACAGATTGAAACGATTTAGTCACTATTGAGGGTAATTGACTGACAGTTCTTTGTTATTGATAAGTCAGTGTTATACAGGACTTATTTATCATAATAACTTAGTTTTTCAAGTAAAGTTAGCATTTGATTGATGAGAGAATGTTCAGTGTTGAGCATTACAGGGATTTTTTTGGCTTATTTTATAGCCGTTATTGGGTCATATTCCCAACTGAAAATAGTATATTATTTTCCCAATCCACAGGAAAAAATTGAAAGTTACAAAACAAAAATATTGAATAAAAATTCTAAAATCTTTGCAAATAAGGGCTTCTTCACCGTAAGAGTGCTTAAATGGTTGAAGATGCCATCATAGAGTTAGACAGTAATTGTTTGCATCCATCCTGAGCAACAATTGTTAAGAATTAGCAAAAGTACGGTTAAGTTTATTATCATAAATTATCATAAGATCACCAGGAATGTCAACATGAATTATCAGTATTAATTACCATGATATTTTTATATAAAATGCTAGTGGTTATGCAATCCCTCTGTACTATGTGTTTTTTCCCCACCATCTGTGGAACACAAACTGACAAAGTTGTATGATAATATGAAGTTGATATTTTTGTTTACAGATTTGTACAATGCAAATTTTAGAAGAGATTTTGTTTTAATACCTAAATTTTCATATTTATCTGTCTACATGGTTATGTCATGAAAAAAGTTTTAATGATAGTAATCACACTTGAGATGATGCTTGCAGTTGGCAACTAATCAGAAATTTAAAAGATTCAAGTAATAATTTTATGTTACTTGTACCTGAACAACTTTATATTAAGGCATTGAAACTTATACCATTTTGCCAGAGCTCCTAAATTTCACTTGAAGCAATCCATCAGATATATTATATATAAATCTAGGTTTAACCACCTAAGTTTCTCACTCAATCTTTAACTTTTATACTGCATTGATGTACAGTTTGCCACTACATGTATTTGGTTATTAATAAAGATTGTTGTAAGGTGATCACATAAGGTTTTTTATTTGTAAAATATTAGACACATGAATTCTTTGTGAATAAAGTTAAATGCATGTATATTACTGTGTTATACTGAAATGCTGTTTTAAACATGTATTATAACATGTAATGTACATAACATGTGAATGTTGTTATTGTAAATTGCTCAGTTACTTAAGCTATAAGACTCACACAAAAATTTTGTTATACCATTTTTTAACAAAGCATTTTTAGTATCTGACATAAAGGTCATGTTAGCTTTTTCTATAAAATGCATTTAAAGTTGATATTCTGTTTGAGACTATAGAATAATATTATGCATTTAGTATAACATAAGAGCAACACTTTTTATATTTTACATACATGTATATTTTTCCATTTTTCGAAATCCATCTGTAAAATTTACCCATTGTTTTATAAGATATCAGTTGTGATGTAATATTTACATTGTGTTTACAGAGTAAAAAGATCTATAGTTTTAAATTTGTTGTGAAATATCGATTGATTTTATTTTAAATATCAATCCATACACCTCAGTATTATTATTATTACAGGGCTATATAGCTTTAAGCTAATGTTCATACAATATACTGATACAGTATAAATTATGTAAACATCGCCTCTAAATGTTGTAAAACACATGTGTTTAACATAGTCAGGTATGTTGAGTACCTATCATGCTATGTGACCAATTAGTGTCAAGTTTGTTGGCTATAAATCCCCCATTTGGCGTGACGTCATTGTGGGTTAATTTTTGTCAAGCCCGCATGCAGTCAGTCAGCTCTACTTAGTTCTCACAATGCCAGTTTTATGTATTTGTGTATGTTTGTGCAGCTAATCAGTTGCTTAAAACTAAGTTAAAAGTCAGTGTTTCTGCCAAAATTCTCCTATAATCTTGACCTAAATAATATATGAAGGAGTTTTACTCCACTGTTCAAAGATCGCCACTGAGGTCCAAAAATTGTAAAAACATAAAATTTTGAAATTCTTTAAGTGAACAACTGGGGTGCTCAAAATGGCAAAATGTGCAAAAGATAACATAGGGACATATGTACTCATATTAGATTGAAAATCTATTTTTTTTGTAAGTTTTGGCCAGATTTGAAGTAAAAGTGATCTAACACTATTCCTTGTGGGATCATTTTGCACAGTAAAAATAATTCTTCTAGCAAAACAGAGAGAGCAAATGATCTGAAATTTTGCAGAAAAGTTATTGGTTCAGACCTATATGAAATGGTACACAATTCTTGAAAAAATATTTCCTAATGAGTCCTGTCTTGTCAAAAAACCTCTGTGGAGCCGATATAACTTTTGAAAATCGCAAACCACCATATGATATTAAATGACATACATGTATTTATTGTTTTAACATTACTAAGAGCTATGATCATATATCTTGAGTAAAATTGTCTGCCGGGTAACTTTTAACTTTTTTTTGTGTAAACAGTATACATGTATATAAATATAATTGTTGTTCAGCTAGTCATTATGTAAAAGGAGTAGTTTTTTACATTTCTTACAGTTAGTTGTTTGTGCCTGTTTTGTTTGGTTTAAAAATTGATATTGTGTTGTGTCTGAAAAGTCAATCTGCTGAAATGTGAGAATTATTATCCTAAACATTTGTTCTAATTTATGTGTTTCTAAAATTTCGGTACTATTTATCTTATTTTATATCATTATTTGGAAGTACAGAAAATACATATTCAAAGATAATTTGTTTCGATATGTTATGTGGAGAGGAGAGGTAAAACATATGATAATGTTTAACTCTACCCTGTTTGGACTGAAAATAGTTACCCTTTGTAATCAGTATACAGTCAGGCCAGCCTGAACATCTGTGCAGTCTGACCAGGCTCTATACTGCTGGTAAGCTCAGATTTTGTACTTTGAATGCTGAAATCCCTTAAACTTTAAATGGACTCTTCCAAATTTAAAGCAGGGCAAATCCATTACACAAATTCAGCAGGTGAAGGGTTAGAAAGTGCCAGCTGAATCAGAATATCTTGTTAAGTAATTATTGATGTACTGGTATTTTATTTTATGTCTTTGGTTGTACTTTTGCTTTGATGTTAGTATGATTATTTTTTGTGTAAAACTTGAGGATCTTTTGTATGTTCATTATATTTTCAAGGGTATTTTTAGCATTTTATCCATTTATTTAACCATTTTTATTTTTCAAAGAATCCATTTGCTTACACATTTGTTTGTTCCTCAGGTATGTTTCCATTTCATGCCGCATTTTTTGTGTTGTTTTTTATACAATAAATGCCTTAATCGAGAAAAATGTTTGTTTTGACTTTGGAGTTGACAGTTTTAACCCTTCAGACTAAAGATCTTTAGCAATAGCATCTTTGAAGGCTATGACACTAGAGGTTTGAACCTATAAAGAGAGGTCTGCTGTAAATTAATTTACCTTGCGAAGTCCTTTGATCCTGGGGTACCAAATTATCGACAGAACTTTAGAACAGCAATGATCTTTACAACATTTCCACTTTTGACTTCCAACTACTGCCTTTCTGAGGACAAACAAACATACATGTATTTTGCTTTTTTTTGGGGGGGGGGGGCTGGTTTTTGCATTATACCAACACAGTAAAAATCATGTGGCAACTTTCCAGCTTTACAGGTGGAGGATGACCTCAGGTGCACTTCTGTGCATTATTTCAGGCATGACTGAGCACCTGTGTAGAACCACACGTTTCATAAGCTAGCTGGATAGCTGCCTCACATGAAAGAATTCAAAGTCCCTGTCTGGATACGAACCCACAGAGGTGAGGGGTAAATGGTTTGAAGTTATTGACCTTAATCACTCACTCACATAGGCTGCTATATTTTGCTTTTAACTATAGCATAAAAATAACTTTGCTTTTCTCTACATGGAAACTATTCCGATGACAAAGATAATAATTTAAAACTAACAATTTAGCATATTATTAACACAGTAGTTGATTTTATCTAAAAATACCAGTTAACTTACATACTTGTGCAAAAACTTATATCAATATTGTATGACAACACACAACATCTATAAAAACAAGTTGGGGGAAGTGGTGCACTTAGGACACTATGTTATAACCAGTTTAAGATAAACCAAAAACATAGAACAACTGTCATATTATTTAAACTTTTAATCTAAAAAACAATCAATTAATTCCAAAACAAGCAATCTATAAACAATCTCATTTGAAACCAAAAAAAAAAAAAAGACAAAATTCTGATATAAAATGATACAATGTTTGTAAACTGAAAAATAAGTTCGAATCCCATAAGTTCTATCTCAGTTCAGTTGAATTTTTACTAAATTTTTTAAAGCCACTCTGTCATGCCACCATTAAAAAGAACCATAATGGAAATATAAGCTTGTAAACTCATTTTTGTGTTCTCTTTGGTATAATGTATATATGTTGTGTCATATATAAATAATATTGATATACATGTACATTGTATGCTGAACATGTTGTTAAGTTTCCAATATATGCATTGAGTCATTGACTTTACTTAAAATAGAATAATACCAAAAGTAAAATTAAAATACCTGTATTTTTGTCTCTAGCTATCAAATCATGATAAATAAATATCTATGTGCTTTGACTAGGTCACTAAAAGAGTTTTTGATTTCATCGTAAAAACGCACAAAAGATGTACATGTATTGTTCTGGAAATTCATGTATGGATTACAAAAGACTAAAAAGTTTTGTTTTTTTTTCACTAGGTTTTCACAATAACTTCTGTTATATCTTATGACTGCTCTCTAAAATCTTAAATCATTCATTCTTAACCAACTGGAACTAAAAGTAACGAGCCATTGCCACCAGTATAGAGCCAGGCCAGCCTACTTATCCGTACAGCCTGACCAGGCTCTTTAATGTTGGCTTACCAGCTTTAAAATTTCATATCCCTAAAAACTGACAACAAACAGTTTCAAAAATGGAAGCCAAGCAAGTGTAGCAAGAAATTCTGCAGTTTAAGGGTTAATTATATGTTTCATTTAACATACATGTATAAACATACATAATCAACACATGTTGCAAAACAAAAACAATATCCCATGTCCTTAATAGTTAAATAAGTTATTCATACATATACATTGTATATATAAATAATAAATTATGTAAAAATATTTTCTAAGACGTTTCTTTTTTCATCAATGGAAATTTTCTATAATGCTTCATAACATTTATTTTAAGTATTCTGTAGTTTTCGACACCGAGATATTTTAAGATCTAAACCTTAGTAGTGAGGGTATGTTGTAATTTCTTAAATTTTTACTTGAAAATATTTATTTTCAGATTGGTTTCTGCCTCCTCCAGTAAATATTTTTTTTACAAAAAAAAAAAACAAATCTTTTTATTTCAATAATATCTTTTAACAAAAACATTTAATTTCATTTTTATCTTTATCATAAAGACAATAAATACATATTTTTATTTTATTAACTCACAGTGTTTATTTCCATTCTTTTATATAACATTTCTTATTTATCATATACCTGTGTCGCTTTTGTGACTACGTAAAAACAGTAATGCACAGCTGTGCATATATTTTGACATGACATTGTTTGCATTAAACAAACATATTGTAAAGGCAAATTAATTATAGCATTACACAGAGGGCACATCAATAAAAAAGTGGTTAATTTTTACTGTAAAAAGTTCTTATTTTGGATACACATGTATGATAAATAAATATTACCGGTATATTCTTTAATACTAAACAAAGCAACAACAAAGAAAAACCAACAATTCATTTATATTTAACCCTTACCCTGCTGGGCGTGAAAGGGTTTAGCCTTTAATGCCATCAGTATTGAGCAATCTGACCAGGATCTATATTGCTGACCAACTTAAAACATTTATCTTGATATCCCTGAATTTGATAATGGATTGTTCCAAAACTAGATGCTGGACAAGTCCATTTTAGAATTTTAACAGGTTAAGGGTTAAGCTTATAAAAATCATCAGCATATTTAAATACCATTGTCATGAAATTTTTCTTGTTGAAAAACATGTAAACAAATCTAAATGATAAACAAACTGCATGATCAAGTTCTTATAAAAACATTATGGATATTTCTAAATAAGAATTAATGAAAACAAAATATGCAGCTGTTTTTAGAAAATTTAACAATAAGTTTATACATGCATAATATTCTTTATCAGAAATTTAAAACTTTTTGTCAATTTATGCACCTTGGGTATAATTTTTATCAAATAACAACAAATAACTCCACCAATTAACAACAGTCACATTAAAACCATAGACTAGAGTATTATATCATTTTAGTTTGGCATATAAAACAGATCTTTCATTTTGATCTATTTCCTGAGACAAAAAAAAAACATTAATGAGGTAGGCAATGAAAGAATTTAATGCCAAATGTGCCAGCAGTAATAAAGATATTCCTATGCCACCATACAGTCATGTAGTATGACATAAGAGGGCTGCTAAATTTAATATATTCTGTCATGAAAACTCATTGATTCTTAGCTTGCTGACGGCAACTCAATCTACCCATGCAGACTAAGCTGAAAATATTAGTTGTTTTCGTAATTTCTTTCCGAAATATGATTTATGTAACTATGATATGCAAGAAAAAATAATCAAAAATGACTTCCTTTGCAGCCGTAATATCTAGCTCTCAGGTAGCTTGGGGTGTGGAAATCCTATGCCCGACTTGTCGACTGGGGACTGGTAGATGGACAATGGACAAGTAGTTTTTTCTTTACAAGTGAAAATCTGAGCCAGTGGAAATTAAAAAATCCCTTAACAATGTGTAACTGATAAGGGGAAAATTCACAGATCCTTGCTTCCGCCTTAAAACAACACATCACAAGATTTACATTTCATGAAATTTGTTCTTTTTTGTAAGGGGCAAGTGGTTTGAAGTCAGAAACCTTAACCACTCAACCAAGGACACACCCCTTCCCCAAAATACTCCACTAGTAATAGGATAGAAATATGGTGATAAAAATAACAAACTATGTTAATTTTGCAGAGGTCATGCAAAAACTAACTTGGGATGTGATCATGTACTCATTTTTTAACATATTTACATGTTCTCCTATTAACATACATTTAGTTTTGTAAATTTTGAATACTTATTTCATATTCACCTACAGACTTGCAGCTCTCAAGTGCATTTATTTTCTGTTGGAATATGACTACATGTACTTATAAACAATATGCTAATTACCATATGTACAAGTAGCTCTGTCTATCCCAGTACTTGCAGGCATGCAACATGAATAGCTGTTCACCATTATTGATAAAATTAAGCAATAATGCAATCTGGCTAAAGTTCAGATCTTTTTATGTTAACATACAGTGCTTATGATTTAAGTGGTGATTCTCGTCAGACTGACAATTTATATAAATGTTCATTTACCGAGGCAATTATTATACATTGTACATGTAAACATGTATGTAATCATACAATATTGAATGCTGTTGTAATCACATATCAGTCATATAGGCCATATTGATTGATAACAAACTAATAAAGCATTAGAACAAGACAATGCAATATTGAATGATGAAGCATGAATGCATTAACAATAATAATCAAATCTGTTTTATATACATTTTCCAACTTGTCATCAACATAGTAAGTTTAGAATCTTCCTCTTCAACTTTATTTACAAATTTTAAATTATAGCAGTAACCTAGCGGTTAAGGTAATCTGCCTCTCAACCCAGAGGTCATGGGTTTGAGCCTTACTTGGGTCACCACCATGTTTCCTTGTCTGACGCCAGTATTGGTTAGTTCCATACAGCAGACTTTAAAATGGATAAAAATATGTTACAAGAACTTGTATTGCAATCCAGCTAAAATAAACATGTTTAAACTATTTATGAAATGCTTCAGGCCTCTAGTCCATTACGTGACATTAATAAGTACAATATTATAAGGAATAACACTTCTAGAAAAGTGGAGATTCTTTCAGAGCTATGAAAGTGAACAAAAATATAAAGAAATTTGAGTATGATCGTGAGGGATGATGGAGACTGCAACAATAAAACAAATTTGAGCAAAAACCTTTCAAAAACTTGCTACATCTAAATTACTTGTATATAAAAAAAATATCTGAAAATAAAGTTTAATTACAATTTCATTTCAAGTACACTGGTATAATAAATCATCTTTTTCAAGGATTATCATATGTACATTTTAGCATACTGTAATTATTTTTCAAATACAATATCAAAATAAATTTCCCACCGTAAGCTTTTATTACAATTAAATATTGAAACTACATATACTCAAATTTAATGCATTCTAAACCAAGACCCAAAACTCTTTTGCAAAATACAGAGCCAAGCTGATAAACACAGACATCCGTTCTGTCTCAGAGGTTCTCTACTGTCTGCATATTTTCAAATTTTCCAATGAAATATTCCTAAAATTGATAATTTGACTGTTTCAAAATGGTCATTGGACAAGTCCATTCACAATTATTCAGCAAAGTGACCTAAAATTGATAATTTTGGACAAGTCCATTCACAAATTCAGCAAAGTGACCTAAAATTGATAATGTAACTGTTTCAAAATGGAAGTTGGACAAGTTCATTCACAAATTCAGCAAAGTGACCTAAAATTGATCATTTGACTGTTTCAAAATGGTCATTGGACAAGTCTATTCACAAATTCAGCAAAGAGACCTAAAATTGATAATCTGTCACTGTTTCAAAATGGAAGTAGGACAAGTTTATTCACAAATTCAGCAAAATGACCTAAAATTGATAATTTGACTGTTTCAAAATGGTCATTGGACAAGTCCATTCACAAATTCAGCAATGTGACCTAAAATAGATCATTTGACTGTTTCAAAAGAGAAGTCAGAAAAGATTAGTAGAGTTGAATAATGCTCCAGTAACATTACCATTAGATATATAAGACATGATTTTTTACACAAGCATTAAGGTAATAACAACAAAAGTTACAATGAATTTAAGATAAAATACATCTTCCAGCAACAAACCACTTCTAATCAACATCCAAATACATGTAGCAAAAATGAGAGGCAAGTAAATTGTTAACAGGTGTCCGATTTTCTTAACAGTTGCAAATCTGTTTAAACAGCTGCAGTCTTTTCCTACTACATTTTAATTCTACATACCTGTCAGAATCTATTTACATGTTGGAAAATTGTACATAGCTGCCTTTATTTAAATTCTGAGAAAAAAAAATCCTGAAAATCGTATGCCTCTATAGATAAAACATATCTAAAAAAAGAACAGACTAAGCAATCAATGAGGTATTCGCTTAATATTTTCCAACTAAACATGGATCTAACAAAAATGTCTGCTTCTTAAATTAATAAAATAACAAGAAATTGAAATTAAGCACATGCATGTACTGATAAAATTCACCTTTGTCTTGAAATTGTAACCATTTAAGACAAGAAAATACTCTACGAAGTAAATAACAGTAAACACTTTTGATATACATAAAACAAAGGAAAGGGAAGTAACCAAAATGAAATACAAACACTCCAAGAAATTAGTAAACAGAAATGGTAACAAATGGTCTGATAAAGTATGCTACAAGTTTTTTTCTTAATGTTTTTTGTTGATGTTTTTGTTGTTGTTGTTTTTATTTGGTGTCGCACCAACATGGTATAGGTCATATGGTGAAATTCCAGCCTAAAGAAACTGGTAGAGGAAGTCTAGACCTCTGGTGCCACTCCATGCATTATTTCAAGCATGAGCAGTCACCCAAGTAGAACAACCAACATTTCTGTAAGCTAGCTGGACAGCTTACTCACATGAAAGAATCAAAAGTCTCGGGTGGGATTTGAACCTACAGCAATGAGGGGAAAGTGGTTTGAAGTAAACGACCTTAACCACTCAGCCATGGACGTCCCTCGAAATGTTTCAAGCCATTATAAACAACACACATTAATAACCTTATAAAATCAAACATTTTGCTCTGAGGCAATTGATTAATGTAAAAGAAAAGAAATGATAATTTAGTCATAGTCACTGTACATACAATTCATTTAATGTTATTTTCAGCAAAATGAAACATTTTTGTTATAAAGGGAGGCAATTCAAACAAAGTAAATATACAATAAAGACTAGTTTAACTTACAGAGACGCCAAAGTCCCTGAGCAGGATATATGTTCCAAAATAAATAGAGAGATAATAAAAATGTTGGGACAGATTCTATTCTAATTGGGGCATATTAAAGATTGTCATTGTGGTGCTATTTAAAGTTGCCGCATGAAAAATACAGGTATACTGGCTTAATAAAATAATTAGTCATTTTGCTTTTTTCCGAAATGGTGCGAACAGTACAGAGATTGTTCATTTCAGAAATAGCCACCGGTACTTTAACACGTAATTGTATTAATATAACAAGGGATCCTTGGTTTAAAGTCTCTTCCAAAAGACTATTAGTAAAAGTAATTTTCGTGCAAGTAGCATGGGGAATAAAACTCACAAACCCTGGAATTGTACTCATATAGTGAACTTCACCAAAGTTCTATAAAGTAGGTAATAATATATAATGTATGCTTTTTAACAATCACCCATCAAAAATTCTCACTGTAGTACAGAATCAAAACAGATTCCATCAATAAAATGAAAATAAAATAATAACAGTTAGGATCTTTTTAGCCCTACATTAATAATGTATGTGTGTTAAATTATATGGGATGAAATCGTAGAAGAGATACTTACCCCATAACCTGCTGAATTTGTGTAATAGATTTACATGGAACAGACCATTTAAAGTTAAAGGGATTTCAACATCATAATAGAAATATGAGCCACAAACAATATAGCAGCTGGTCAGAACACACAGAAGGTGCAAGCTAGCCTGGCTCTACACTGGTGGCAAAGGGAGATCACTTTTGGCTCAAGCAGGTTCAAGGTTTAGTGTTTTACTTTTACTACAGACTAAGATGAATCTAAGTCAAACATTACTGAATATTCTTTTTCATATTGTATGACAGAATGTCTAATAAAAATATTCTGATATGTCTGAAACAAAAAAATAAAACATTCAAAAGATGAAAATTCTAAACTATCTTATACTTCAGTCCTAAACCTTATTATTGACAAAAATAAATCTTAACAAATGAAGTTTGAAAAATAAACTCAATTAAATACTAACAAATCCTTACATAAACAAAAAAATCAAAAACACACAAATTTAATCTTTTCATTGTGAATTTGAGTTATGAGTGGTCTCCAGCTCCGGCAGCCCATACACCTTGTTATAAAGTTCCATCTCCGCAAACCACTTAAGATTACCATCTTTACAGATTTCACACATGATATTCAGTGGTCGATCATCTTGCCATGTTTCGGACGTGAGCATGTCTCCCCAATTTGTTGGACCAAAGTACACCATTGACAGCCTCTTGATATGGAACTCATGGAACGAGGACTTAATGTGTTTCAAAAGTTCTTTCCTAGATGCCACACTCGTGTTCTCAGTAAAATATCTCAAATAAGATGCGCACCTTGTCCTTTCATTATGATCAGTATCTGTCAAAGGTATTGTAAAGCAATTGATATGAGTGTCCTCTGCCTTCTGTTTTGGAGTGACAAACGGTCTGTTATTTCCCAACGGAGTTTTCACCAATGGGGCAAATCTATTTCTCCACCATTCAGGTACGGCCTCAATCTTACTAGTTTTCTTATTAATAAAAGCATACACGCTCCGTGTCCTTATTGATGGATTCAAGTTCCCGCCACAAAACAGCTCATTTGTAGTGGTAAAAGTAGTGTTTCCAATGTCTGATAATTTTACTTGGACGTCCAGTGGTGCTTTAGGCGTTGTCGTTTCATAGAATTTACTACTGATGTCCATAACACAGCATTTGACAAAAACGCGGAGATTCTGATGACGCAATGCAAGATAGTCCAGGAAGGACGGTTCATGACCAAAGGATGCCGTCTCCACATGGCTCATCATATCAAACATTGTGACCATGTTTGGCTGACCTGAAAAATTATTTTAAAACAAAGATTAAGAAAAAATGCAAGATCTATAATAACAAGCATTTGATAGTATTGCGGGCAATACAGTAGTCCCCTACCGGTCCCTCAAAAAGTTCTTTAATTGTCATACACTCCTGTGTATTGACATTTATAATGAATTTGAGGATGAAGTCTGTATTTGAAAATATCGACCACAAAACATAATAAAATAAGTTTGTTTATATCACAGTAATGTGTTAAGTTTCCATGCTTAGTAAGGAAATTATGTTTATACAACCTTGTCATATTATTACGATGTGGGATTTTAAAGTAAATCCTATAAGGAATGAAGAAGTTGGAGTGAAAATACCAGTTTCTCGAAAAAAATCTAAGTTCAAGGGGGACATAATTCTGGAAATAGTCTTGCTAGAGTATTTAACCTTCTCAAAAATGTCGAGTGATAATAAGAAACATATATATGAAGTTTGAAGTAGATACATTAGGAAATAAAGAAGTTATTTAAAAAAGACAACATTTTTCCCCTAAAAAATCTAAGTTCAAGGGAGGTAATATTAATATTTTTTGTGCTAGAGTTATAAACCTTGTCAAATATGATGTGGTTGATGACCAGGAACTTATATTTAAAGTTTGAAGTAAACACCTAAGAAATAAAGAACATATAGTGAAAAAGCTGAAAAATTTAAATCAGAAATCTTGAAATTCAGGCTATTTGTTGCCATAGCAACCAGAATTTTCAACATAGGAAGAAAATAAAAAGATGTGCATAATCTCCAGACTGCCATCTACCCATATTTCAAGTTTCATAAAAATATTTTCAGTACTTTTTGAGTTATCACTGGATCCAGTTTATGTGTTAAATTTGCCATATTTTCAGACTATTTGTTGCCATAGCAACCAGAATTTTCAACATAGGAAGAAAAGAAAAAGACGTGCATAATCTCCATACTGCCATCTATCCATATATCAAGTTTCATAAAAATATTTTCAGTACTTTTTGCGTTATCGCGGGATCCAGTTTTGTGGACGGACGGACTGACGGACTGACAGACTGACAGACAGACAGACAGACAGACGGACAGACAGACAGACGGACAGACGGACGGAGGGTAAACCTAAAGTCCCCTCCGGTTAAACCGGTAGGGGACTAATAAACAAGAGCTGTCCGTAAGACAGCGCGCTCGACTTTTTTATTGCTTGCCAATAAAAAAAGTTTTTGCAGTAAAAGGCAATACAAGAATCTCTGTATTTTTAAAGTGAACAATGGCCATAATTCAAATAAAATCTTTGACAGAATTACCTTCTCCTGGACATGTTTGGGAATCATGATTGTAAACAAGTATTCCAACTTTCAAATTAATATCTCAAACAGTTCAGTCAAAAAGTGGACTGGTACTAAAAACTTAACCAAGATTCTAAGTCGATAAAAGGCCTTAATTTTTAAAACAAATCCTTGACAGAGTTACCTTCTCTTGCGTACAGATGGGGGTAATGATGTGAAATAGCATTAAAAGTTTCAAAGCAATATCTCAAAGGGTTAAGGCAATAAGTGGATTTTACCCATATTCAATGTATTTTCTAAGTCAAAAAGGGGCATAATTCTGTCAAAAACCTTGACAGAGTTATGTCCTCTTGTCTGTTGATGAAGGTCGTGATGGTAAACAAGTATGGTCAGTTTCAAAGCAATACCTCCAATGGTTTTGAAATAAAGTGAGGTGGTACAAAAAACTTAACCAAGCTCAATACACTTTCTAAGTCAAAAAAGGGCCATAATTCTGTCAAAAACCTTGACAGAGTTATGTACTCTTGTCTGTAGATGGAGGTTATGATGGTGAACAAGTATGGTAAGTTTCAAAGCCATACTTGTAATACTTCTGAAATAAAGTGGGGTGGTACGAAAAACTTAACCAAGGTGTGACGCCAACGCCGACGCCGACGCCGGGGCGAGTAGGATAGCTCCCCTTTTCATAGAAAAGTCGAGCTAAAAAGTAATAAATCTAGACTGGGGTCTATGATATGTTCATGCGGTCCTTAATGAGTTCATATGCTCCTTAATAAGTTCATATGGTCTTTGATAAGTGTAAACAGTAATTGATATGTTCATTCAGTCTTTCATAAATTCATACATTCTTTGATCAATTCATATTTTCTTTGCTATGTTTTCTTTAAACAAGTCTTTGATAAGTGTATGTGGTCTGTGGTCTTTGTCAAGTTCATGTGGTCTGTGGTCTTTAATAAATTCATGTGATCTGTGGTCTTAGATAAGTTTATGTGGTCTGTGGTAATTGATAAGTTCATGTGGTCTGTGATCTTAGATAAGTTCATGCGGTATGTTGTCTTTGATAAGTTCATGTGGTCTGTGTTCTTTGACAAGTTCATGTGGATTGTGGTTTTGATAAATTCTTGTCACTTTGATCAGTTCATGTGCTCTTTAATATGTTTGTCAGTCTTTAATAAATTCATAATGCTTTTGGTAATTCATACTCTCTTTGACAAAGTTCATGCAATCTTTGGTAAGTTAATCTGTCATACTCATTACTGTCTTTGATAATTCAAACAGCCTTTAATAAGTTAATACAGTTTCAAAACTCCTAAAATCTTTGATAAGTTTATTTGATATTGGAAATACCCTTACCTGTATGATTAATATCATCAAACCTGAGTCCTGGTAAAACAACCTGCACGCCATTCAGATCTTTACTCACTTGAATCATCAAGTTGAGTGATGGGTATGACCTGAAATGTGGAACATGCCATACATGTAGGTTAACCAAATAACGAGGACCAAATGTAGTGTAAACACTCATCTGTTACTATCAGTAAGACAATAACCCAATTTTTCTTAATATTCAAATAACAAGAGGGCCATGATGGCCCTGGGGTGGCTCACCTGTACATAGGCCCCCAGGGCGGGGCCAGTTTAAACCAAAGGGCTTTTATTTGAACAAACTTGGAAGACACCCATTAGAAGATGTTTCATGATGTTAAGTTTTTACTATACACAAATAATGAAAAACAATGACTTTTGCCCCCCCCCCCCCCTCCCCCTGGCAGGGCCAATTTTAACCCAAGGGCTTTTATTTGAACAAACTTGGTAGACACCCATTAGAACATGTTTCATGCTAAATATCTTAGCTCTAGCTCTTTGGGTTCTTTAAAAGAAGATTTTTAAGTTTTTAATTACTATATGCAATATAGGGAAAATCAATGACCCCCTAGGGCGGGGCCAATTTTGACCCAAGGGCTTTTATTTAAACAAACTTGGTAAACAACCATTAGAACATGTTTCATGCTAAATATCTTAGCCATAGCTCTTTGGGTTCTTTAATAGAAGATTTTTAACTTTTTACTCTATGTATATAGGGAAAATCAATGAACCCTGGGGCGGGGCCAATTTTGACCCAAGGGCTTTTATTTGAACAAATTTGGTAGACACCCATTAGAAGATGTGTCATGCTAAATATCTTAGCTCTAGCTCTTTGGGTTCTTTAAAAGAAGATTTTTAAGTTTTAACTACATGTATATAGGGAAAATCAATGACCCCTGGGGCTGGGCCAATTTTGACCCCAGAGCTTTTATTTGAACAATCTAGGTAGACACTCATTAGAAGATGTTTCATGCTAAATACCTTAGCTCTAGCTCTTTGGGTTCTTTAAAAGAAGATTTTTTTAAGTTTTTACTATATGCAATATAGGGAAAATCAAAGACCCCCTGGGGCGGGGCCAATTTTGACCCCAGGGCTTTTATTTGAACAATCTTGGTAGACACCCATTAGAACATGTTTCATGCTAATTATCTTAGCTCTAGCTCAAAGAATTTTTTTTAAGTTTTTACTATATGCATATAGGGAAAATCAATGACCCCCTGGGGCCGGACCAATTTTGACCCCAGGGCTTTTATTTGAACAAACTTGGTAGACACTGATTAGAAGATGTTTCATGGTTAATATCTTAGCTCTAGCTCTTTGGGTTCTTTAAGAGAATTTTTTTTTAAGTTTTTACTATATGCATATAGGGAAAATCAATGACCCCCTGGGGCTGGGCCAATTTTGACCCCAGGGCTTTTATTTGAACAAACTTGGTAGACATCCATTAGAACATGTTTCATGCCAAATATCTAAGCTCTAAATCTTTGGGTTTTTTAGAAGAAGATTTTTTAAAGTTTTTACTATATGCATATAGGGAAAATCAATGACCCTGGGGCGGGGCCAATTTTGACCCCAGGGCTTTTATTTCAACAATCTTGATAGACACTTATTAGAAGATGTTTCATGCTTAATATCTAAGGTCTAGCTCTTTGGGTTCTTTAAAAGAAGATTTTTTTAAGTTTTTACTATATGCATATAGGGAAAATCAATGACCCCCTGGGGCGGGGCCAATTTTGACCCCAGGGCTTTTATTTGAATAAACTTGGTAGACATCCATTAGAACATGTTTCATGCCAAATATCTAAGCTCTAGCTCTTTGGGTTTTTTAGAAGAAGATTTTTTTAAGTTTTTACTATATGCATATAGGGAAAATCAATGACCCCCTGGGGCCGGGCCAATTTTGACCCCAGGGCTTTTATTTGAACAAACTTGGTAGACACTGATTAGAAGATGTTTCATGCTTAATATCTTAGGTCTAGCTCTTTGGGTTCTTTAAAAGAAGATTTTTTTTAAGTTTTTACTATATGCATATAGGGAAAATCAATGACCCCCTGGGGCGGGGCCAATTTTTACCCCAGGGCTTTTATTTGAACAATCTTGGTAGACACTCACTAGAAGATGTTATCTAATATCTAAGCTCTAGCTCTTTGGGTTTTCTAGAAGAAGATGTTTAAAGTTTTTTCTTTTGGTTGCCATGAAAAATTTTAAATGTAATCAATAGTGATTAAAAACATTCATTGTTGATTACATTATAAATTCAGCTCTAATTAAATAGTCTTAGAGACATTTGTTTTTTCCCCTAAAATAGGCTCATATCACATATTTTTGTAACACACACATGTAGAAAATGGATATATATGATCATTTATATATATTTTTTTCACTATAAATATTATTTTAACCTTGAAATTTCAATGAAAGTTTGACTCATGAAAATACTTTAAATCACTTCCACACTTCCTTTTTTTCTTTAAATGACAGTTAATGCACTAGAATTTTACCAATCACAATTTAAGACCATTTGAAATATTTGTTAACATTTTATTATACCCAGAAAGTCCATGCAGGGCCAAAGGCCCTGGAGGGCTGTAGCACTCTTAAGGACATGTATGACACATATCAATTCAAATGAAATCAAATTAAAAGTCAATAAAAATTTCAAAAAAATATATATCCTATACCTAATGAGCTGTGAAAAAATCCTTAACTATAACTGGGCGCCGCCATTTTGAAATCATTTTGAGCTAAATATAGAAATCAGAGCTCTTTTAATGAGCGTCTACATAATTCAGACTATTGCTAGCAGACGCGAACTAAATAGCACTTCTGGTGAAAGAATGATGTACAAAATCAGAAAATAAAAATGCATTTCATTGATAAGAACTATGGTAAATATAAAAAGTTACTTTAACATAGCCTTTTCGATAAATAAGCACACTAAAAAATAACGTTAAAACAACAACAACGGGAATTTCCAAACGCTGACGCAAGTGCAGCGGCCCACCTTTATGTTCCTATATTTACGGAATATTCTGAGCACTCCGATGATAGGCTGAACACCATCAATTTATTTGTTTTGTTTACGTACAAAATACCTGCAAGAAATATCTGGTTTACATGTACACTAAACATGTTTTGCTAAAATCCTAATTCATAAGAGTTTTCCGCACCAGAGGTTGCACGTTATTTCATATTTTGAACGAATAACATGGAATTATGCCAACCAGCGATTCCGAGCAGATGATTTATTTCTTAGTTTTTGTCATTAAGACCAGTTGGAAAAAAATCCTATTTATTGAAATTTTTCATAGTCTCAGTATCATAAAATACATTTTTGCACCTCATTTACTATTACTTACTAACGGTTGACAGTGACACCTTAATTACGTGTCAGTCTCACTGTCTCAGTCTGACTGTCAAGCTATGATTGTAAGGAAATACATTTATGCAAGAACGTTTTGGTGCACAAGCAAATGCTACATTTGTAAGTTAATATCCGAATTCTACTCAAGTTCGAAAGTTATTTTCATTATTTGGAATTGTCTTGACAAAACATGTAAAGTTATTGATTGATTTCATTCTATCAACTAGTCCCTTTATCGGAACAACCACTGACAAGCCTAAATCATGAGTTTTTACCTGTGCAGCTTCTGAAAAGCATTTCTGTAAATTGACATTTTTGTTTGTGTGTCCCGGTGCTACATAAAATTTGAAAATCGTAGGATTTAATAGAGTTGAGTTAACTCGCAGTGATCTCCCCTTATCAGTTTCTGCCAAGGGATGTAAGGAGTTTGCAAAAAGAGCGGTAAGAACACAAAAAAATATTTAAGGAAACGTTTCTTTTTGTATAAATGTGTTTCTTTAATTAAGCCTCCATATGTCCATAATAAAAAGCAACAAAAACTATAGGCTTATGGTCATGATACTAGCAACTCTGCAAAATGAATTGATAACGATTCGCCCCGAAACGATTCGCCCCAATATATAGATATATATATGTAATATGAAAAAGGCAAAGCCTCGAAGCGAGCTCGATGTACTTTTAACTTGAAATAGTATGAAATAATCGCTCATTTTTATTTTAAATTTTCTGTTTTAAAATTGTCATTTGGTATTTTATTATTATACACTGTTTCCGTTTATTCTGGTTCCTCCTATTAACAGGTCTAGGATTTCATGATATTTATGGACTGTCTTTAAATTTATAGACAGTCTAGAAATTTTAAGATTTTTCAGTCCATAAATTTACAGATATTCAGTGTGGAATTTGCTGTTTTTAGTTTTACACTAAAATCCGCAGCTTAAAACAAGTTGTCTTATTGATTGTTTATATTTACAAAGGTAATAGAGTGAGTTTCATCTTTGTATGATGATTTTGAAATTTTTGTTAAAAGTGAAAATTGAAAATCATCAAATTGTTCTGAATCTTACCATAGTGATACATTTAATCAAATAATACATAGACTTATTCATTTTAACCTGCGGTTTTGAATTTTAATGCCACTTCTACTATTTTCTTATTTAATGTCTGTAAATTTACAGATAAAAAAATCTATAAAATTATGGATTGTCCAAAAATTTACAGACTGTCCATAAATATCATGAAATCCTAGACCTGATTAAATGAATATAATTAATGTATTTTATCATTTGTGCTATGAAATTACCTTAATTAAATTTACAAATCGGCCAATGTTTGTAAACAAATGAGTGCGTGTGACGTCACACGTACTGTGTTAAAAATGGTTTCGCCCCTTTATTTTTTCTGTAGTTTTTTTTTCTAACACGCCAAGAAAAAATATAATTATTATTATAATGTTGGACTTTATGTTTGGGTGGTTAAATTTGTTTTCGCCTCAGAGTTTCCAATAGAAAAGTTCTTTAGAGGCTCTGTTCCAGTGGTATGAAAAATAAAGGCTGTTCCAGTGGTATGAAAAAAACTGTCGTTACGTGTGTAGAAACATTTTGAGAATAACGAATTTAGTAAAGGTTGATAAAACTTTGTTTATTTTATTTTACTCTATAATTTTTCAAGCGAAATAAAGATTATTAAAAGTGAAATAAATCATTTTAAATGCAAAACTTAACACGTTTGCAACTTTAAAATAGCGTACTTGATTTGATTGTTTTGCATGTGCTGTTTGGCGCTACATTGTGACGTCACGTAAACAATACTTTAAACGTCTGTACAGCGTTAACGACTTAATAAAAGATTTTGGTGTTCGGATTCATTTTCTTAGTTAGACCATTTTCTTTCATTCTAGATAGTTTTCACATCAAAATTCGACAAAAAATTGTTTGGATTTATCATATTTTTCAAACAAAATGGCGCCCTCAATATGAAAATACACAGGGAGATAATAAGAACAGCGTGTGCATTGTAGTCGGGCATTCTTTGCTTATACGATAGTGTTAGAATGTTTTGTTTGTTGAAAAAAGAAGAGGTAAATGTACATTTAATGAAACATATGTACGGGAAAAGTCGGTTAAAGTTATCGTTTAATTTTCATTTTACATTTTCTGTTTTAAAACTGTCATTCGATATTTTATATGCAGCTTCCGTTATTCCGGTTCCCTGTCCAATTATGGTTCCCATAGAAGTGCGCGGATGACCAGTCTACACATCCGTTTTCATTCAGAATTCCTCATTTATTATTGTTATCTTTAAATTAGAAAAGTTGCGATGTGTCCAATTCGGTACTTCGGACGAAAGTTTTCAAAACCATCACTTAGCAGGTACTCGCGTTACCGTAAAGCTCGCTTTGCAAGCAGGCCCTTAGGGCCAGCTCGTCAAGCTTGCTAGTACTCCCCGCGGGTACCGCGTCCATGCCCATTCCGTTGTAATCAGAAAATGTATTTCTGTACACACTGAATGCCTCCAAACAACTGTTTCCACCATTTAAGTGAAAGTAGAAGTGCTGTTATTTTGAATTTGGTCTTTGGATATATACTAAATTGTTGGAAATATTTTCATGATGATTCACCAAATTTAATGCGATTTTGCACTATTGACAAAAAAATGAATTGGCACAGGAAAATCGGCAAACTCCACACAGTGATTTCCCTTTGCACCTGGCAGATTTGATATGATGATGAAAGTCACATGATGTAACATCAAATTTCAAAAATGTAAATATCGACAGTTGAATAGAAAATCTAACATCATTTTTCTCTTTCTGTTTTATTTTTAACTTTTTGTATTTACGTTCGTATAGTTTATCAAAAAATTATCAAAAGTGTACAAAATAATGAAAAATTAAATTCAAAAGCTAAAAAATATAAAATACCGATAAAAATGTGTGTGATGGCAGAGATCTCTCGATACTGATAGGGGGAGATCACTGCGTAGGAGATTGGAAAATCGAGATCTCTCGATACTGATAAGGGGAGATCACTGTGTAGGAGGAAAATCGACAGCAAAGGGCCATGGGCGCATTTAAAATATGGGCCAAACATGTATCAATTTGGAAAAAAACAAAAAACAACATCCATTAGGATATTAAGTTATCCAGTCAAAACCAGTACTAACTGCGACATGTTTTATACTGATGTCACAAATCCTTTTGCAATAACACAGCGTCGAATCATGGATAGGAAATAAATGTATTATTATTTTCAATCAATGGAATTTAAATTATCCAACTGTATTGGACCCGGAAAATAAAACACATACGTAACAGTAACACATGTTGCCAAATGACGTGTGAATTGGATGATTACAGTCCAATTGTAAAATAGTTGGTTAAATTAAACCACTTGTTTAAATTTATCATATGTATGATTAAGTAAACTTTTGGATTATCATTAGGTTTACAAATTGTTTAAAAGTTAGATGAAATTAAACTAGGATAAATTTTGTTTAAATTAACCCAGGTAATAGAGGTGGGTTAAAGTTTAAGCAAAGCTTACCCAGAAATAAAGTACCTACTCTTTTTTTCCGGAATGCTAGAAAACAACTTAGACAAGTTGACAGACAGGTGGCCTAGATGACAAAGAACTTGGGAAATGATATTGATAAGGGTCACAAACTTAGATACTGGGAGAGCTTATTTGGGACTGACTGACGAGGGCAAAACAAAACTTTGCACTGAAGAAATGATAGTGTCTCTTACAATTACAAGAGTAACTGTTACAAACATAGTGTTAGACGAATACATCAACTTTCTTAAGACGAAGAACATCAAGAATGCGGCTTAATTTCAGGATACTTTTAGGAATGCTATCTATAGTGCTGTCATTGATTCAGTTTAAAGCATATCAACAGTACATGTATATCGATATTGGATGACAAAAATCAGCGATATACCAATATATTGATGATTGCTTATACATGTAATTTCTTTTCTATAATTTACTTTCAAACCTGTTTAAATGATTGTCACAAAATATATGTTCTTTCCATGTGATGATGTGTCTTGTTTATAAATGGCCATTGTATGATTTTATTCAGACCCTTTTTTTGTCATCACTTCTATGAAGTTTGTCCAATATGTAATGATTGCATAGTGTTTGAAATGAAGATTCACTTATGTAAAATTATGTTTTGGGTTAATTTTTATAATGAATTCATTAGTCAAAATTATCGATTTTTTCAAATGTGTGTTGATTGTTGTTTGACAGAATAGTATCAACAATACATCCAGTGATTTTTCTGCTTATATAACAGACTCCGAAAAAGGGCCTCTTCCCAATTGAAATTTTCTTTAAAATCATGCAGTTTTCCCAAAAATCTTAACTTAAACCTGCTTTAAGCAGTTTTAGCGATATTTTTTCCCAAAATCAAGAGGCTAAGGCCTCTTCCCAATTAAGTGAAAAAAATCACTGACATCAATATTGTTTCTATTGATGACAGCTCTAGCTATTTGTAGAAAATTCAGGTGCCACGCTTCACACTACTCTATTTCAAATAATGGGTCTTCACTCTTCAAAGTTTTAATGTATGATGATAGGCTGGTATCAACATATATTATTGCATTATGCACTAATCTGGTGATACACTAGACCTGTTCATTGATTTATCACATTTTATTTAGTTTTTAGTGTGTATAGATACTTCATAAATTATGAACTTTAAGAAACAAACATAATGTATGTTAACATAAATAAGATTACTATCAAAATTACAGTATTGTTACAAAAATTGTATAACCATCTATTGAAATAAAAAAATGTAAATATTAACATATATTAGTATGAATATATGTTGATTGATATATATTACATTTGATGATATGTAATTTACAATGATTAAAAGATTATATGAATTTATTTTAAATTTATAAATATATGAATTCATGTATATGTATTGTAATTATGTGTAATGTATATTACGGAAATGAAATACACGGTCAATCAGTCAGCCAGTCAGTCCCACTGCGAGACCAAAAAATACAATGAAGTTAGTTGTTTTGTTTCTTCCTGTTGGATGAAGTGGTTAAGGGAATGACTGTGACCAAGTACTTGTGTACTTGTCAGAAACAATTTATATGACCATAAATTTCTCATGAATAATGCAAATATTAAACCATAGTTTATATTTATTTAAATAATCAGCGAAATTGTGGCATGTGATGAATCAGGTCAAAGACCTAAAGTTATAGAACCAGCTGTTTATAATGTTTGTGCCTTAAATAATCAATGTGTTATCTTGATTTAATTTATTACTAAATTGAAAGTCGTGCCATCAGAATGACCAGATGACCATAAAGATTGAAAATAATCATTTCTTAACCCTTAACCTGCCGGGAACCGGAACTAAAAAACCTTTGAAACCTGACTAGAACAGAGCCGGGCCAGAATACATATCCATGAAGTCTGGCCAGGCTCTTTACTGTTGGTTGAAATATTTTGTATTTTAATATACTGAAATGTGAACTTAACAGATAGCAGGGCAAATCCAGTTCACAAAACAGGAGATTAAGGCTAGCACAAAGTATAAAGGACTTTTATATATAAAATCCTTATTTGCAAACTTAGAGATTTATTGAACAATTCCAAAGCAGGTAACATTTTACAGTCTTACGAATAGGATCTTACATTTTTAATGGGTTTATTGATTTTTACTTTAACAAGATTTATTTTCTATCCATCACATACAAGTAGTTGACTGAAAAAAAAAATTCTGATTCAAAAAATCAGTACATTATTATTATCAGTATACTTTTATTGATTTTTTTTTAAATTCCATGCTTGAAGGATATGTATGTATTGTCCAACAACATTGACCTGGCACTCTTGCATTTGACCTTGTAGTTGGTAAATTCCGTAAACGTTACGGTCGGTATGAATGTAAAATTTCAATTGTTAAATGGTCTAAATTAAAAATCCCTCTTAGGCAGTAAGGAATCGAACCAGTGACATTCAGATCTGTAGTCCGACATCTATACCAATACACTACAACTCACTGACGTTCGAAGTAAGTAAATATATTCGATAGATACTGCCTGGACGGGTCAGTATTTATTTGAATGACCTTTACAAATATTAATGAAGTGCCAGGTCAATATTGTTGGACAATAAGTATGTTTATTGTTGTGATATAGTTGTATTATCAATAAATATACATACTTGCAAAATACAGATACTACAGTATTTATACATAGCTGAGAACAAGTGTACTTTAAACTCCTGTGTCATTGGTTCAACTTCATTTGAGATGTTATACAGTAGCGTCATCTCTTTATGACTAATTGAATTAATACATCTAGTTAATCTGTAAAAGTTATTTTAGTGGATATAAGTTTTTGTGTAGGATCTACAGGAGATTTATTGAAGGAACTGTTTAAATCGGGTAACGTTTAATTAGTGCAGTCATATTTTTGTTAACATTTTAGATTTAGCTTGAACATGATTTATTTTAAATCCATCACATACATTGTTGGTTGTTGTAGTTGGTTGGAAAGAAATTTTTTGTAAGCAAACTTTTATATATAAGTATTCCATAAAAATTAAATTTTGTTCATTTTTGCGACGGACGCGCCCTCAGGCGCGTTCAGAGCTAAGTCATCTGCATGGGAATTCGTTGGCTACAATCGCGCAGTGTGTCCTAAACCGATTAACAGCCCAAGAAATAGTACATGAATTTGATCCTTCAAAACTCCCATACTTTGTCTGGATATCTTAAAATCTTTCATATTTAGCCTTTTCAATTTCAAATTAAGTTATCCAAGTTAAAATATGAACGTATATTATTGATAAAAACGTTGTAGTCCCGTAGTATTATTGCGCAATATGCAAATTACTGCCGAAACGATTTACCGCTGTCGAAAAAGTAGGACAGCAAATTATACTACAATAAAGGTGTAACCTCTGAGTTCCAAGACATTATTAGTAGGAAATAAATATTTCTTCATTATACAAAACATTATTATTAACAAATCGAAAGTTAATCAAAAGTTTTTCGTGACTCTAGGATAACTCGCGCATTAATAAAAGAAGAACTATTTTCATGACTCATACCGCGGGTTTAGCTGAATATTCAGCAGTTATTAATATCTTAGATACAGTACAATGGTTAGTAGAAATATCTATTTTTGAAAATGCATGTAAGAAGAGAGTTTAATTTTCAACACTTGACCGCCATGTAGTCTTTCATGGTAAGGAAGTTATAATATCAGTTCTACTTCCGATTCTTGTGGTTTGTTTACATATTTTTCTAGGTCATGATATGAGTTAACCTTCGCTATTCTAAAAATAGATTCTGCTTCACCTGTTCTGATTTTTGGACAGGCGATTAGGGAGTACACATTATACATGTAATAAACCAATTATTTACTTTTAGAAATTCTATACAATTGTAAGAAGCAAACAAGTTGAAAATGGAATTTAGTGTGAAATTGAAAAGGACAACTAAACACTGTAGTGCTTAAGTGACATTTAAATTAAAATAAAAACGATGTGCTCTGGCCTCTACATCTTTACCTTGTAAATAAAAAAAATCTAAAAAATACACTATAAATTGCTGATGATTTTAACCAAAATTTTTTTTAATGAGACATAAAAAATACAAATGACTTATATTTTATTGTCTATATGCCCACTATGATATAACACGAAGCAATTCTAAATAGCATTCTCGAATGTATAATGTATTAATTTATGTTTGAAGTTTATTTGCCTGGTTTTATTTTAGAAATATTTCGTTAACAGTTTTTTTTTCTATTTACATATCATTTCTTGGAATAAATCGATAAGGACACTGATTTACAAGTTTGACCAGAGTTTTTAGGCATAAATTTCATTCTGTATTTAAGTGCTTGAAAGTAGAAAATCTGAATTATATCAGTTTGGGACACAAAATATATTGCTCTACAAATCTCGAACTTGTATGGAACGAATTTTCTCTGTTATATATTTTGTGTTTTGTTTTTGTTTTGTTTTTTCTAAAAGAAGCCTTAATGTCTCTCCGGTTGCATGTCCGTCGCATTCAGTGCTGCAGCACTTTGATTACCTTTGAGCATTTCTAGTTTCAACTTTTCTATGACAATTTGAAACGTAAAAATAATTAAAATTAACTTGAATGTAGAGGCATGCTGCTTTAAAAGGAGGATTTTTTTCCCAGGATTTAAGGAACATGACCCATACCCATGGATTTGGGAATTTCAGTGATGATTGGGAAAAAATCATGAATAAAATTTTGCAGTTATTAAATGAATACAAACATTGATAAATCACTGTCTAGGATGACATCTTCAAACATTTAAGCACCATAAGTTTACAGTGAAGAAGCCCTTTTTTCAAAAATACATGTATTTTAGAATTTTTTATTCAATATTTTTATTTTGCAACATTCAATTAGAAATTTTTTCCTGTGGATTGGGAAAATAATATACTATTTTCAATTGGGAATATGACTGAATATCGGCTACATGTATAAAATAAGCCAAAAAAAATCCCTGTACAGTCATGATATACACATATTATTGGATAAATCTTAGCTCACATAAAGAAAACAAGGATATCTAGATTTGATGATACTTTATATAATTATAGTCTCTAGCTTATCTTAAAAAGGTATTGAACTCGGCAAGATGCATAATGGACCACTTGACATTTTCTTCCTCCAGTCGTCACATTATCTTCCCAGTGTTATGTGAATCTATGCAAAGTAAACAAACAAAAACTTAATACAGCACATCTGTTGCAGGTGGATAGGTTCATATTAAGGATTTATTTTCTAGTTTTTTGAAATTCAGTGTCCTGGTTGTAGGACAAGATGGCAGCTTCTTTGTTTGGATTGGAGGAAGACCTCGTCCCGCTCTCACAGGAATCTGATGACAATGAAGAGGCTCCCAGACCACCGAAAAGGTTCCGGTGCAATTCGTATGAAAACACGAACCAGAACAACAGTTCACGATCGCATAACCGTGATTGGGAGACATGGAATAGTGATTTACTGGCTTTCAAGTTAGAGGAGCAGGGACTTAAGGATGTGGCAGACATATTTAAAGGTACATGATTTGAATTAATCTTTTGTCTGATTGATGTTGTTACCAGTGTTGCCTTCATCGTTAGATGGATCTATACTATTAAATGGACCTGTTAGAAATTGCTTTTTTTCTCTCCCAAAATGGTGGTTAAATTCAGTTTGGCAATTGTGGTGACTTCCAATTTACCTAATTATTACTTACAAAATTTCCAATTAGGCAACACAAACTGTTTCCCTATACGCATGTAAATAGTCATAATGAAATGCTGGTTTCAGGTCATTTCATAGGAGAAATTTTTTAGCCAAGCTATGGTAATTCAGAACTAGCTTGGCTCTTGAGTTTGGATGTTAAAACCCATGATAGTTCAAACCTTCATAACAATTTCTTTGTAAAAATAACATCTACTGGTACTCAAATTGAAAGTTACTGTGGCTAATCATTAAATCTAAGTTTAAATGAAAACTTTACTTAAATAAACATTATTTAATTTTTAGAAAACTAAATTACAAAATTTAATAGATGTCAGATATGTACTTTGACTATGTTTGCACAGTACTTCATGGGGAAATAAGTCACTGCTTAAGTTTTAAGTGTTGATTAGGTCGTTGAAGTGGAAAATTTGCTTTTTGTACGAGATGAAATTAATAATATTTTCCTACGTGAAAGTAATGACATTTTGTAATTGGAATGTAATGTTTCATAACATTATAAACATGTTTATCCAAAATATATGTAATATTATGTGTTACTTAAATATACAGATCATTTTGAAGGCATTGATGTAACCTTTTTTATGTCAAGGCAGTTAAGTTTCTCCCATATTAAATAAGTATATAGAATTGAAAGGTTTAAAGATGAGTTATTTCTGTTTAATCAGATATAGAATCAATATATCTTATACATTTGGATGGGTTTTAAGTCTTGCATCATTAATCTGTTGACTATAAATAATCCATACTTTATAAGCTTATATCTTATTTCAATTTCATTTCTGTAGTTAAAAAAATGTAAGAAATTTAAGTCTGACCAGACTATACTGTTGGCTGACAAGCTGGAAATTTTAATTTCAAAAGCCCATTATGCCCCAGAAATGCTTTTAATTTTAATTCTAAAAAGGTTTTTATTTTTGATCGCCTGTTATAGTTTCCAAAAAAGTTGGCCAATTACTAGAATCATGTTTCACTTCTGTTGCTTTTTTAGAAATTAATGCAGCTATAGTAATTTACTATTTTGTATGGAAGTAGAAAAAAAGTACTACCCGGTACTTTGTTTACATTTTGCAACTTTTATGACAATTAATTTTCTTTTCTTATGCATGGCTACTTTCTTCAGGTGATATTGATAAGCTTCTTACATGCTCTAAAACAAATATCGAACATAATAGAATTCATATTTGCCCATTCTAAAGATAGAGGAAAAAATTATTCGTGTCCGAGACATTGTGTGCTTTTAGATATTAATATCCCCTAAATTTTTTTTATTTTTTTTTGAAGCCCAAGAGGTAACTCAGTTTATTGTCCCCGTAATAGGTAAAATAGGGTCAGGGATCCATCCACTATTTTACCTTACAATTTATTATAATGTTACAAAAAAACATAAGGGCATTTATATCATACATAATTTTATAATATATACAATACACAGAAGATAAATGTTCTCTTGGGATTCAGAGTATTTCATTTCCACAAAAAACTAGATATAATATACACAAACTGTAAATTATCCCCTAAATTGATAATGGACAGTTCCAAAAATACAAGCTGGATTAAAGTCCATTAATAGTTAGAAAATGTTATTTGAGACTAGGTTCAAAAAGTGGCATGTTTGTAAGGGCCCAAAGTTGTTTATTGTCATTCAACAGCTGTTGCTGTTTCTGATCGCATTTCTTTGATCTATTGTCTCTCAATTTTAAAGTACCCTATTTTGCAACCTTCACTTATTAATAAGGAAAAAAACTGTGACAACTGTGGGAAAGAATGTAGTGTATTACTGCTGTCAATGTTACATGTTTTCCAAAACATTTGACATTGTTCATCAAACAATAGACTGTACATGTATCTCAACAACTTGCATATTATACTTAGTACTTTAATTTATGAAAGGGGGATAAGAAATAAAAAGATTACAAAACTTGACAATTTTTTAAACAAATGAAAGGTAAATTATGCAAACCCATGACTATTTTAAGTAGTATTTATTTTTATGTAACCATACACATTTAAAGATTCTGACTATTTAAAATGTATTGGTCTACAATGGGCATATTTTGCATACATATTTCAAATATTGATAAAAACAAAAGAAATCTGGTTATTCTCATTTGCATATTCTTAAGAATAAAATGCTGATAGTTTCATCAAAATAATCATGAACTTGGAGGCATGTTACATTAAAAAAGAACAAAAAGATTTTGAAATGAATATTTAATATCTAATGAATATATTTATTCCTTATTCCTTTGTCTAGAATACAAGTTAAAGAAAATATAAAGTTTTCATTATACAGCTTAAGTCCTGACTAAAAACTTATTGATTAAAACATGGATTCTCAGTATACATGTATTTTATTTACAATTTTAAGACATATAAAAGTGACGGTTGATAATTTACACAATATGGCTTTGAAATCATGTAGTTTTCTCCCAAAATACAGTTTTCATCTGTTTTTTTCTTCTCCCTTTTGCAGAAATTTTGCATTATTTTTCCCGAATTTAAATGAAAGGCTCTTTCTCTACCTGTGTAAACTTGTCCTGCATTCTCGCTTGCAGAAAACACATGTATACATATGTATACATGTATATAATTTTCACTTATCTGGTCAGTATGCCATAACATCAGTCTGTTATCAATATATTATCAACTTATTGATAATTAACAATTAGTGCCAGAGGGTAGTGATAATTGAATGAATTGATACATGTTTTGTAGATCAAGAGATACCAGGCTGTGTCCTGCCTAAACTGACCGAAGATCACCTGGATAGATATGGTATAAGGTCAGTGCTGGTATTAATTATTCTATAATAAACATATTCTCTAACCATAAATCTAATAAGCAGCCGTCCATTTAGCTCAATAGGTAGAGCGTTGGACTGTGAATCGGGCGACCCGGGTTTGATTCCCGGACGGCGCAGGTCACTTTCGTTATGATTGATTATGAAATCCTTTCTAGTGTCATTCCCACTGTACCTCTGCTTTTGCATGTACAGAAGTTTCAGTTCCATGGTAAACTGCTTGACAGCCTGCCCAGGAACGATGCCGTGGTTGAACTGTGCTCTGGTGAATTCAATGTGGCTTACTGTTGTGATTCGGAGTGAAACCTACTTACACCACCACCATCATAAATCTTTTAATAGATAAATTCTGCAACATGTATAAATAGAATATTTTTTATTGTAATTCTATGAAACATTGTTGTAGTGAAACCTAAATTTGTGCTTTAATTTTTATTATGAAATTTGTTTGATTTCTTGTGACTTGATGTTAATCCTCTGTGTTCAAATCTTGCTAAAGACATAGTTTGTTCATATTACAAAGCTTTTTATATCAAACTAGATTTATGGAAAGACGGTCTGCTCAGACTTGTAGCAGTAAAGCTATAAAACATCCATGTGCCAATGTGGCTTAACATGTCAATTGTCAATAATATGTGATAAAACAAGTATCATTATGTTAGTAATGTAATGGTGAAAATAATAATTGTATTTAGGTACACCAGGGAGTTTAAATTCTTTGATGTGAGGAAGCTATCCAGCTAGCTTGCAGGACATCAGTTGTTCTACTCAGTGCAAAAATGCCAGTGCCAAAAATAGTGCAAGGAGGGGCACCTATGGTTTTCTTTCACCAGTTCAGCTGGAAAGTCCCCCCACACACACACACACAATACAGACGAACAAAAAATGTTCTTATATTTTACAGTAAACTTGGGAAGAAGCTGCAGGTTATGAAGTTTATAGAGGATGTCACAATGAAAGTGATAGACATTGACATGGATGAAAGGAATAGAAAGGTAAATGATTGTAAATATGAAATTTCTTCCTTCTGTCCTTCTTTATGTCCTTCATTCTCTCTGTCCTTCCTTCTTTCTATACTTCCTTCTTTATTTCCTTCCTCTCTCCCTCCTATCCATTTGTCTTATTTGTGTCCATTGATTGAAAGAAATGTTTTAAATGTTTATTAGGACCATGTTAATGATTTTTCTTTGAAGTATCAATATGAAATTTAAATTTGAAAAATATGTTTTAAAAAGTATATTCAGCAAATAAAATATAATTTACTGTATTCCCACAGGATGGAAGTTGTGAATATTTAGTGTTTTGAAGTGGCTTTTTTATTAACATATCCATTTTTATGAGGTCATGAAAATAAAAGATAAAAAGGTCTTACATTTCATTTCCTTACCTGGTGAAACATGAGCATATAAGTATAAAATTTCACTGGTTGGTAATAATGGTTTTATGTCTGTATATCTTATTGCATGATATGCATATTTCAGATATTTAATGACCCAATTCATGGACACATAGAGTTACATCCCTTGTGTGTTAGGATAATAGATACACCACAGTTTCAGAGGTTGCGCTTCATCAAACAACTTGGAACCTGTTACTTTGTGTATCCAGGAGCTACACATAATAGATTCGAACATTCTTTAGGGTAAATATATGCATTTCGAAATACAGTTTAATTTTTTTCTTTTATCATTTCTTTAAAAATCAGTAAAACTGGGGAAAATTCCGTCAAAAAATCTTCTAATAAGAAATTTCAGGTTTATAATAGAAACTCCATAATTATACTATTTAAACAAAAAGCAGATTTTAATTCTTTCTTTTTTGTAACTTAAAAATCACAGACATAAGATGGTGATTAAAGACATTGTCTCTTCAAAAGTTAGATAAATCATTTTAGAACTGGGTTCAAAAATGAACTGACCTTAAGAACTTTATACTTTTCCATTTACTTACTGTATAAGTGGATATTTCTGCATGTCCAAAAGTTTTTAATTTAAAATTCCAGACATTTCGTGTTACAAAATATTGGCAAATCCTGCAAGGGTAGAATTTAATAATAGATTGGTTTATATTTACGTTAGAGGAAATTTTAGCAATTTTTGTCAATTTGCAAAATTCGCCAATATTTCTGCATCGTTAATTTAACCACTTTTACAGTAGGTGAGTGATATAAGTCCACTTGGGGACTTGATATCTACTTTTCCAAAAACTGAGGTAACTTGTATATGTCCACTTGGGCTTCATATCTGATTATATTGTCAGAGTTTGAAATCATTGAATGACTCTAAATATTTTTGTATTTCGTATAATATTTCAGGGTGTGCCATCTTGCGGGACGACTTGTTCGAGCGTTAAAGGCCAGACAACCTAAGTTAGGTATAACTGAAAAAGACGTTCTTTGTGTGGAAATAGCTGGTCTCTGCCATGATCTTGGTGAGTTTTTGAAAACTTTATTCGCACATTATAAGTGAAAACATACCAGGAGCTTTTGAGAGGATTTGATTTTAAATCACTTTTCCTTCACCTTTTTGGGTTCAGATTTCTAAACGTATGTTGAATTCTTTCTTTGAGGAAGCAATCCTGTTAAGTTGCTAAAAATCAATGTTGTATCATGCCAGAAATGACTTGGGGGAACTTTCTTCCCCAACACAGTCTTGAAGTTGTGATATGACGTTTTCAATGTTGGTGTGCCCTGAAATCTATTTGAAAGAAAACTCAATTTAATCTGATTATTTCAGCTTACATTAAAAAATTCTAGTTTATACTAGTCAGTCAGTAAGTTGTTTTTGAGGGCTGAAACTATGTGTCCATGAAATGTGCTATTTTTAACTTGACTCTTTGAAGAATAGGGAGAGCTATTGTACTCCCCTAGGTGTCTGCATCACACTTTGGTTATTGCGTGCAAGTTGGTATCTACTGAAGGGAATTGGTTGAAACTTCACACGCCTATTTGAGAGCATAAAAGAAGGTCACTTCCCAAGGCCAATAACTGTAACATGGGTTTTGACAGAATAATGGCCCTTATTGAACTTAGAAAATTCTACCTTATCCAGGCAAAGCACTGAGAATAGTCGAGCATGCTGTCCTACTGACAGCTCTTGTTTATGTATAAAGGAACATATATGCTGATATCTTTTTTTCTTTTCTGCAGGTCATGGACCTTTCTCTCATTTATTTGATGGTAAATTTATTCCTCATATGTGCCCAGACAGTAAATGGAGGGTAAAAAGATATTTTTGCAATTTTTCTTGTATTTTAAAACAGGATTTTTTAAAAATTTGTTCAGATTATTGTAAGTATTGATATTTGATAAAGAATTATGTCAAAGAAAGGTTAACCCTATCATCCTAACTTTATAAAATGGAAATTTGAAACTTCAGACACTTACTTGAGAGTTTAACAGGTCACTCTCGAAGGTCCATTTTAACATGGATTTTGATAGAACTACTGAGAAAATTCTATATTTATTATCCAGGCCCATGTTTACTATCAAGCACTGTGCATAGGCGAGCACTCTGTCCTAACGGCAGCTCTTGTTGAAGATTTATTTACTTGTCTGAAGATGTGTCACTTTAAGTTTATATTAAATTTTGTTTAATTTCTTTTCATTAAAAGCATGAAGATGCGTCACGTATGATGTTCCATTACATGTTGGAGGAGAATGATTTACGACCAGTGTTTGAGCAAGAAGGACTTTCTGCTACTGATATAACCTTCATCGAAGAACAAGTCACTGGACCAAAGAAAAACTATGAACCTGGGGTAAGAGGTCACCTCTTTAAAGTACTGATACTTAAGATCTGTCTTTTTGTAACACATATGTCATATATGGGATATGCTGTTGCTAAACTGAAGTGATTATTGATTACATACTTTGCTGTTTGTATTTTTTTCAAGATTTATTCAGTTTGTTTTTTTACTCCCTGATAAAAGTTTTAGTGAGAACATCTACTTTGTCCTTTCAACCCTTTTAACTATATTTTTATATAGCTAACAAACAAATGAATACTCTAGATCAATGAGTATAGAAATTAAAGCAGGTGTGCACTTATACTTAATAGTTTTCCCCTGAAATTTTGTTTTCTTTAAGGATGTCATGTTTATCTGTTTAAACAGGTACGGTCGGTTTTTAGCTAAAAACTGGTTAGAAAATTCAATAACCGGTAACCAAAGTTAGTATTTAACAAAGATAAGAAGATATAACAATTTGGTTTGTATTTGAGTTGCACTCAACGATGTATTTTTCAAGTATGGTACAACCCTAACACAAAACAGTCACTTTCTATTCAGATATTTATTGTAATCATTTTGAGTTCAAGAAGACACAAATGAAATGTCATATCTTGTCATAAAGAAACAAAGTAAATGTTGAAAATCTAAGGATTTTTTAAGTATGGTGGAATAAACGCTTAACACGGTGTCTGTTCTCCGTTTAAAAGGTTGACATTTTTTCTATCCCTGACACCCCTAGTTTTCTTTCCATGCTTACTAGTATGCTATGAATTAATCAATTTATGCAGTGTTGAAAATGTGTATTTCAGACTTGGCCATATGAAGGAAGACTGAGAAACAAAAGCTTTTTATATGAGGTAATTTTTTTATAACAAGTTCAATGTTTCTGTCGGCCAAAGGCAAGCTGTTATGTGTCTTACATTTCTGTTAGGGAATTATAAATGTGTAGGTGATATAACTACAAAACAAGCAGGTTCTTTTTTAAAGCAATTATACAAGTGTTATAGTCAAAATGGAATCTTAAAATCCCCTAACAAATTAAACATGGCAAATGCCCTGTTTTATGATGGAAGTGGTTAATGCAACCAGACTTAAAACACACTAGCGTCAGCTTAGGCAGAATCCAACATTTACGAAAAATTTGTGCTGAAAGTTTCTCAAGGATCAAAATTATAACTCTGATTGAATGTATGAATCAAGAACATAATTATATGAGCCGCGTCACGACAAACCAACATAATGGGTTTGCGACCAGCATGGATCCAGACCAGCCTGCGCTGCGCACCCGCGCAGTCTGATCAGGATCCATGCTGTTCGCTATCAGTTTCTCTACTTGTTATAGAGTTTGTAAGCAAACAGCATGGATCCTGATCAGACTGCGTGGGTGCGCAGGCTGGTCTGGATCCATGCTGGTCGCAAACCCATTATGTTGGTTTTGTCGTGACACGGCTCATATATTGTTTTTAAACATTAGATTGTTGCCAACAAGAGAAATGGTATAGATGTTGATAAATGGGATTATTTTGCTCGAGACTGTCATATGCTGGGTATAAAGAATAACTTTGACCACAATAGATGTATACATTTTGCACGGGTTCTACACGTGGAAGGTGAATGGCAGATTTGCTCAAGAGATAAGGTATGGTTACTTGATATTTTAATGGCACCTTAAGTCTCGGATATGAATACATTTTTCTGTCTTTAGAAAAAGCAAACATGTGCTTGATAATGTTGTAGTGATGGATTTAGAGTGACTATGTGTTGAATGCTTATAAACTGAAGAAAATAGCACTGAATGTGAAAGATGTTGTCAATAAGGTAGCTAAATGTAAAAGTAATGTGGTTATTTGACATCTTAACAAAACACCAAATCACTAACTGCAAAAATGTCAACAAAAATTTATATCCCTCAGCTTTACAGCTTATGAATAATTGTTTGGAAACTGCAACAGGACACCAAAAGGTAAATTGACAGTCCTAATGACAAATATCCTATATTGTTTTGAAACAATTTGAAACATTTTAATATGATCAGTTTTTAGGAAATCTTTGTAACCTAAGACTTAGTATAAAACTAAGTGTAAAACTATCAATAATACTGTCAAGGTTTTTAAAAATGAAAGATCTTGGTTCAGCACAAATATGCTGTTCTAAGAACTTTTGATATAACTGAAGAAGACAAAAAATTGGTGAAATAAATTGCAATGTTATTTTTTAGAAACAATTCAACTTTCAGTTTGAATGTATAGTTCCACAAATGCTTTTTTCCAAAAAAAAAAAAAAAAAAATTCAAAAAACAATACCAAATTTAGAATTAAAATGTCATTATATTAAAAAAAAATGTAAAAAGACATATAAATTTGTAGCCTAATATGGTCAAGATTGTGAATTTTCACCAGAATTGTGAACAGATCTGGTCTGAAAGTTTTGATTTTGAATGGGTTACTTATTCCATACCACTTATATAGAGAGAAAAATTGCTAGGTAATTTCTATGGGTATCACATGTCTTGTGCACATGGCAACCTTTTACAAATAAGAATAGTTTTTAGATTGTCATAAATATTAACATAAATCAGGATGTTAATACATAAAGTATTGTTGCTCTTTCCATGCAGGAGGTTGGAAACTTATATGATATGTTTCACACAAGAAGTACACTTCACAGACGGGCATACCAGCATAAAACCACAAATGTAATAGATACTATGTAAGTATATCAGAAATAATTGTAATGGATTTGTCCGTCTTTGAATTCTGAATTGTCCATTACTAGTTTAATAGTGGGATTTTAATATCAAAATGATGAAATTTGGAAGCTAACGGTATAGAGTCTGTACTTACTGCACAGTTGTCATATCATATAATCAAGATAATACTGGTTGGTTTAAAATCCAAAACAGTACTGATCGACTTAAAATTCTAGACAGTACTGGTTGGCACAAAACTAGACAGTACTTAAAATCCTAGACAGTACTGGTGTGCTTAAAATCCTATAGAGACCAGATGTGCTTAAAATCCTAGACAGATCTGGTTGGCTGAAAATCAAGACAGAACTTTTTGGTTTAAAATCCTAGAAAGAGCTGATAAACAGAACTGGTTGGCTCAAAATCCTAAACATACTGGTTGAATTAAATCATAACTCTAGTCGGCTTGAAATGCTAAAAAGAACTTGTTGACTTAAAATTCTAGACAATATTTGTTGGCTTAAATCCTAGACAGTACTTGTTGGCTTAAAAGCCTAGACAGTACTGATTGACTTAAAATTCTAGACAGTACTTGTTGGCTTAAAATCTTACACAGTATTGGTTTACTAAGAATCCTAGACAGAATTGGTTGACTTAAAATCCTAGACAGTACTTGTTGGCTTAAAATCTATTTTAAAAAAACCTCATAAGCTGTTATATTGATTATCTTTTACTTGTAATAATAATGAATGCATTAATATATTTACAGGCTTGTTGAAGCTATGATAAAAGCAAATGATTGCATTAAGTTTGCTGGAAAAGATGGGTAAGTTTTATATTATTTCGACAGCAATAATAAAAAAAGCGCACCCTCAGAGCAAACTAATAATGCCCAAACAGTGTCAAATATTCTTCATTTTCTCAATAATCGGGGATAAAATAACTTTTTACAGCTTTGCCTTGTCATCTTATTCGGTACATGTACAATCCAAGTGACAGATATGCATGTGACTTAATGTCTTTACTAACCACTGCCAAAATATGGGAAGCCTGATTCAAAGAACAAATTAAATATGATATAATAATGAATATACATTTAGGTTTTTTATGTACATAGCTGGAATTATGTTTTTGAAAGGTGTTTTATGATGAGTAAATATAAATAACTAAAGCTAAATATTAACTGTTTTGTATTTACTTAGATTTTCTTTCAATCTGATAATAATTTCTAGCCTGTCTGACCAGAGGTCTGGCAGATTTTTTAGCCTTTCAGAAAGTCTGCCTCACTGAGTCATTTAACGCTTTACCCGAAAGAAATACTAGAATAATAGTACTATGTCAATATATTAATTATAGAAGTGAGGTAGGAAATAATACCATGTTAATATATTAATTATAGAAGTGAGGTAAGGATGTCAGACACTATACATGACATGAAGGCGTACAGTCAGATGACAGATCATGTGTTCTTCCTGATCCTCAACTCCACAGACCCTAAACTACAGGAATCTAGAGAAATCCTTAGCAATATCATGAAAAGAAATCTTTACAAGTGTGTTGGTCAGACACAACTTAAACATGAACATACTATTTCAAAGGTAAGTGAGGCGCATGCATTCTAATAGTTTTTAAAAGCCTGTTTCAAAAACAGGTCGTATTATAGGAACACTCCTGACGGGATGGGCTACTGTTCCCTCCTACATGTACCTAATTCAGGGTCACATAGAGATGTCAAATGAAAGATTAAAACAAGATGTGTACGGGGACCAGTTAGTCAACATTGATTGATGGCTTGTAACACAAATGATAACTATCATGACTACAAGTGTGACACATGTATGTAATTTAGGTCAAGGTCACTAGAGATGTGAAGTATCCAGATATTGTACAGATATTGCCAAGAGTATATCTCCTGTATGCATATCTATAATGCTGACATCTTTGTCAAATACTTCTGTGACGGGCATCTTTGCATCAATGTTGCCCTTGTTTTGTTTACGGATGTTGGAAAACTTTTTACAGGTGAGTAGTACAGACAGAATTAAAGCATGAATGTATTTTTTATAATACATTATATTATATTTATAAGTTAATGTATATAAGATACTTATTTGAGAGGTAATCTATTTATTTTTAGTTTTGAAAAATGTTAAAAACTTATATCTATGACACTAACAATTTCATGACTGCCAAAAGCCATTTTTAATGGGATATAAGATTAATCCTTTTTGAAATTTAGCAAATAAGTAAGGGAAAGACTTTTAAGCTCTATTTCTAGGTTACACTGAAACTGCTGAAGCATGGCTATTCAAGAAAACTATATCTAATCATTTTTATATCTAGACAAACATGAAATGAAATATTTTTTGTTGCAAATCTATTTTCTTTCCCTTTTAGCTTCACTATTCAAAAGAGTAAAGAGAGCTATTGTACTCACCAAGGCATTTCTGTGGCAGTCATGCTTTGGCTAAGTTTTTGCATGCAAGTTGATATCTCTAAAACTACGGAAGAAAATTAATTGAAACTTTACACACTTGTTCTCTATGATTAGCTAACAGCACAGGTCCCATAACTCTTAGTTACCTTTTAACAGAATTGTGCACCTTTTCTTACTGTCAGGCAGTGAGAATAGTCAAGCATGCTGTCTTAACAACAACTCTTGTTCTTTTGAACATCTTTTAATATTCTTATTTTAGCACCAGCTACCAAAGATAACAGGGGAGATAATTTCCAGAATAAATCCAATGGAACGAAAGAATTCAAACCTAAGAGATGACAGTATCATTGTACATGTATGTATATATAAATAAGTGTTTTGTCAGATTTTGAAAAATAGTGGTTAATGGCATTTGGAGGGGGGTAAGTGTGTTGTAATTGTTATTATAAGAGAGAATTTAATCCTTTTTATTGAATTTAATGGTATGCTATTGTCAGTCTGTATTCATGGAAGAATATGGTATATATTAAAAGTGAGACTAAAAAGGATTGGAGCATCACACTAAATACCTTAGTCTGGTATATACCGGACAAGGCGCTAGAATGGTAAAATGGTAAAATCTTGCCTTTTTACCCAGCAGAGTGAACTTTAAAAGGTCTAGTTCATCTTTTCACTCCGATTTATGTATGATAATGAATGAAAAATGTAATAATCGGCGAAAAAAACGATATTTGTCTATTTGTGATCATGATTTCTGCAAGCGTCGAGGTACTGCTCCAGTCCTGTAATGAGTTAAATCCATATATTAATGGTGTTCTACATGTATTTACAGTTGGTATAAATTAATTTTGTTTTATATTCAATTTAATGGTATGATATTGTCAGTCAGAATGCATGGAATAATAATATTATATATATTGATCTTGTACTATTTGCAGTTGGTATACTTGGATTATGGAATGAAGGATAAGAATCCGATAGACAATGTACGATTCTACAGCAAGGAAAATCCAGACAGAGCCGTGAGAGTCAGGAAAGACCAGGTGATTTAACAGAAATAATTGAAATAGAGTCCTATTGTTTTGTTCTGGGAGTGGGGGAGGGGGGGTGCCAAGCTTTGCAGTTGGCAAACATTTCAGATTGTTGACCTCCATGTGAGAAAACTGGCTAGCTAGTTTATGAAAGTAGAGCCAGCAAAATCACATATTGACGTGTCCATTTTTATCTGAAACATTTCTTATATGTCCACAAAATATCTATGTAGTAAATTCTTCAAAATTTTCGCTTGTCTGTACATTCTGTGGGACAACCTGGGCATTACTGACAATTGATTTTGCCACCCCCGGAAAAGTTTGTGGTTCTAAAAGACCTTGATAGTTCAGTATGACTTCATGTTACTGTGTTGATAATACTATGTAACATCTGTTGCTTTTTATAAGCATTTTATATTTTGACATCAATTCCTATTGTTGATGATTGTCATATACATACATACATATATTTTTAAGTTCATTGTTACTACTATAGTATGAATCAACTTTTATTTTCTTTAACATCTTTATTTGATCTTATCTCATTATTATTGTGATTTATATGTCAGTTAACACGACACTTGATTAGAAATAATAGTTATTCTGTTGTATTCTATTCTACATGTCATGTACTGATTTAATCCTTAAGCCTAAACAATAACAGTCAACATTAAATATGCAATGTATATATACAATGTAGTTTATTTTTGTGTGGTTCTTGCATTAATTCTCCAATGCAGATACAAATGATATCATGATTTCCTGGAATAATATTTTTAGAAATTTTTACTCCTAGGTGTCGAACCTGTTACCGGAAACATTTGCTGAACAGCAGATCCGAGTATACTGCAAGCAAGTAGATGAGCCAACGTTAAATATGGTGAAAGATGCATTCAGAGGCTGGTGTAAGGATAAAAATCATCCGCCACCAAAGGTAAAATTGAATTTTTAATTTTGATATTAATCGTTTGTAACATCAGTTTTCATTGGATGATCACTGATATTTATATTGTGTGTAATAAAATATGTTCTGTTATATTAACTTTCTACTGTAGGAACTGTAGGAAATTTACTTTATACTAATTTATTTTAGTTTGATTGTGAAGGAAGCTATAAGTTTATTGAAACACTCTCGAATCTGTTCCTGGAACCAGCTAGTACTAAGCAATAACATTCATGCCTGAAATAATGCACAGTAGGACACCTGAGGTCTTCCTCCACCAGTAAAGCTGAAAGTAGCCAAATGACCTATACTGTGTCGGTGTGATGTAAAACCCAAACAAACAAACAAACTAAGCAATAATAAGTTTCTTGCTCAAGGAATCAAAGGCTCGCCCCTGACAGGGTTTGAACCCACTCAGTCAGCAATCCTGAGATTACTAGTCTGACGTGTTAACTACTCGGCCACACTGTAGGAATGTTTTAGAAATTGTAGGAAATTTAAGAATTAAGAGTTCAAAAAGACCTCTGGGTATAGGCATTTATTTGCCTATCACATGCATGATTAGCCAAAAAGAAACATGATTTTTGTTACTGGTGGTATAAAATTGTGAGATTGTAGTATTTCCTTCAGACATCATCAAAAGTGTAAAACATATTTTGTATGATTTGAACACAGGGTGGTGAAGTGAACTCCCTTGAACTGACCCCAGTGAAGAGACAGGAAGATCCAGCCACGCCTACAAATTCTGTACAGAATGGAAACTCCAAGGATCTCACACCTGGAAGTGCAGGAAAATTTAAGTCCCGCCTCTCCTTCTAAATATTTGTTTGCTGGGGAGATTAGAGGAGATCATAAGTTGTGGTTTATATTTGTCCTGGCTTTAATATTGAGAACAAGCCATACCTTAGATAGAAAAGTCAAAGTAGTTATTGTCATTTTGTTAAGAGAACTTACAGTTTTAAGAATGTTGAGTTAGATGATACTTTTGAGAGTAAGATTAATTGGTGATTGAGAGAAAAAAAGCAAATAAAAAATTGATAACAGTAGAAGCAAACAGAAGTTGAAGTGGAAACATACCAATTAAGAGTGTTGAAAATATGGGAAATTTTTAGTACTGGTTATTGTATAGGGGTGTTTAAATATTGCACAGAAACATAGTTATATACAAGTAACCTATTAATTGTTTACTGTTATGTTAAAATGTATATCATAATAATATGAATTGTATCTCTTTTTGTAAATGATTACAAGAATGGAAGGAAAACTAGATCTATATTCCTCCCAGTTTTTATTAAGATGAATTTTCTGAGTGTGAATTAGATTTTTATTGTATACACTGCCACTCTCAATCTTTTAAGAAACAAACTTAAGCAAAATGGTTTTTCAAAAACATTTGTGTTACAAATTCAAAATTTAAAGTTTTAAAGGTCCACGCCTACAGATAAAAGAAAATAATGAAACTGACTATGAATATGTAAAGTTGTTCACAATCCATGAGACTTGGCTGAATTTTTTATTTTATTTTAGAATTTTACTTTTTCTGTTACTATTAAGACCATAGAGATATTTTTGGCATAATTTTGACCCATTTTAATTAGATTTTCTGGATTGTAAATGCCTAAGACTAGCTTAGATTATTTTTCAAGGCTTTAAAAAAAAAATTTTTTCTATTTTAAACACTTTGTAAAATTTCATTAAAGTTATCTTGAATATGGAGGTGTGACACTTTATAAGAAATTTGAAGAGACACAAAATTAGTCTAAATCAATAAACATATCATTTGAGATCAATGAAACCCAAAGACAATTAAGTCCCATATTCAATATACTGTATATGTTTGTGTTCATTTTAGATTCTTGTGGCGCAAAATTAGTCATTGCCAACCAAGTTTGTATTTGGCATTAATGCATTTTACCTCAGTTTTGAATTGTGTTCATTTCTGATATTGTAAAAGATTGCTAGCTAGTTATTTATAGCTCAGCTCGTTTATTTTACCAGTGTTCATCTGCCAATTGCATTTAAAAACATCAGGTAATATGTTTTGTTGTTTTTTTTCTCCACAATAGATGCATTATAAATATACTAAGTCAATTTATTAGAAATATCACTTTGTTTTCAATGTTAAAACTTTTCTATTAATGTATATAACTTGTTTTGTCTTATAGGAAATAACCTATTGAAACTTGAAAAATATTTGAGATTTGTAGGCACTTCTTGACTTAGGTGACTGGTATTGTCCCTTTTTATTTTTTTCCTCAATTTCAATTTGAGGTTTAATAAGTGTTAATACCAAAATTAATGACCAGAGTCTTGTGTGAACCTCAAATACTATTCCAGATTGAAGTCTTCAGGTGTAAAAGATCACCTTTGTTTCGTTTTATATGAAAGAGAAGTAATTTTGCTGCAGTTTGAATGTGTATTTGAAGTAATCATCATTCTTTGGGATATCAGTGGTTTGAGGTTTCAAAGTTCTGTTGTATGTTTTATTTACGCTTCATGGTTGGTTGGTCATGTGGATTACTCATTACAAGCAGAAAGTGCTCGTTTTAATTTTAGATTTTCAAGCACAGTAAATCTTTTGTAAAAAATGTCAATATACTTCACTTGACAAACAGTTGTTCAAGACATATTTTGACTTTTATCTTTACATGTATTAAAATATGTGCTTCTTAAGTGTTATAACCATGCTTTTGTTCATAACCTTAATTTTTGTTTATATTTTTGTTTTATCCAAATATTTTGAAAATTTGCATTATTTTAATAAATATATTGTCCAATGATTTTATTGATATAATTTTAGTTGTCTGATTTTAAAAGTACATGTATTTTGATTTTAGTAATTACAAATTTCTGTTCATTAAGCCAATATTTTCATATGATTTTATTAAGTTTTGTTATTTAAAAGTAAATTTAAAAGTAATATACATTAAGCTTTAAGAAAAGAGAAATCTAGGGAGTACCCCGGTAATAGATTTTAAAAAAAATCCAGTTTTATTGTTTATTTTTCTTCTTTTTAATGAAATCATTGTCAGTTGTTGATTTTTTAAGTCTGATTGTTTAGAATTTTTCTTGTGTTAACTTTTCAATATGTATTGCTTTATTTCACCCAATATAATTAGTATATAGTATATACTTACTTTTTGTCATAAAACGTCCTTAGCTTTAGTTTGCATATTTTGTTTTCTAATGTGAGATTGTATTTAATACACAGTCAGTCCTCCCACCTCCACCCACACACCCACCCTCTCAGCATATTTTTATGGTGCATTGTTTTACCTTTTTAGTAGTTTAGTTTGCTCATCTACCCTTTTTACTTGCTACCTAAAGTGTGGCCTTTAGTCATATAATCCATTCTCACTTATATATAACATTGTGATTAATAGATTATGTTAATGTTTGATGCATGTTTTGTTTTAACACTTTTTTCCATGTTTAGTCTTTCCCATGTATGAAGGATAATGTGATTGTTATATTTTGTTATTATAATACTGCACGTTTGTAACCTCTCTTTTCATTGGATAATCAAGACATTTATATAATCTATATACATGGCTACTGTTGATTTATGAAGTAATTTAATTTTTTCTCTCTAAAAAAGGAAGTTTGCAGTTTTATAAATTTGTTATAAAGATTCTTGAGAGGATATAAATTGTTATTTGCAAAATAACCCGAGTCTAGCAACACCGGTTATATATACAAACAACCCTTATACAGGGTCATATAACCTGTCTAAATCTATATAACTGATGTTGGTCATTTTAGCTGAACTATTTCAAAGAATAGTGGAGCAGTCCTACTCGCCTTGGCATTGGCATAGTACTTGTTTTAAAGTTTAGCAAGCAGCTTCAAATCTCAATAATTTTTTGATGTTATTATTATTGGCCAAGATCTCAAACATTTGGGGCGTTCATGGCCATCTGCAAAAGGTTTGTGATATTGAAATCCTTCTGAACTTTACACCTGCTGCAGTTGGTAAACAATGAGTATGTGACTTACTGTATAAAGGATTTTCAAGATATTTTGCTTTTAAAGATTACCAGTACTTTTATTCCTGAATTTTTCTGTAATGGAATATAATAAAACACATAAAGTGATTAAAGAAAAAGCCAAAGCCAAATTTTACATTTTTTTCTGCAGGCCTGACTGAAAATATTTGTTACTTACATTGTTTGCTGTTGTTTGGTAATTTATCCATTTTAGTAAGTTGTTATTGATCTTTTACTGAATAATTATTATACATGTTTATATGTTCAAGCTGTTACATAATTATTATTGTATTTTTTAATGATTTAGATTCTGTTTCTTCATGTCCTGTCTCACACAGTGTGGAAGGTAATATAACTAGTGTAGCCCCTATCTTGGAGGTAATATAACTGGTATAATGTGAAATAGTCTGATACATTCTCGGTGATTTAACAGTCAAAATTATAGATGAATTGAGTGACATTATTGTATATTTAGCATGTCTTCCATAGCTTGTCCCATCAGGTATACCTGGCTTGTCCAGTCAGATGTTCCTGGCTTGTCCCATTAGATATTCCTGGCTTGTCCATACCTGCTAGTATAGTTCAGCCGAGTGACATTAAACTGTGATAATATGTCATAGGAGAATCTCTTTATAGAACTACATTTTTATTGAATATTAATGATGTTATGATAACAAACCCATATGCTAACATTTACTTGTAATTATATAATAATTGTATTTTAGTCTACTACAGATAATCTCTTGATAAGAAATGGTATAGTTTGCAGAAAAATTAGGGGAAGGAAAAGGCAGATGCTGGTCAGAAATATAACAGAGAATTACTATTCACTATATTATTTTTAGTGTGAATGTTTTCATAATGTATTGCTTAGTCTGCATAGCACAATTTTCATGTTTAGATCATTTTACCAATTATTATGTAAACATGCCAAATTACATATTAATGCTATGTATACTTTTGCATATACATACATACTGAACAGTAAGTAAAAATGATATTTTTCTTGGTCTTTCTGTTTAGTCAGCCATTTTAGGACAGTGTTAGTTTTTACTGAACCATTGGATTGGTATCAATTTAGGATGGGATTTTTTTGGATTTTTTTTTTCTACTAAACTATTGGTTTGGTACCAATTTAGGACGGGGTTTCTTTTATTCTTTCTCCTGAACCATTGGTTTGGTAACGATTTAGGACAGGATTTCTTCTGTTCTTCTATACTGAACCGTTGAATTTCTTTTTCCTTTTTTTGTTACGAAATAAAGACACAATCAATTGTTAAATATTCACTAGTTGCTGATGATTGTGTTATCTTTAAAGTTATAAATGCTTGTTTATTCTATGTAAAAGGGGGCATTCAGTGTTTAACATGTGTTCATCATAGCCATCAGGGATTTTATGCCATTCAAGAAATAAACTCTTTTAAAAAAATGTGTAAATTTTCATCCAAATTCATTTTCATTTTAACCCGTGTAATCACTTTGTTTGTATTAACAGGACATTCCATGTGTACGTGTATGTCTACTTTCACTCATTGATCCGCCCAGAAAATTGCAAAATTCAAGATAAAATATGATTATATGATTTTTAGGACTTGCCATCACAGAATGATATTACACTATAAAGGTGCTATAAAACATTTATAGCGTTTTTTGTGACTTTATAACCAAACATACATTGTACACTTGGCTGAGTAGTTTTGTTTGATGTATAATACTGTATGATTTAGAGATTCAAGATTATTCTAATATTTAAGATCTCATGCTTTCTTTGCTTGTAGATTAGGAATTTTCCCATGTTAGAGTTTTTACTATTCATTTAGTCTCCGTGTTTAAGTTTTTAATCAACCTTTCTTGATAGAATTCTGTTACTGAGCTTTTGTTTGTTCAATATATCTTTATATTTTTGTTGGAAGTTTTCTGTTTTAGGGCAAATAAACAATCTCAGTACTAGTACATCTTTGTGTTTTTTTGAAGATTTTCTCTTTCCCTAATAAAGAATTGAAATATAACTATGCTTTAGTTTAGTAAATAATGAAAAACTTTTATTGTTATTTGACTTAGGTTTAATACATATTTGGTATTAATGCACCATTACGGGAACCCACCGTCACCTATTAAATGTTTTGATTACATATGCATAAGCTTGGAGGCAAACTTCTACTGCAATATGTGGCACATGCCATTGTCACAGGTACGGTGTATGAGCTGGAAATTATATCGGCAGATTCCCTCTTGACAGGCTTTGATTCACGTGGCAATTTCTTCTACATGTCTATAAATATTAACTTATAAATAAACCTATTCAAGAGCACATGGTTACCTACCCATTGGGCAAGCCTCTAAATGAGGCAAACTATGTCTAGAAGTTAAAAGATTTAAGTAATAATTTACATGCTACATGCAATGTATGATTTAGCACCACATTTCTACTACATAACTAACGCAGTAAGGATTGAAAGTGCCGTTTACTTTGTTAGTTTAATTTTTAAAAAATCTTACACATTCTCAAAAAAAATCATGAAAATTAGCATGAATCTGAATGCTCGTTGCTTTATCGGCCATATAAAGCGAATGATACGAGTAGCAAAAAATTATCTCCAAGCCTCGCGGACTTTGATATGCATGTATATAATAGTTATTTCTGATTCATATTTATATGATTAATTTTACATGTATATGTACAACTAATATCGAATTCAGATTGTATCTAATAATAATGGGAATTGGATAACGTATGTAATTTTGAATAATTATTAATCAAACTGTACTTGAATGACACAATATAAAAAAGTAGTCCGCGTTATGACCCGTTTGTTGTAAAAGGTCACGTTGTACGTCAACACCGGTCCGTGCGATAACTTGTGTGGTATACAATAAGCCAATACGCTTTACTGATTTATGTAAATATTGAACACTTATTAAGTTATAACCCTTTGTTTTCACTTTTAAAATTTCCTGGCGAAGTTTCAAATGGAATACCAATATATGACAAATATTTGGTCTCGATTTTTAATAAATTTGCCATTTAAATGAAGTCAGTAAGTTCATAATAAGATTGTCGTCTGCGACTTACGATTGATTGCAGGTATTTATTATTTATGATTATATTATTAATATTGAAGAATTTTAATCTCCTAAGCTACTTTATATATCCCCTCCTGTTAATCTATATTATTATTTTTTATTTGATATATCTGTTACTTTTAAAACAGGAGCGGGCTGTCAAAATTATAATGAAAGAACAAACGATTTTGAAAATATTGAGTTGGGAAATTTATTTAATAATATCTTATTACCAGAAAAGGTAAGTGCACGTGCTAATAAATGTATTATAATGATTATCACGGTTAGATAATTTTGATAAGAAAATATATGTAAACAAAAACAATTTTATTAATCCATAACTGGATAGACATATATTTCATAAACGCTTACAAGTTGTTTTGGATCATTGATTCCAGCACTTTTAAATGTTGAAAATTGAGTTCCATTCAAGCCGGTGCTAGGGAGCGTGAGGGATGTTGCACTTTTGTACAGACTCAATCAAACCGAGTCTGCTATTTTCATGTAATTTTATTGCGATTTATCTTTCTTCCATATTGGTATTCTTCAGGTCATGTTTTAGAGAATTTTAACACTGTCAATGTGACGCACGTGAATATTCTTTAAGAATACAGTAACAAAATACTGCTATGTTTATGCCGGTTTGAGACTGATTTTGTGCATGAACCACCCGCAAGATCGGAATTTTAATAAACAAGGTTCTTCGATGCTATATTCGCATTAATAGCCCAATATAGATTTATACGTCTTAAATTTTCTATGCTACTAAACATTCTTATAGTTATTAACTTAATGGAATTATGAGTTATAAAACGTGCACGCTTGGAAATTCTACACATAAACTACAATGTAATTTTGTCTTAAGTACCAACAACTGTACCTCGTTAGATATTTGAATATTGAAATAATAAACATTTTAAAGAGTCTATATGGCAGTGACCAGAGCAGTAATTATGTTCTTCAAATAAAACTATTGAAAATAAATACAACTGCCCCATGAAAATAAGTATACGTATATTTGATATAATTATAAATTGTTTAAACAGATAGGGTTATTTATGCTGATACAAACTCCTGTTAACATATTGTCGCAACCTTAAAGGCAAAGTTGTGCCGCAATAAAGCTGTCAAATATTTCTTAAAGTTACTCAGTGGCCAATTACCTGAATCATATTTTGATTCTGTTACTTTCTCGGAATTAGTACAGTTTTAGTGATTTAGTATTTCGTATGGAAGTCAAAATACTAGTTGGTTTACATTTTGCCCCTTGTATGACAAATAATTTCATATTCGCTCAGCGCTACTTTTTTCGGGTAATGAAGCATCTAACATGTTCGAAAACCATTATTCAAACATTATAAAACTCATGTTTCACGTATTTCTAAAGAAGGAAAAATGGCATAATGTGCCTTTTATCAAACAGTAGACTATAATATTGCACGTTTGTAACGTCTATTTTCAGTGGACAATCGTGGCATTCATATTTTTGACAACGCCCAAGCAAATTTATATACATAAAGAAAATATCGAAGAAAGCAACCCTTACAGTAAAATACATATGTGTATTATACATGTGTATTATATTCGTTATGTAATACTAACAGGTTATATGTCCGTGTGCAAACGGTCATTTATTATATAACTCTCGCCTTACGGTTTAGGGTAATATAAGCTTTACCATTGTTTATATATTGAGCCATATAGCCTATCAAAATACCTTTAAAGCTAATAATATACATTGATATTAAAGAGAAACCTTATACATATATTAGGTTGATATTTAAACATAAAAAGGCATAGAGGAGGGAGATATAAGTTAAACATTTTTTATAGGTCTTTATCATTTTTAACAATATCTTACCATAATAGTGTACCATTTCTTTACGTTAAATATTGATTTTAAATAGGTTTGATTCTTATGGTGTAATTAGAAATTTAAATAGCATCTAAATATTCTGTATATCATGTTATGTCATAAAGGAAACCTAATATAACACTAGTGTTTGACAATGTAGCGGTACATTATTTATTATTCTATTTTAGCATTTTTTAACAGAAGCGAATATTTTTCGATATTGAACTCGAAATTATATATAGGTATCAAACTAATTTAATTCATTCAAAAGATATAAAGTTATATTGAATTTATTCGATCAGGAGATTCATATATTGAAAAATTGTTTGCTGTACTGTAGGAACAGTTATTTGTAATTAAAATTTATAAATTTATAGCTTACAGATTTCAGTTTAGGAAGCAAGAATTTAAAATCATTTGAATATTAATAGCAGACGTCGTCTTTGTTTTCTAGATTTCAAAATGGGATATGATACAGATAGGTTCACGTCTGCTATAAATGATGCTCTCACGTGCTGCATATGCCGTGACGTATTAGAAGATCCGGTTCAAGCTCCGTGTGAACACGCGTACTGCAGAACCTGCATAGAGGCGTGGTTAGTGCACGAGACAACGTGTCCCGAAGACAGGAGGCCATTGTCTTATTCAGGACTTCGTCCTCTTTTCCGCTACATGAAAAATGACTTGAATCGTCTGCAACTTAAATGCAAAAACGAGGCTTACGGATGTGAAAGCATTGTTTCTCTTGAAACGCTTGAGGCGCACGAGAGAGATTGTATTTTCGACAGACACAAGTGTCCAAATGACAGATGTTCTTTCTTTGCAAATCGGCAGGAAGTTGAAAGTCACGTGAAAAGATGTGAATATGGTCGAAAGGAATGTCCAAATGGATGTGGAATGCTTCTTGCTAGGCCCGTTGATCTTGATCATAACTGTATCCAAGAACTGAAAACATGCCTAGAAGTATTACGATCAGAGTTTGCTTGCAAGTTTGACGATCAAAGGCAAGATATTGAATTGCGATTGGATACTCAGAGAAATCACATGATCCAAAGAGAGGCGGGGCTTCAGAGTCAAATGGACGCTTTGAAAACGGAGAATTCTCGGCTGGAACTGAAAGTGAAATCGCTTATGGATATTGAATTAGAAAGGCGTCAGGATATTGAAAAGCTGAAACTGGAAAATAAAGAGCTAACAGAGTTATTGAGAAAAACTTCAGCAATGTCGGAACTTCGAGCTCCAAGAAAACTACAACGCAGCCTAACTTTTAGAGGAAAAGAATCACATGTTTAAGTGTGACTTCTTTCAAGACCATACAAAAATTTCGCCAATTATTTCTAGGGTAATTCGAAAATAAGTCACACTATGCATGGATACTGTAAACTTATTTTGAATCAGTTTATTCATGTACATTTTTCATTGCAGTGTGATGAAATGATTCCATTATTTTTACCTCTGTTGTAAATACTTCGTAACTGATACACATTTTGCAATTTTTGTGTATTATAATGACAAATTTCAAATTTTGAAAGACAACAATTTTATAGATGCATGACACAGGAAATAATTGTACCTGTGTGTAGTTAGGGCCTGTATACATCTCCGCTTCTAATTTGTTTGCATATTCACTAACTTTGAATTTTATTTCTAACCGGAGAACTGAAAAAAGATACACATTTATAAATCATGTATAGAATGAATTCTGAATGGGCATTATTGCATGACTTTTGGATGTATGGGGAATATGTTATTCCAAAATGACAAAGGATATAAAAAGGATTTTATATCCAGATTTTTGCCAGAAAAAATAAATGTACGTGTATGTACTTGGCAACTAGGCAACTGTAAGGTTCTATTTCTTCATTCATATTTTTATATCTGTTAAATACAGTGATAGTACATTTTATTACAATAGCAATTATAATTTATATGAAAACTTGTTTAGTAGAATTTAGACAAATGTGGCATTATCTACCCAGTGATATTTCCAGTTATTTTGTTATGTTGTAAAATAATGCACTGTTAATAAATGTTGATGTAAATTTAATGTTGTTTGCCTTTGTGTATGCAGTCTCAAGTTTTATATAATTTATAAAAACGTTTAACGTAAAATTTTGCAAGTACATACATTTTTCATGACTTGATTTTTTCTTTGTATTATTTTCTTAAACATTTTCTTTAAATTCATATAAGGGGTCTGGGCTGCAACTGCTATTTTATTAAAAGGAATGGAACTCTTATCTTAATCATTAACTGTAACTCTAAATTCATTTAAACTACAAGTCAACGTCATCTGCAACTGTTACATCATTGAGGGACTGTAACTATTATACATTCAGTATCTACAACTTTTACTTCATTTAATTGCTGCAACTGTTACTTCGTCCAACAGCTGTAACTGTTATTTCATAAAACGGCTGTTACTTTTATTCCACTAGTTTTGTACCTATTTCTTCTTAAAAGGGTTGAAACAGGCGGTCACTGTTACATGCACTTCTTAAAATGGTTTTTACTTTTAGGGCATTGACCGTTACTAAATAAAATTTTTGTTATTTGAAATTATTTCATTGAAGGGCAATAAATGTTAATTCAATTAAAGGACATATCGATTATTTCATTCAATAACAATAATAATACTTCATAAAATAGTTTCAACTGTTACTTCACTAAAAGTACGATGCTAACTAATATTGGTACAAATGTCATTGTTCATAGGTAGAAGGGGTCTCCAGGGCAGAGTGATAAAGGTCGTTGGCCTCTCTCCACTGTGGGCTTGAATCCCGTCAATGACTTTGAATTTTTTTCATGTGAGGAAGCTATCCAGCTAGGTTAAGAAACATTGATGGTTCTACAAAGGTGCCCTTTTCAGTCTGAAATAATGCATGGTTGGGCACCTCAGGTCCTCCTGCACTAGTAAAGCTGCAAAGTCACCATATAACCTTTACTCTGTTGGTATGGCATAACACCTAATGAAACAAATCATGTGAAGGAAAAATTGAAATAATTGCTCTGTGAACAAATATTTAATCTTAAAAGTGTACAAAGATATACAAAATGGCAGTAAAGAAATACAAAAACAACAACAAAAATACAAGCAAATTGTCAGATTTGATTCCAGCACTACTTCAACACAAACAATAAACAATTAACAAAAAACTTTGACTTAAATTTGCTACCAAACTTTAATGCACCAAAATAAAGATATGATTGAAATTAAAATACAAATGTATATGACCCTTATTGACTGGTTTACTTATAAACCTACTGGCTTACTTACAAGCCTATTGATATTTCAGCTCTACAAGTTTACAATTGATGATTGATTGAAAATGAAATGCAGTACAGTGAAGGCAAAAAAATCACCAACACATAATCTTGTGGCTTTGTGAATCTAAGTGCAATTCTATGTGATTCTGAATTTCATGGAATCATATACAGATTTAAATAGAAAAAAACAACATAATTTCCTTTTGCCCCAAAAAGCCCAAAATAAAGCACTGAAACTTTTGTGGATTTAATTGCATGGATAATTTTAAAGAGACAAAACAAATGACGAACTATCCTAACTCTAGACTAAATCAAGGGGAGTAACTCTGTTGTTACAGTTTAAAGATCTGGACAAAACTTACGATTAAAACTGTTGGGAATATATATAAGATCAAGAAAAATATGGATTTCTGTCTTAAATCTAAGAAAAAATATCAAAATATATTAAAAATCTTATATTTCAGTCAAAAAGTTAACTTAAAATCAGTTATGAATAAAGTATGACATGTAAAAGTTTCTTTGATCATTTGCTTAGCTCTTGATATTATTATGTAAAGATAACTATCCTTGGGTCAATGTTGAAAAATAATTAGAGTTATGGGCACCATGACTTCATAGTGGACAGGATGTGTATTTTTTAAAATTATTATTGCACAACAACTATATATAACTACATACACACCAACATGAACTTTTTAGTACAGGTTAATTGTATATTCATCTAGGTACAGGATAATTTGTAATAAGGAGAGATATGTATAATTCCAATGGTAAATTGTACTTGTAAGTTTTTCCTTCAGCACCCCTGGATGGTGAATGCAAGGGCACCTCACAATAAAAGGTAAGATTTGTCTCATGCATGACTCTGGGGTCCGTACTCTCACTAAAAGGGTGGATGGACCCTCATTAAGCAAAGACAACTTTTATGCGTGACTTATATAAATAAAATGGCCATATTGGAATGGGTTATAAACACTGTTAAAGAAGTACATGATACAAAAAACACTTAAAAATACATTCAATTAAATGGATACTTGTGTAAGGTATAATGAAAATGTCACATTTATTTATAATGATAGCATTTAATCATGAAGGATTTCACACTCTATAGGCTTTACATTCGTAGTGATGACAAGTGATGACTTAAAGTCTCAATTCAGCAGTTTTTGAACCCTAAATCACACTACAACCGAGGTTTATCCAGTACTTTAATGAAGGGAATGTAATTTATAATGAGCAATTTTTTATAATCATTCTAACACATCCAACTTTTTCAATGATAACATAATATAATATAAGGTGGACAGACTGACATGTGCATAGAATTTATAACTGCTTCTTCTAAGTGAGGCATAATGATCATAAATGAAACATCTTAATAAAGTTTACCTATTCTGTGCAACATTTTTATCTTTAATAAAAGTAAGCCCTCATTATTTTTGTTTCAGAAGTTGCCTAGTAAAGCATAAAATAACATTCACAACAGATTGACAAACAAATGGAAATCACAATACATGTATAAAGTTCTTTCTCTTAAAAGACACTACAAGTTCTAATACCGTATTCTCAATAGGGTTGAAAAGGCTTCTTTGTGTCACATAATCAAAATTTAGGTTCCACTAATTGGATTTTGTCTTCAAACATGCTGAGAGCATTCCCAAAGTCCTCTTTAAAGTCCGTTTCCAAAGGCAGAATCTCAGACTGCCTCACAGAAGGATATTCCCCAGAAGGTAAGCCAGTTTGGTAGTACGGCAAAACTAAACAAAGTGAACAACCAACTGCCGAAGAAATATTTATCCACCATCGACAACAAGAGGCCCTGACTTAGATTATTCCAGGAAATGTAAAGAAGCTCCAGTACATTCCTGTACTCAGAATTCAGACTAGATATAATTGCTGCTGCGTAGAGTATAGTTAAAGGAGAAACTGCTAGCAACATCAGTTTCTGGCCCCACCTCGAGTACCTGAAATCAGTAAAAAACATATTAAAATCTAGCAAATAAACTTACTCCTGAATAAATAATATTTGGGTTTTTCCCAGCTAATCCCCCGGTACAGACAAACTTTTACACAGCTTCCAAAATAAGCGCAACAGGTTGACTAATCTATTGTAACTGGTAGTGCACCATGAAGATATAACGGTAAAAGTTTGTTTGTACCAGGAGATTAGCTGGGAAAAACCCACATTTGCCGAGTTCCGGATTACATATATTCATTGAACTAAAATTTCTTGCTGAGGCCATCCTTAAAAAAATGTTTGTTTGCAGTAACCCAACCCAGAATTTTCAAGGTGGGTAGGTAGGTTGATTTTTTTCAATTTTTTTTTTATTGAACAACCCAAATAAACATGGAATTTCAAAATGCTGGACAATATATGCTTTGATAATCTGGTAACAATTAATAAATTGTTAACTGAATTCTAATTTAATAAGAACTACATTTTATTTCTTCTACTAACCTTTAAAAGAACGAAAACAAAGCACAAGGCATAATCTTCTGAGACAAAAAATTTTTTTTATCCAGACCATGAAAAAAAAATTGAGTAGGGGCAAATTTTGTGAGTCGGTTGTGTTACTGCAAACATACATTTTTTTAAGGATGACCTGAATAATGCAAATCACTAGTTTGAAACTGCTTAGTAATATTATCATTAAAAGTTCAAAAACAATCAGTTGTAAGATACAGATGGACTGACATGGATATACCAACTATCAATTCATAAGATTACTTTATTACCCATCTTAATTTTTCAGAAGGGACAATGTTGTGTATTCTATAGACTACAAGTATATGGGCACTTCTAAAAAAGACTGTATGTTCACTAAAGTACAAAACTTTGATCAGATAATTAGATCTTCCAGTACTCCAGCAATTCTATAAGGCACATTTTTTCATGTTTTACTTAACCTTGATTTACTGGTAATATTAAAGCAAATTTGATTCAGATTCCTAATGTCATCAACATAGGACTCAAAACTATGTTTCAACTATACACCTTTGGGCCTAAAAACTACAAGTACATCCAAATTGTGATGGAATACACTCCAAGACTGTATATTTGTTGATACATTCTTTGTTTATATACATGAATATATATTGTGTAAATAATATCTCATAATCTGAGTGAGTCAATCGCAAAAGAGATTTTCAAACTGTAGAAACTTTCAAGTTCGTAACCTAAAGCTCTCATTCAGCATTGAACTTTGTTGTCGTTAGGTTTCAAGTCCTGTTGACAATGCTAAAGTTGTGTGTCAACTTTCTAGTTTAAATGATGGAGAAAAATCCTAGATGATGCACAGCACATAATTCCGTCAAAAAGCAAGTACATGTACAATGAACAGGGTTATAACCAGCAAACTTGTTATAATTTTATTTCTGAATAATTTCTTAAAATTCCTAACTTTATTGAAATGCAAGACTTACCACTTTTTGGATGGATGAACTATGACAGAAACTGGTACAAACAAAACAGCCAGGAAAAATGCCAGGGATATGTTTAATAAAGCCAGGGAGAACAAGACTAAAGATTGAAATATCAGTGTGACTGCCTTCAACAGTGCCCAGTCAAATAACAGTCTCTTGTCGTCTGCTGTCCGTCTGAAATTATAAAATAACATGAAACTGATAAAAAGATCTTTTTCAAGCAGTGTAACTGAATATCAATCTCATTTAGTACAGCTGTTCAAAGAATTTTTATTGGTACGTGTTTCAATGAAAAATTTCCTGTTAAATCATTTTTAGTTTGAAAATATGCTTTTCATGCAATTTAAATGAAATTCAATAACATTTAAAATAGTTGTTCAATGAATTTTTACTGTTATGTGTTTCAATGAATAATTTTTTTTTAACCACACAGACAACAAATGACCGATGTACAAGTTCTCTAAAAGTAGTTTCTGAAACTGTATTTTAGTCTCTTAAACAGGGCATGAAGAAACTGTGTTTAAGTCTAACTGTCTGGTAGCTCAATAGGTACAGCATTGGACATTGAATTCGGCCACTCTGGTTTGATTCAGGGATGGTGCAGGTAACTTTGTTACAATTCATGATTTATTGACCACTGCTCTGGTATGTACAGAAGTTTCAGTTCCTTGTGAAAGTGAAGGCAACTAGTACATAAACTTGTAAACTGCTTGACAGCCTGCCCAGGAACTATACTGTGGCTGCACTGTGCTCTGGTAAATTCAATGTGGGTTACTGCCGTGATCCAGCATGAAAACTACCAACACCACTGCCACCTATGTTTCAGTCTTGTCTCTGTATGACAAATTCTCACTAAATTTAAACTGGCTTAAATAATTTGTGAAATGTAAACCCTACCTGGCCACCATCCTCGGAAATAAGAGAGATGCAGTAAATAAGGCAAGGAATCCAAAGAAGATCCCATCTTCTATGTTCATCTTGAAAGGCACCGCCATGTTAGAGAGTAATTCCGGTCCAGTGTAACACAGTAACGCCATAATCACACTGCTCAACATCAATGGTAATATAGTGATCACTCCTTCCGGCTTATCTTCCTGCAAAAAATGAAGAAGCTATCATAAAAATAACATTGTTTTTTTTTATTGGGTTTTAAGTCGCACCAACATAGTTTAGGTCATATGACAACTTTTCAGCTTTAGTGGTGGAGAAAGACCTCAGGTTCCCCTTTGCATTATTTCAGGCACAAATGGGCACCTGAATAGAACCACTGACATTCCGAAAGCTAGCTTGATACCTTTTCACACAAAAAGTATAAAGACACCATTTGAATCTACAGCCAAGTGGCAAGTGGTTTGAATTCAACGTCCGTAACCATTCGGTCAAGGACGCCCCATGAATAAAGTTAAACCTCTTCACATACTTTTAAGTCTGCCATATGTTAATGTATGACTTTAAATCTATAAATCTTTTTTCTTCTTCAAAACTGATGAGCTTAAAATAACATTTTAAGTTGTAATTACAAAATCAAGCTCAGTTTCTTCATCCACAATTTTGTTCAAGGAGGCTTTGTCAAGTTTTTCTCCCTTTTCTTCATTCTTCTGTCCATCATCAGCCTTTGGTTCAGTTTCTCCTGCTTTCTCTTCTGTATTTTTCTCTGTTTTCGCTGTTTCTCTTTGACAAAGACCTACCCATAGTGCTATAGCTTACAGAAATGTTAAGGTTATATCTCTTCTGGTACATTGTATACAATTATCTTAAAATATATCCTCCAATCGACCTAAATTCTTCAAAATACACCATGTGCCTTAAGAAAAGGGCTCAAAACATAATTTTAAACAAAACTTACCTAAAATTTGACTAGTTCTATGCTGTAGATATACTATTTCATGCTTATTTTGTTTAAATCAAAGACATAAATGGGTAAAACCGAAAATGTTAAGAAATTGAGTTTTATACCAAATATGTTGATCATATAAATGATAGTTGAACAATATTACCTAATGGAATAAAAGAAAAAACTACTACTGATAATGATGCACTTATTATACAAACAGCCACAATTTTAAAGATATTTTTAATTTTATCTCTTAGCCTTCTGGTGGAGACTAGATCTACCCATGTGACCCGTGCTGGCCATGATCAGGTTAGATGGCAAGGATCGTGGTCTGCACTGTTTGCTATTCAGTGAAGTAATCATGTTGAGATATTCCCTAAAAATGATGAATGGCTTTGTCTAGCTTATAAGTCCATTTAAGAAATTTAGCATTGTCATAATAATAGTATACCAAAAGATAGATATCTTTTATCAGCATATTTTCATGAGGTTTCATAAAAAAAGGATATTTTAACAAGACATGATGCACAAATTATACCAAAAGGTATCATATAAAGACCAATGGACACGTATCTCTCAGTCCCAGGTAGAATGTAGAAGAAAAAAGACTGGTGAAACCTCTCCAATAAATTGTTCAAGCTGCGGAATATACCCTCCACTACCCTGAAAAAACACAAACAATATTATTATACAGTGCAATCTCTGCCAAGTGTTCGCCTTTCACCCCTATTGAGTAATAACCTCTTTACAACCACAGTATCAATGGTTGTTCAAAGAAAGAAATGAGCCGCGCCATGACAAAACCAACATAATGGGTTTGCAACCAGCATGGATCAAGACAAGTCTGCGCATCCTCGCAGTCTGAACTGGATTAATGCTGTTCGCTATCAGTTTCTCTACTTGTTATAGGGTTTGTAAGCGAACAGCATGGATCCTAATCAGATTGCGCAGATGCGCAGGCTGTTCTGGATCCATGCTGGTCGCAAAGCAATTATGTTGGTTTTGTCATGGTGCGGCTCAAATAATAATAAGTTTAACCTCTACAGCAACTTCTCTCAGCAATGATCAAAGTCTATGTCTGTCAAAGGGTGTTGTGTTGCTCTGCAGAGTTTGTACTGTATGCATAATATAAAATATTCCAGTGTAATGACACTTTCTTGCTTAAATTAAAATAGAAATTTTTGGATAAAACAATCTTTAGACAATAACCTTACCTACATTTTGACCAGTCTTTAGTGTCTCTTCAAATATAGTAAACTCCGCTTAAAGAGATATTAAGGGGACCGCAGAATTTATATTGTTATATCTTGATAATGCGTATATCCTTATATCCGAGAGGCAACCAAGTTGAAAACAAGAGCCGGGACTGCGGCAACAGCATCATTATAAGCTTTATCTTTTTAAGTAGAGTTTACTGTAAAAAGACATAAATGTTTGATTTCTTTCCACATGCAAACATAAAGCAAATACACTTTTTTACTGTCAATTTACATCAACTGAAACGATACAATAAGTTTCAAGAATGTTTGAAAACTACCATGTCAAATTTTGGGCCTTTTTGACATAAAATTATTGCTAGGATTCATTATAACACAGGAATTAATACAACATACCTTCCTGTAACGGCTAAACTAATTTTGCCTGTCTTTTTACGTCTGATTCCTTCCAGTGTGACTGCCTCAATATGGAACCTATAATATAAATAGGATATCAGCAAGATCAAAATAATTAAATCGCTTTTAGGGGAAATAACTCTAAAGCATATTCTGTAAGCAGGCCCCTTCAAGACAAGTGACGAGATCTGCAAGTGATACCAATTCTTTGCAATTCTAGTTCAAATCAAATCATAAATGAAACTGCAGTTTTGCAGCGAAATAAACACTTTGATGCACAGAGAAATATTAAGTGGTCACAAATATTGAAAAACAAAGACAAAAAGTACTTAAAATTGATGACTTAAGAGTATGAAATAATATATGACTGCTCACATTTAAATAAAGTAAGACTAAAATAACAAAGAACAGTAATTCCTTTACCTATGAAAAAGACCATGATTTCCTGATGGCAACCCTGAAGCTTGAGCCCACATCATTTTCAACATAGTTTTAGCTGACTGCTGGAAACCAGCCACGGTTTCTGCTTCCCACTGAGGAACATCTCTCTGTCATATCAGAAATAAAGAAAATTATTAAGCTGGTGCCCCTCTACTTAAAATAAAAAATATTTGAATTTATACCACAAATAAGCACAGCAGAAATACAAATATAAACATGTTTTGCTCCAATACTGAAATTAAAATCAAGACATTTACAACAATGGATTTTGAGCAGAAAATGGAAACCTGCATCTGTGCCAGGAAATTTGACAGTTATTCATATAATATGCATGTGAGGTCCATGCAAGAAATTCCAGTAGACTGTCAACCCACAATCAGAATTAACATACATAAGACTGGTTCAAAAATTTATCATGTATTTCATTCATCATACTGGCAATCCTCAAACCAAAAGACTCAAAGCTATGTTAGGCATCGTCTCATTCAGTCAACCATGACAGTGAAATGTTGTTTTTGCTCCATTAAGAAAGAGATGACAGATAACCCTGAAATTTCTAATTTTAAGTTGGTACATGCTTTTTTCTTCATCCTTTTTCTTTTAACAAAATGGACTTTTAGAAATTATGTATTAACTCATTTTTAGCTCTAGCAACACCTTCAATACTTACACTATTATGTAACATGACATCTACATTATTCTTGTGACACAGTCTAACCACTAAGTTGACCAGGTCCAGGTTAGGAAGCTGTCCGTTCAAACCCTCTATCTTCACATTAAAATATTTTATATTAGCATCTGGTACTTCCAGGTTGATAGCAGCTTGTATCTGACCACTTCTACCAGGCAACTCTCCAGGCTGGATGTCTGTAATATGGAGAGAAACGTAAAATTTTGTAGGACTGTTTTTTGTTTTTGTTTTTTTTCATGTTGGGTTTTATGTCATACCAACAAAGTAAAGGTCATATGGCAACTTTCCAGCTTTACTGGTGAAAAAAGACCTCAGGTGCCCTTCCGTGCATTATTTCAGGCACAAGCAGGTACCTGAATAGAATCACGAACATTCTGTAAGCTAGCTGGATAACTCCCTCACATTGAAGAATACGAAGTCCCTGTCAGGCTTCTAACCCACAACACTCGCAGTGTCTGAAATGGCCCATGAACCCTCATTAAGCCTAGAATACACGTTTGCAAAAACATAATGCACAACACCAACAAAACTCTTCACCCTTATATTTAAGAAATGGGAATGGATTTACATCTCGATGCCAAATTGTCACTTTGACAACTGTCTTTTATAGCATACCATTTTGCACCAGGTCATTTGATTTTTACATGACACACCAGGTCATTTGATTTTTACATGACACACCAGGTCATTTGAGTTTTACATGACACAGTATGTAAGTAGTAGAAATTAATTCATTGTCCTCATAATAATGAACTTACAGTCTGACTGTACTTCATGATATCCGTCGAGCCACGCCTGCATACCAATCTGTTCATGATCAGTAACGAGGAATATTATATCTTTGCTCCAGTATGGCTGACCTGTTAAAGAGAAAATACAAGAAATTAAACTAATAAAAAATACCATTCAACTTCCAATATCAACATAGCTTTTCATTTATTCCAGTTTTTTAAACATGTGTTGTTTTCCTTTCTTTCTTGTTTTGTCAATGTACATTTATAATTTATTTGCTCTAAAAATTTAGTACCGCATTTCCCAGGGAATATTTACAATTACTTAAAGCAAATTATTGAAACACCATAAAGGGAGTTAAACACACTGGTTAAACAATACACCTTGTCTCTTAAGTTGAGATAATAATCATAAGCAGATAATATGCATTGAAGTGCAAAGATGACTATAACATAAAATAGATTAAAGAGTAGAAAGTTCTATTTGTCAGCCCTTTAAATTTGAGGACACTTGTGTCTTCAATGTTAATTTTGGATAAAAAACGCTTTTGTCCACTTTGTTTTGTTTTTTATCATCAAGGAGGGCTTTTATATATTATGTCTTTTTTAATGAAAGTGCTTTTGTTTACTTATACTCTTTTGTCTGGGAGGGTCTTTGTCCACTGTCATTTTTGACGGGAGAGTTCTAGTCTCAGTGGACTTTTGTCTACTTTGTTAATTAGATTGAGAGGGGCTTTTTTTCTAACAAGACTTTTGTTGACCAGTCATTTTTTGGATGGGAGGGGTTAAGTCTGAGACGGCTTCTGTCTACATTGTTATTTCAAATAAAAGGTTTTTTCTCTGAGAGAACATTTGTGAACATATGTGCCATATCAGAAAATGAATAAATAATACAAATAGTACGCTATGATTTGCACAAGGTATACAACTTACGCATGAAGTATTTGGCTAGACCAAGCATCACAATGATACCACCATAGGTCTGTGGTAAATCAGAGGTTTTAGATCTGAATGGTACAGATAGCACTACTGCCTCGGTACTCGCAGCTCTTCTAGCTCGCAATATGGCATACACATTCTGACCAGGAACCAGCTGAATATAAAATAAAAATAATATCTTACATATTGTCAAAAAACACATCTTAAAAATAATGAAGCCTGGAAACATACAATACTAAATGAACTAATGTTAGCTTAAACACATAAACTAAATTTTAAACATCAATTTTTGGAATATTTTATGAATTAAATAAACTGAATTTCAATTCCTTATGCAATTCATATGCTAAAATAAAATACATAACATTTTTATAAAAAGCATATGATAGAAATTTGTAACAAGTTTATCCCATTCCTTTGTATATTTAATACAATACAATTATTAGCAATCAGATTTTTTTCAGTATAACATTATGCATTATGCAGCATTTTTTTACCTGTCCTCTAACAATTTGTAGGGGATATTTTACTGTGTAGTTTTGTATGTATGCATCCAGTCCAATTTCTCTGAACTTTTCAAATAGCCAGTCCCTTGGCACATTTCTAAATTAATGGAACAAATCAATGTACATGTAAATGATTGATTTATATATTTAATTCTAATAAATTGTTATGTTGAACTTCACATTTAAACAAACACTTACAATGTAATTTTCAACATCACTATTTTGCAAACGTATAGCTATCACAAAAATAAGAGATGTTGGCAGAGACAAACTCCTTTCTGCAAAATTTGATATTTTCATTTTGTCTAACCAGAAATATATAAACATTTTTCAGTTTTAAAGACTGAATTAGCAAAACACGCACACAAGCTGGTTGTAAAAAATGTCTTAGATCTATCTTTATTTAAGGAATGGGCATGCTTACAGATATTTAACTATTAGGGAAGGGGAAAAAATGACTGCTGTGTGATATGACATATATGTATATATAACTTGCCGATAAAATAAATATCATTCTTCATTATAAACCAAATCAAATTATGCTTAATTCCTACCTTTTATCTTTCTTTAGCTCTTCTTTAATCTCAGCTATGTAAGCTTCTGAACTATCTTCAAAGAAGAATCCACTTTCAACAACACCTGTGAAAAACGCAAAGTTAGAAATGTACATGCTACTTGTTTTCTAAAAATACTTAAACCATACAATACATACATTTAATACAACAATACAATAAGTAACATGCCTTGAAAAATACAAATTCTGTATGCTTTACGCAAATGAATGACTATAATGACTGATTTTACTAATTTTAACCATAATCATCACTCTGCTACAAAATTCTAAGTAAAAAAGGGGGCATAATTTTGTCAAAATCCATGAAAGAGTTATGCCCTCTTGCCTGGAAATGGGGATGAGGGTTACTTACAAGAATACAAAGTTTCAAAGCAATACCTCTAAGGGTATTGGGCATGAGTGGGGTGGTATGAAAAACTTAACCATAAGTGTAACGCAGAAGCCGAACACCTGGATGAGTAGGAGAGCTCTCCCGATTATCTAAATATAAAACTGTAATGCTAAAAATGCTTTGAAATCACCCACAAGTTTTGTATCACTGATTTCTTTTAATTTATCACTGGCTACTTAAAAATTTACAGCCAGCACTGTATATTTATTACCTGGTAAAAGAGCGTTCTCTGAGAAGTAAGTTTTAGCATTGAGTGGTGGGTAAGCTAAAGCCAGGAACCAGATTACTCCAACTATATAACATGCAGCACTCAGAACATTGTTATACTTCGTGACAGCTCCTATAATCTTCTGCCGTGACTTAGGATTGGACAGTAACCCCATCTTGTGTCTGAAATTTTATTATAATAATACATTGTTGATAGGGAGCACTCTGAATGGTGAAAACTAATAATCACATAATTCTATATAAAATTTTATTCATTTTGATTTTACAACACAGTTTATAATACAGGGATATTTTTTTGGCTTATTTTATAGCCGATATTCGGTCATATTCCCAATTGAAAATAGTATATTATTTTCCCAATCCACAGGAAAAAATTCCCAATTCAAAGTAACAAAATAAAATATTGAATAACAAATTAAATAAGGGCTTCTTCACTGTGAAGGTGCTTAAATGTTTGAAGATCAATCCTAGACAATGATTCTTTGCTTTCATTTAATCACTGCAAAATTTAAGTAATGCATTTTTCCCAAATTTTTAACAAAACATCGCTGAATTTCCCAATTCCATGAGTTTGGGTCATGTTCCCAAAATCCTGAAAAAATCCTGCAATATACATTTGTAAAACAGTTATAACTTTAAAAGAATATCAGGACATTCAGTATCCCCTGTTGATTACCATCAATCTTAATATTAAGTTTTGCTAAAGTACTACCGGTAATTTTTTCTGAAATGGGATACTTGGCGCAGTCATGATCGTTTGATGAATTAATCATAAAGTAGATAAAAATTTGACTGATTCAAGTATACAGTACAATTTTTTATAAATTACAGTTAAAATAATTACCTTTTAATACACACAACTTATTCATAATATACACAATAAATAGAAATAGACACTGAGTCAATATCAAACTTTATAGCTTCATGATGTCCTTTTCCCAAAATGGAATTATTAATCACCAATTAGTTTTAAGTAAACTTATGTACTCTGAAGGGTGTGGATTTTTCAATTTGGACCAATAGTGTTGTTAGGGTTCCATAATGATATAAGCGAGGCTCTGATTGGCTAATGATAGTCAGCAGCTCGTAAACCTCATGTAGGATGCCAATATATGCAGAAACATAAAGGTTAAATCCCATTCCATTAAGTCCATCACTTAGCAGATGTTAGTTAGACCCCAGCTTGATTATGGTTCCGAAGTATGGTCTGCCCACAACAAAACTCAAATAAATCAAACGAAAATGTCCAAAGAAGAGCAGCCCGATATATTAAGCTACAAAATGTAGATTATGGTCAGACCTCTAGCATCACGGAAATGCTTCACTCTCTTTAACCTTCAAAAACAGGAACTCAGACATATAGATGCTAGGTTATCCCTTCTCTGTAAGATTCACCACGGTCTGGTTGCTATCCCCATCTTTCGTAGGACAATATACAACTGGAACCACCTACTCCCCGCAGTTGCCCAACTCCCTACCCTAGAGCAGTTCAGTGCAGCCATAGAGAATGCCAGACATTTCACTCCCAAGACATTTCACTATTGAGACGTTTCACTCCCAAGACGGTTCACACCTAGACGTTTCACTCCCAAATTGTAATTGTATGGACGTTTCACTCTCATTTTTTAAAATGTTTATAATAATTTAGGAAAGTTAACAAATATTTTTTCATTTAATATTTAGGGAAAATTAAATTTTATGTTTGATTAAATAGATAATGAGGGGATTGTAAATAAGAATTTATGAATTTGAAGGGAAAAAAATGAAATGTTACAGAATGAGTAAAAAATATAATCTAAACAGTACAGTATAGTATATGTTCAGAAGAGTAAATTTTGTTCTGTTTAAACAATGTTTTGAATTATTCATGTTATTAGGAGTGAATATATTGGTTTCAATGAGAACATAAGATAAATTATTAGAAGATTACTCATTTCATTATGAGTTGAATGATGAGAGGTTTAAATGAAAGACAAATTTTTAACATTTTATTTTTTAACAACATGATTAAAAAAGATAATAGAATAACATAAAAATGAAAATTTATTAAATATATAATTATATTATTTTTTGTAAGTCTAAAACTATGAAATGCAAAAAAATGTATAAAATCAATTATTCTTTTAAATCATTTCTTTATCAATGTATTAAACAGTAGCCATTAAACAAACTTATGTAATTGTGGTGTTAACAGTAATCTTGTCACCTAATTAGTTGTATAAACACTGAGACCATCAACTAACAGTTTGACATCACTATTAAATCAGTTGTATAAACACTGCACTTTAGCATCAACAGTTTACTAATCAGTTGTTTATTGGACTATTAAAATTGTTTTCAGACAACAGCCACATATAAAAAAGGTCTTGGGAACAAAAACTTCTCCAAAAGTTTTGTATTAAATTAAATATATAACAAAAGTAAAATAATATTTAATCAGATAATAAGTTATAAATAAATTATATAAGATGATCCAATCAAGCAAAAAAACTAAATTAACAATTATGATATACAAACTTAAAGTACTGAGACAAAGTGAAATCCCCTTTCAGGTTTTAATTTATTTTTATTAAATTTCTGGTATATTTTAGTAATTCACAAGTATCAAACGTCTTTAAGACATTTCACTCCCATTTCGGAGTGAAAGGTCTTGGTGTGAACCGTCTTGGTGTGAACCATCCCAATTATAAATAGTAAAATGTCTGTCTACCAGCCATAGCTTGTATCGAACCAGAGACATAGATAAAATCTATGTCTCTGATCGAACATGTCTCACCCTTAGACTAAGTTCTCTAACATTTCTAAATATTCTTTTATCCTCTTAAACAACTCTTTTAAACTTTCTGAGAGTGATGGTTATGGTTAAAACTTTCTTCCGATTTTTTACCTGCAGACATGTCTACGTCCATGCGAGGGATTTCACATTAACCAAAGACAGATAGTGTTGAGTGAATTTTGCGGTCGAATTATCAATAAAAGTGTGCAGTTGTCAATTGGGCCTAATAAATATGGTCATCATAATGAAATCATTTAATGTTTAATAGCGAGCTGGCCAAGATGACCCAAAGGGCCTGCTCGCAAAACGAGCTTTACGGTAACGTGAGTACCTGCTGGATAGTGATGGTTTTGAAAACTTTCGTCCGAAGTACTGAATTAACACATCGCAACTTTTCGAATTACAAGATAACGATAAAAGCCGAGGTATTCTGATTGAAAACGGAAGTGTAGACTGGTGTCCTGCTCATTTTATGGGAACCATAAGAGGACAGGGAACCAGATTAAACGGAAGCAGTGAATAAAATACCGAATGACATTTTCTAAAACAGAAAATGAATGAACGTTTATTTAATAGATATATCACTATTTCACAGTTAAAGTAAATCGAGTTCGCTTTGAAGCTTTGCCTTTTTCATATTTATTTCTGTCAAAGAGCTCGCTTTGCGGCTTTGCCTTTTTAAAATATTAGTAGATCTATTAGCAACTGACATGCCTATGATTATCATGTGGATTTGTGGTGCTTTTATTTTTGACAAAAAAAATGTAAAAAATATTGTTATATATGAACAGATGAAGATTTGCAAAATGGTGGCAAAAGCACAAGAAAAAACAGCATATGATTTTGAAAGAAAACTTGACAAGTCTCAAATATTCAACAAGTTTAAAGGAGATTTTACAGTGAAAATATACAAAATCATACCGGTTCCTCAAAAATAAAGAAATTTCATTTAGAGTAGACTCCCTTGGTATCTGAAGTTTACAAAGCGTATAATATTTTAAAATGCGGACTCTTCCCACAATAGATATTTACATGTATGATTCTGATACTAAATTAACAATAATTTTTGTGAAAAACTGAAAACAATATATTAAATTATCAGATATCTGCAAAATGATGGAAATTAAGTGTGGAGATTCAGTTTGACAGTGTATATTCCGCTGTAACCTTGTGTAACCGTTCTTTCGTCATGAGTGTGTGAAAAAGAATTGTGGTGTTGTGCCATCAATGCTTATCAAATCGATACTAGCGATAGGGGTGACAAGAGTCATTTTTCAAAAGACCAATACAAGTAATTGAGTCTGACGTTGTTCAGTAACAACAAGACCTTAAATAAGATTACAATTAATGCATACATATAAATATATCATTTTGAGAAAATTTCATTCAATTTAATCTCAACACATGGTTTTTATTTCTACTGTATTTGAAGATTAATTTCGCAAAAGATTTATATCAATATAAATGGTTGTATTTTATGAATATTAAGATTAATAATGAAAAATGGCCCTTAATTGAAAAGCTTTGCAGCGCTTTTCACTCCAATTGGACTAAGAATGGCACAAAATTACGATTTTCAATTTGTTTCTGGCTATATTTCTGAATTATCTTTTTGGTTATCTTTCTGCTTAAAATGTTCCAGATGATTTATTAAAGAAATTCAAATTTGATGTTTTTAGGAATGTGGAGCTCCTTTAATGATTGGGGAAAAGTCTAAAACAACATTATCTTTCTAGTGTTAGAGGGATCTATTGATATTTCCTTTTTATACCAAAAAACCTTTCATCAATTTAAAACTGAGTGCCATAAGTCCGGCCTCAGAGAAAAACAGAATCCCTAAAGAAAGCCCAAAACGCAAAATTGACTATTGAGCCTGTTCATGCATGGACGGTATTGGAAGTGCAAGTTACCGTCCACGCCCTCTAACTCCGGCTTTAGCAGAATTCAACATTTAAACACGAAAATGGTGAAATTTTGAATTTCAGAACATCCGCAGATGTGTTCATACGGCGGTTATCATGAAACCTTCAATGTGACACAGTAGTGCCATTCCATGAAAAGCGGCGTATGGTCCCCAAGTAAAAGAATGTGTGTGCCCTAACCGAGAAAACAATGGGCGGAACTAAATAAAATGAAATTTTGAAAGGGGATCAGAGGTTATGGAGCCTGCGTAAAGACTAATATCTTTGATATTATTCACATTGTGTCGTTAATATGTTCAAAGGGTTAAGTACAGTACAATGAACTAAAATGTAATTCATTTACATCATACCGTAATGAAATTACTTTAAAGATAATTAAAATTGCAATTACTTTATGCTTCAATATCAACTATTCGTCCTTAACAACAACAACAAAAAAACGACATATGAATGCCCCTATTAAATTCAAAATAACACATTATACTTCATGACGCATAGATGAAACTTAAGTAATAACAATTTATATCGGTAGCTGGTTAGAAATCTAAGGGTTGCAAATTGTTATCTTTCCACAAAAAGTCTTTCACATGATACTGTAAAAGGTCCCTTGTAGTGGAACTTTATTGGTAAGCACATAAATTGAAAGGTGCTTTCTTGCTTTCTTGGATAAAAATCATTTGAACTATCTATATGTTTACCACTGTATATTATTAAATCCATATATGGCGTTTCAATGCAGAGTATTGGCACAAATAGAATAGTCAAAATGAGAATAAAAGACATTTTGAATCGGTTCTTGGAAAAAATCCCTCCTATCCAAAATATGATGAAAACCCCTTTCCATTCAAGCTATTAGTATAAGTAGTCAAAAAGCCGTACCGTGAATTTTATGGTGTACACAGAAAATTTCTCAATCAAAATCTACTTTTAAATTGTTATTGTTCTAAAATTAATGCTTTATACTGTTGTACATGTAACCTAAAGGATTTCTAAATATAAGTTTATATAAATGAGTATAAATGAAAGTGCAAATTATGCTCACAACATGGCTTCAGAGGCTTGACATTTACATCCTATATCATCACATTAAGTTTTTTGTAACCAAAGAAGATAAGAAACAAGAATTGTTTGTGTCCCTTGTTGTTTTCTCGTCTACGGTAAATATCTTCCCTTTTCCCTTTTTCTCCTAGTTTATTCCTTTAATTCCCCCCTTCTCCCATTCCCTTCCTCTTTTACTTTGTAATCATTTATTTGTTTTCTTTGATTTCCTTGTCGGTTACTTTCATTTCTTCTTCATATCATTTTGTATTATTTAAGTGATTAGCCTGCCCGTGCTCTGTCATACGCCCTGTCCTGTTTTTGTTTGGGGTCCTCCTGGGCTCCTAGCCGCTAGTTCTTGTTGCTGGGTTGCGTGGGGTTGCGTTCATTGAACGCCACCTTTCCTTGTTGATATTGTTTATCATATTTTACATAAATTGGCTAGAATGAAAGGTGGCGTCCATATGATTCCACTCAATAAAAAAGAAAACCACTTTGATGTTTTGCAGTCAAACTTGTAACAAGATAGCTTTCAACAGAGATTTTATTCAAACTTGGATTTTTTTTTGCATTTTCATATTATTGGACAAACTATTCCCAATCTTTTATATCAATATATAGGAAAATGCCGTCTATGCAGTACATGTGTTATTACAATGAGGAAACTTATTTGATTAAGAATTAAATGTTGTATTTGTATAAACCAGATGTCAGAACAAATTTTATTGTCATATAAGTTGGCACTTAAAACCATTTTTATAAAATAATCGTATGCATATGATAAAATATAATAAAATAGAGAAAAACAGAATACCTAAAAAAGCCCATCACGGAAAAATTGAAAATGTTGCAGTCTTGATTTGAATTTACCTGTTCATAAGCCTTATATCTAGTTGTTTTACACTATTTTCAATATTTAACATGTTCACGTCTGTAAAAGCTAAACTAGTTCTTGGATTTTTGTACAGACAATTTAGCGGTGTTAATTCAGGCGGTAATATGACGTAAAATTTATTTCTATCCGCATATCATACTGGAGATTCCAAAATGGCCGGGTTGGTCGGACGTTCGGCGAAACAAGCACTTTTAAAAGTGTCTAGCACTGCACAGAAACAAAATGTAAGAAAACTTTACTTAGATACAGCTGAAAAAAGTTGTATAAAATATCATCTCTCACATAATTATTTTTATAAATTGTATATTTTCAAGATACAAAGGTCTAAATCTTTGTCCTTGAGCGAGGAACAGTCGTTTCAAGTTAAAGATTATGAAAAAAAGTTATATAAGTATTTTTATGTTACGTTATCTACGTTACGTAAATATATTGCTGGAATGATTGTTAACTAATTTTTTGAAGTAAAAAAATCAAGTTATTGCAGTTCTATGTTATTGATTTATATTCTGTAGTGTTACATATAGAATTTTAAAATAATGGTGGATTGTCCCCCACTTAACTGAAAATTGTGAGGGACATGCATTTACCAAACTTTATCACATACCGAAAAAGAATTCATTTATTTCATGCTTAAGCATTTTTGATAGCAGACGTCTGCTCGAAAAATGATAAAGAATTGGTGAAAACTAGTAAAGTATGCAGATCAGACGGGTGAGAGTGGTTTCATGGAACTACAGGTTCAGTGAACTGATTACAGGGCTCACACTGGCTCAAATAAAATAATAGCCAATATTTTCAACTTAAAAAAATAATAGCCAAAAGTTCAGCGGACTTTTCACGAATTAGCGATTAATGACATACGCAGTTGATTAAATAAACATTACATTTATATAAAACTTTCAGTTTTATAAGGATTCTCAAATAAACTGATACATTTGTATATATTGGTAACTACCTTTTTTAAAATAGAACCACAACTTTAATTGTTATTATAGAACAGAATAAAAACGTTATAATTAGTATCATTACTGTATAACAATAATACTAAAGATTCATTATAACTTTACATATGCTGTTATCAGACAACTTTTTTTTGTTTGTTCTAATCAAATTTTGTCAGCTTTAACCACTGTCAATTTCCACATTTCACACAGAACTGGAGTAGATCTAGGTCATATTAGCCTCAGGGTTCTCGGGGACGCTTATTTCGGCGTCCCGGTACGCATGTTTATTACAGCTGGACGCAAATATTTCAGAGCAAGGATTCCACGTACGCTTAATTTTGCCTGGGGACGCATAAACATTGCCGATTGTTTACAACCACTAATACACAAATTCGTCGGCGCGTGTCAGTCTATAGGTAGGCGGTCCTATGCACATCGACCCGTGAAGCGATTAGCCAATCAGCGATAACGCTTTCGATCATTATCACGCAATAGAGATCAGACTAATGTATGTACACGCTCTGCAGGTGTAATTACCAGATATAACGCGAGATATATTTGATCAACAGTTAATTGGAAATTAGCAAATTTTACCGACAAAAGGATAAAAATATTGACTATTTACGCCGCAAGTTTAAAGACTGTTTTCTCAAATTACAAATGAGTGTAATTTTGAATTATTGTCGAATATTTTCGGCATTTTCTAGGCAAAATTTTGCTTTCGTTTCATGCCTGCAAAAACGTTCTATAAGAATATTAAGAATTTGAGATTTGTGCCGAAATTCCAGGGCAACAAACCAAAATACACATACGCTTTTCTTTGATATTTAGATTTTATCAGAAAATTGATCCCGAACATCGGCAATTTCACTTCGCCAGAAACCCTAAAATTTCGCAAAAATTCTCAGTTTCCAAGCCAAACATGTGAATGAATTGTTCCTTTATTATTCAATCAACATTAAATCTTTAAATATCGATCTTCAATTTGCCCCCTTTTGAAGATATTTGCTAAAATAATTATCGATCGGATGAATCTCTTACACACTGTGTGAAGCTGTACGCGATTTTCCTATTCATTCCGCTAAACGCTTCCTATATACATTTACGTTTTTTTACAAATATAAACTTTTTGTCTTTAGAGTGGACTTATTTTACCAGAATAAAATTTGATTTGGTATGAAAGTGAAAAATAAAAAACGAGTTCCATGTGTTGATGCATTATAATGAAATAATTTTAAAATAAATATTAACAACAAAACAATAAATTTACTATGTAGTTCAGAGTTTGTTGTGAATAACTATAAACTTTGAAAGTCTCTTGAAGATTCAAAATATCAGCAATGCTATTGTGAGCATTAAATAACTAATCTGTAAACATATTAATTGCGACGCGCTTTTGGACTCCAACTTTTTCAGGGTTGGGAGTCCATGGACTCCATGTTTTAAAGTCCTAGTGAGAACCCTGTAGCCTATAGAAATAACACAAGTTTGCAAACTCATTCACAGAATGCAGCCTTTTTTCTGAATAATTTACTGAAAAATATCATCATCACCAATGTAATACAAATTTTCTGCCAAAGTGGTAAAGATTTTTAAACAGAACATAGCTTATTTCACCTTTAAATAAATATCAAAATTATCGGTGTCGCGAAAACATGTGACAATCGGATTTTTCCTGTTTTCTGAAGAAATATTCACAATTTTGGTTGTTGTGCAAATAGTTGTTTGGAAGTTAATACTTGTTATATATTTTACCATTGTTTTCCACTGGCGATTTAGTCAAGTAGCTTAAAACAAAAAAAAAATCAAAATTTGCAATTACTGCAATTCACGGTAAATTTTGGGTAAGTCAATATCCAGTTTATCAATTTTAAAACGATTTTTGTGGCTAATTGACGTATATTTGATGGCTATTATAAATGCTGGACAATATCTTTAAAGTACTTATACAATTATACATCTCGCATGTATTTTATCACCTCGGGCAATATAGTTAGCAGCACGTGACCGGTAAAAAGTTGACACTCAATTAAATGCACCCCGCTGGTGTTAATTGGGTCTACTGCATTCATTATCGATTTTTACACCTTATATAAACACTGATGGAAGTAAAAAATAATCGCCAGATTTTGTAGCCAAAATGCAAAAATAATCGCCAATCTTATAAAATAATCGCAAATGGCGACTATGGCGACCGACAGCGTGAGCCCTGGATTAAATAAAATAAAACAGGTAGTGGTTCCGGCGAACTAATTTATATAGTGCGAACAATATCTATTGTATTATGGGAACGTCAATTATCGCGGGTCCTCATGTGTGGTTTATCACACATTTTCATGCATTTCAAAACAAGATAATGAAAATTTAAACCTATTATTTATAATTTATCTTAGTGTAATAGTATTTAATAATATTTACATAAAAGCATAACACATTACAAAAGATCTCGGTGAACAAACAACATCATAGGAATTTTCAAACAAAATAATATTGGTTTTTTTTTACATATTTTTTTGTCAAAAACAATCAAGTAACGCACAAATCATTAAAATAAGTATAATATATAGGCATACTTGTACAATATATTATATTCATTTAATGATATTTGCGCCATAATTTTATTATATCAAAATATTGATGATAAAAACACTTTATATATTATATGGACAATGTCTACTTTGCTTGCCTTTAATTACTATATAATATAAGATTGACGAAACTACTTTCGCACCTCTTCATAAATTAAGTTCGCTGCACCGGTAGTTTGACGAAACCACCATAATATCAGACCGTTGGTACACATGTGAATTGACCTGGCCCTCTGCTACCCACGATTAAGTACATATTTCCGTCATTGTCACAAGTGAAAACAAGCATGGCAAAAGCATTCTAGATATGAAGATTAACTGAATTAAGTTGAAAAGAATGTCAGATCTATGCTAAACTTGGCGTGCATTGACTTCATTAAAATATGCGATCTGCAAAAAATATGGGGGAATCAGGCAGCCTTACCTAGATTCAACACTGCTAATAGAAAGGCCAACAACTTTTGATACAGACCTCCATCTCCCAAGTATAGTGTCTCTGTAAAAGTTCATGTCAGAGAATATGATTGCAGTGTGTATTTATTATGCAGTGACTGTGTGTCATGATAATACAGGTGTAGTCACAAAGTAATGACCTCCTTGCATAGATTCTGGTTTAAACCAATTGACCCTAAGCTAGCTCTACCCCCAGGGCTCTTGTTAGCATTTTGAGACTGGGGCCAGGGTCCATGCAGAGGGGGAATTTTGCATGATTTTCAAATATTTTTCATTTAAAGGGGATTTTTCCGGTAAGACTTGAAATTGTGCGACATGTTGGAATGCTAAAAACTGTCTGGAACATTTTATTTATATATACATACTAATTTTCGATAGCCATTCCCAAGAATACATACTAATTTCTGGTTGCCAGTCATGGAATACATACTAATTTCTGATTGCCGTCCGCGGAATACGTACCTATTTCCGGTTGCCGTTCGCAAAATATATATTCGCTGATCGGCATTTTCTATGCCTGTTAAATATTAATTTCCAGGGATTTCAAGGGGGATTTTTTTTCGGTTTTAGGGGAAAAAACATACTTTTTTTGGTGGGGGAATGGGCCGATATTCGGCCCCAAATTTTATCAAACGAGAGCCCTGACCCCAAATGGTAATGGTAATATTCCCACATAAACCAATTTTGGGGTCAGGTTGGGTGGAAATTGGTGTATGCGAAATTTTGTCTTTCTTTTATAACATTAAATGTTGACTTTTTGAAAATAAAACTTTTTTAGTTTTTAACATGCACCTGCTCAGAAACATAATATTTGGTGAAAAAAGTAAAAGATAAAAGTGTATCCAGTTCCTGTAATCCATGGGTTTCAGGTTTGTTCAAAGGGTTGAAACTTGAGTCGACAGACACTTGCACCACTTGCAGAAAAGATGAAAATCTTGGGACATATTGTTCACAACAATTCTTTCTTATGTATTTCAGGTCAGACTATTTTCATTAAAAAAGCCGTCTGCTAAAAATGTGGTAAGTAATTTTGTGAACATTATTGAATGGGCATATCAAACTATTTGCATTTTTCTTTTTTTCTCTAAGATTTCTAAAGATATGTTGATAGCCAACAGCTTCAGTTTATTAGTCTTTGCAAAACAGGTTTGAGTTTGTCCAATCTGGAATTCTTTTATTCTTGAAATGTTGTAAATCCTTTGGATTCTTTTATATGACTTGTGAGGAAGCCAGAAAGTTAGTTTGCTGAAAGATGATGGTTGTGCCTGAAATAATGTACAAAGCAATGCCGTTAGTGTCCCACCAACAGTAGCTTTTGGTATAATGATGAATATGTAAAGATATTTGTGTCCAGTGTAAAATAGATTCTTTTTTGTATCTTTGTAGGCATTGGCAACAGTAGGAGCTGCCGCAGTTGGCGGTCTAGGTTTCGCTGTGGCCTTGAACTCATCTGTTAATGCAGCTGAACTTGAGCTCCATCCACCACACTATCCATGGGCACACAATGGTTGGTGGACAGCTTTGGATAAGGCCTCGTAAGTTTTACTTTTAGACATCCAAAATATTATATAGATTATATATACGCATTTCCTGTTGTTTGTCTGTCTCCATTCTGCTTAATAACTTTTTTTTCAGACTTTGTTTTAGTTTTGATTTTGTAGGAAGCTATAAGCTAAAGGTTAATAGGTTATAGACACGCTCATATATTTGTCCCTGAAACAAACTCGTACTTAACAATTAGTGTTAAGTTTATTGTTCATTCACTTGCTTCTGAGTTTGGACCCATATGGGCAGCAATGCCTAGATTACTAGTTTAAACAGTTAACTACATGCTCATTCCACAACTCCTGCCTTTACATTTGTTTTGTATTCATTTATTAGTATGCACTTTTCTCTGTGAAATTAACAAAAAATAGTTCATTTAAATTGGGGGTGAAGACTCATTTAATTTGGGAAGAGTACACATTTAAATTGGGAGAACTGAGAAGACCATAGATAAAGCCAATGCTGGAAATGCCCATTTCTTTTATATTTAAGAATGCGAAGGGGATACGAGGTTTACAAACAAGTGTGTGCTGCATGTCACAGTTTGGAATATGTTTCCTATAGAGAAATGGTTGGTGTAATTTTCACTGAAGCTGAGGCGAAGAAAGAGGCAGCAGAGGTATGGTATTACTACAAATGATTGTCCATTCTTAAAATTGTCTTGAGGTTTATTTAAATAGCTGAATCGATTGATTAAATATTATGCCATATACACGTATACAAATTGTTTGTCTTTAAATGTATCATTATGATTAAATAACCAGTTGAAATTTAATGTCAAAATACAAAAAAATATATGAATAACGAGAAATAATGAGTTTAATTGTTAGGCATGTTGCATTACCTTATGGGCAAGTCCACAACAAGAATTGTAAAAAGCATTCCCTAAGGGAAAAAAAGGCATCTCTGTGGGTCACCTCATTTTCATAAACTTTGTAAAAAAAAACACTTGAATCTTCTTTTCTAAAACAATATGGCCTAGAGCTTAGAAGACATGTCTATTTGTAACATTACGTAAAGGTCCTCTAAAGAAGATAATTAAGTAAACATCCTTGAATCAAAATAATCTCACCCATGGCATTAATTGCATAGATTTCCATAATAGCAAAATAACTAAAAGCTCAAATCAGGGCTCACACTGGCTCAAATAAAATAATAGCCAATATTTTCAACTTAAAAAAATAATAGCCAAAAGTTCAACGGACTTTTCACGAATTAGCGATTAATGACATAAGCAGTTGATTAAATAAACATTACATTTATATAAAACTTTCAGTTTTATAAGGATTCTCAAATAAACTGATACATTTGTATATATTGATAACTACCTTTTTTAAAATAGAACCACAACTTTAATTGTTATTATAGAACAGAATAAAAACGTTATAATTAGTATCATTACTGTATAACAATAGTATTAAAGATTCATTATAACTTTACATAATGCTGTTATCAGACAACTTTTTTTGTTTGTTCTAATCAAATTTTGTCAGCTTTAACCACTGTCAATTTCCACATTTGAACTGGAGTAGATCTAGGTCATATTAGCCTATAGAAATAACACAAGTTTGCAAACTCATTCACAGAATGCAGCCTTTTTTTCTGAATAATTTACTGAAAAATATCATCATCACCAATGTAATACAAATTTTCTGCCATAGTGTTAAATATTTTTAATAAGAACATAGCTTATTTCACCTTTAAATAAATATCAAAATTATCGGTGTCGCGAAAACATGTGACAATCGGATTTTTCCTGTTTTCTGAAGAAATATTCACAATTTTGGTTGTTGTGCAAATAGTTGTTTGGAAGTTAATACTTTTTAAATATTTTACCATTGTTTTCCACTGGCGATTTTGTCAAGTAGCTTAAAACAAAAAAAAATCAAAATTTGCAATTACTGCAATTCACGGTAAATTTTGGGTAAGTCAATATCCAGTTTATCAATTTTAATTTTTTAAAACGATTTTTGTGGCTAATTGACGTATATTTGATGGCTATTATAAATGCTGGACAATATCTTTAAAGTACTTATACAATTATACATCTCGCATGTATTTTATCACCTCGGGCAATAGAGTTAGCAGCACGTGACCGGTAAAAAGTTGACACTCGATTAAATGCACCCTGCTGGTGTTAATTGGGTCTACTGCATTCATTATCGATTTTTACACCTTACATAAACACTGATGGAAGTAAAAAATAATCGCCAGATTTTGTAGCCAAAATGCAAAAATAATCGCCAATCTTATAAAATAATCGCAAATGGCGACTATGGCGACCGACAGCGTGAGCCCTGCTCAAATTCTTTATGTCAAGGATTCTTCTCCATTTTTGCAGCTTTGGTCTTCAATATTAACAATATACAGCATTTGTGTTTGAAGTATTCTTTCACATTTGATAACTTTTGATCTACATGCTTTGGTCCTCAAGTACAATTTGTTTCATAATATTGTACATTTGATTAGAAAATATAGAAAGAAAGGGACCTACTTTAAAAGTTTTAGCTTCAATCTTTAAATTTTGTAATATTGTAGAGCAGATTTATTAAAAAATCCCCAAAAGTCTGTGATTTTCAGCTATTTATAATTTTAATTTGAATCTTTTTATTGCTTTATATGGACCCCCCTTTACAGATGTTTTATAAAACAAATCATATTTTTGTGTGGAGTGTAAACAAAGATTTGTAATAATATGAATATTTTTACTAATTTTAGGCAATGATCCAGGATGGACCAGATGCCAATGGTAACATGTTTGAGAGACCTGGTAAATTAGCCGACCATCTACCAAGTCCATACCCCAATACCCAGGCAGCCATGGCAGCTAACAATGGTGCAGAACCACCAGATCTTTCCTACATAGTTCGAGCCAGACATGGAGAAGGGGTATGCTAATATTTAATTTTATCTGACTTTGGATAACTGACAGACAGTGTCCGTGTAACTTTACCATATATTTATCATAGATTTTTATTCATATAAATACAATTGGGATTTTAATGCCCCCAGAAAATATCTGAAGCATAAATTCCTGTGTTTTGACACTTTTTAATCGAACTACCTATCAAAATAATCATGGACGGACATGAGAGACAAATTTCAATTGTATGTAAAGAAATAGGGTCTCACTTTTCTATTCAACTCTATTTGTAACAGGGAATTACGAAGGTGACGGAAATTGACGAAAGTCTGTCATATTTAATTTTGTATTAATGATCCTCTTGTTTGAAACTTTGTTGAATTATTTGGAGTTTGCAGCTTTATTTTACTACTTTTCAGGACTATATATACTCCCTACTGACTGGCTACAAGGATGCTCCTGCTGGAATAGAATTAGGCGAGGGTCAACATTACAACCCATACTTCCCAGGTGGCGCCATCAGTATGGCTCAAGCTCTTTATAATGAAATCATAGAATACACAGATGGTAAGACTAAGAGTACTATGTTTGAACCCTGAACTTTACTTGTCCCCTGTTAGATGTGTTCACTTAATATGTTAACAGTCATAAGTTAGATAAAGTTATTTTACGTAAATTTTTAGGATTATTTTGGCTACCTAGCTAGTTAACAGATGGTTTGTAGTTCTACTTGGATGCCAGATTATTTCCCCTGAAATAGAAGTCAATGAGGTGCACCTAGTCTTTCTCTACCAGTAAAGCTGGTTGCGGTTTTGGTTTCTTTTACCCCTGCAGTCAGAATGGACCATACGAGCAAATGAGAAAGTAATATGACCCAATTATTTATGTATGTTAAATCTTTTGTATTAAAATTATATTACTTTTTTAATGTTAATGTATCGGTACTTGTTGTAGGAACCCCAGCCACTCAAAGTCAGCTGGCTAAGGACGTAACAACATTTTTGACTTGGACCGCCGAACCTGAGCATGATATAAGAAAGCTTCAAAGTATAAAGGTATCATAGTTTATTTAGCCTTCTTAAACTTTTGAAACCATAACCTGTTGAACATGTGTTATAGATTTGATTTGCACTGCTTTGAGTTTGGAACAGTACATTTGAAGTTTAAAGTGATTTTAATATGAAAATACAAAAATGAAGCTACTTACAGTATAGAACATAATCTGACTGCACAGATGTACAGGCCAACCTGTGTAACACAAAGGTGAAGTTGTGGGGGGCATTTATAGACACATGATATAAATGAGATAATGATGGTTCTTGTTTTAAGGCAGCATGCCTCCAGATTCATGCTAATTTTCACAAAAATTTTGAAAATGTATTTAAAAGTAAAATATTGTGAATTGACAAAAACAAATATACACATTGTTAATAGCACATGCGATCCACGTAAGTCTAAATATGCAAAAGTAGCTCACACAGCATTAGTCAAGGAGTGGAAATATGTTGATAAACACTGCAAAATTTGTGTTTAATCTCTCATAACTTGTAAATTATTACTTGAATCCTGTCTTAGTACATTTCTCTCAAGTTTGATTTCCTTGAAATATTTTGGCTCATTTGGAGGCATGTAGCTTTAATAATAATTATAGATTAGTAAAGATGATAATACAAAGCTTTCATATGTTGTCATATTATTCTTTCAGGTTATAATAGTTAGTGCGCTGCTATTCGCAGTGATTTATTACTACAAGAGACATAAATGGTCGTACCTCAAGACTAGAAAGGTCGTTCTCAAGGACAAGCCAGACTTTACCTTGAAAAAGTAATATTTGTACTGCCTGTTAAAGACTGTTAAAATATTTATAAACATTTCTTGATTTTACACAGAAATGCATGAATGTAAATCATTATTTTGAAATGTTCGGACAAAAAAATCTTTAATGTACGAGTATCTCTATGGTAGAGGTGGGATTGTACATTGTTTTTATGTAAGTTCGGTTTAGAAATCTTATGTGATAATAAAATGATGAAAACTATTGTTATTTTGTATTACTTAACATTGATACAAACCAAAACTAGACGGCCACAATGGCCATTGCATCATTCACCCAAGATCCTGTAATGTAGGGGTGGGTCACTTGCAGAGTCATTTGTCTTCAAATTTTGAACAGGATATCGCAGCTAAGAAAAAAGTAGGACATCATTGTGATCATCAAAGTTGAACCCAGTGCTATGCCAAAATTTATCCCAGTGTCATAAATTAATAAGTTAATGTAAATAATATGCTAAACAACTAAGCTGTGGTGTGTGCAGTTGGACAAATTTTTTTTTATATGTTTTCCATGTAAATCTGTTCACTAAGTAACCACCAGGGTAGGGCCAGTTTCATCCTATTAATGTACTAAGGGATGAAGGAATGAGTGACAGATAGGGTGATGCTTGTTTTACTTAAAGGTCGAGTGTGACAGATAGAGTGATGCTTGTTTTACTTAAAGGTCAAGGAGTGTGACAGATAGGGTGATGCTTGTTTTACTTAAAGGTCAAGGAATGTGACAGATAGGGTGATGCTTGTTTTACTTAAAGGTCAAGGAGTGTGACAGATAGGGTGATGCTTGTTTTACTTAAAGGTCAAGGAATGTGACAGATCGGGTGATGCTTGTTTTACTTAAAGGTCAAGGAGTGTGACAGATAGGGTGATGCTTGTTTTACTTAAAGGTCAAGGAGTGTGACAGATAGGATGATGCTTGTTTTACTAAAAGGTCAAGGAGTGTGACAGATAGGGTGATGCTTGTTTTACTTAAAGGTCAAGGAGTGTGACAGATAGGGTGATGCTTGTTTTACTAAAAGGTCAAGGAGTGTGACAGATTGTGTGATGGTTGTTTTACTGAGAGGTCAAGGTGAGTGACAGATACGGTGATGGTTGTTTTACGTAAAGGTCAAGGAGTGTGACAGATTGTGTGATGCTTCTTCACTAAAAGGTCAAGGTGAGTGACAGACAGGGTGATGGTTGTTTTACTTAAAGGTCAAGGAGTGTGACAGATAGGGTGATGCTTGTTTTACTGAGAGGTCAAGGAGTGTGACAGAGGGTGGGGTTTGTTTTACTGAGAGGTCAAGGTGAGTGACAGATAAGGTGATGGTTGTTTTATATAAAGGTCAAGGAATGTGACAGATAGGGTGATGCTTGTTTACTAAAAGGTCAAGGTGAGTGACGGACAGGGTGATGGTTGTTTTACTTAAAGGTCAAGGAGTGTGACAGATTGGGTGATGCTTGTTTTACTGAGAGGGTCAAGGTGAGTGACAGATAGGGTGATGCTTGTTTTACTAAAAGGTAGAGGATTGTGACAGATAGGGTGATGCTTAGTGGAATAAAATTTAAAGAGCACTCTGGGGACAGTATGAAGTTTTCAAAACTAAAAATTCAGAGCTTGTGACCAGGATAGGCCAAGAGCTGATTTAACAAGTGTCTGGTATAAGCATGAGTCAGTCACCATCTCTTCTTTCTGAGTAACAAAATCATTACAAAAAATAGAAATCAAAATAACTATATTAGAACTTTGTTGTACAAAGGAATTCAGTATCATACATAATTACGGTAAAGCATGCAAATGAACATAAAGTACTGTTTTCCTAACACCATAGACAATATAAATCAAAGCACAGAAGGCGCTGAATTTGTTTGGGTCTCAGAATGTAAGAAAGGTGCAGGTTGTGAGATTATATGTATAGTGCCACCAATGCTTTCCAGCGTTTTAATTGTAGTAAATTGGCTATAAGACTTATTGCAACACTGATATGCAATTCAATGTTTATTTGACTTAAACAATTTGAAAAAAAAATGAGTTGCCTTTACTGGGATTTGAACTCCAGACTTCTCGCTTTATAGGCGAGCGCAAAAACCCTTCAGCCACGGTGAATATAATTGAACGGCCTGAAGAAAACCATATTATTCTAAATTAGGGCTTGTAACGACTTTAACTGTTGTTTAACACAGATGTAAATAATCCTGGAGCTTACTATAAGCATGTATATTTATAAAGAATCAAAGGGATGCAAGTTCTGTGGTATTTTCTGATCTTTGCAATCTTAATCGTACTGTATATCTGTATGTATTTTCCTGTATAAGTTTATTTTTATGTATTATAATTCATTTTGCAAGGCACCAGAGTTTGATACATACGGAATTCTGCTTAACTAGAGATGCATCAAAAAATCATTTATGCTCATTTTTTTACGACAGTCACACTTTATCCTTGCATATCATGGCTACTTCCTTAACAAAGACACTTACAAAAGAATTTAAAAAAAAAGTTTCCTCGACTTGGATTTGAACTCCAGACCTCTCACTCCTGAAGCGAGCGCGTTACCCCTGCACCACGGAGGAGTTATACAAATAGCTTCTGAATAACATCAAGTCATTCTATATTTAGAACTTCCATTGCATTTCGGGTTTGTTATCCTTATTAATTTCGAGGTATTTTGTTCAGGATAAACCTGTTGTTTGAAATTGAAGTAAATAATTTAGCGAAAATCTTCTCGCCCAAACAGTCCGACATGTAGAATCTATATATTCCACTACTCGGTTTGTGTAGTTTTCGGTAATAGACATCGCTAAAAATAGTATTTTCATTGATAAAATCATATTCATCCGCGTAATTTGTGATTGTGCATTTATTGACAATTCTATTAGCCAACGCTATTTTTAAACTTTGAATGCGTTGTTATTTGTTGGATACTTGTAACAAAATAAAAATATTTCTTTCTTTTAAATCGCTAGTTTTAAGCTGTTTTGAGAACTACTTGTTGTTAGGTTTGTTGTGAACTTCTGTGTCAGAGATTGAATGTCCGCTTTGTATTTACTTAATTTCGATCAGAAAATACAATAAAACAATATTAGAAATCTTCGACCATTCGGGAATTATTTTGCTTGAACATTAATTCGCCTGTCTTTGACCATCTTTACGCAGTGATCTCCCCTGAATTTTTCGGCGTTAGTGTACATATAAAGGGAAGTAACCGCTTCAAAAAAGTGGACTACTTTCGGCGTTTGCAATTAACAACATTAGACTCTGAAATTTCGCTACCATTATTTGTTTGGTCTGACGACCCAAACAAATAAAAAATCATTTTCTTCCCATTTCCCAAAACCAAGTTTTCATACCAGGTTTGATGAAAAACAATTTGAAAAGATCTAATGTATAAAAAAAAAAAGAACAATTATATGTATAAACAAGCAACTTCTCTTTTTAGCTCACCTGTCACACAGTGACAGGGTGAGCTTTTGTGATCGCTTTTCGTCCGTCCGTCCGTAAACTTTTACTTTAAATGACATCTCCTCATAAACCACTAAGCCAATTTCATCTAAACTTCACAGGAATGTTCCTTATGTGGTCACCTTTAAAAATTGTTCAAAGAATTTAATTCCATGCAGAACTCTGGTTGCCATGGCAACCAAAAGAAAAAACTTTAAATATCTTCTTTTAAAAAACCCAAAGAGCTAGAGCTTAGATATTTGGCATGAAACATCTTCTAGTGAGTGTCTACCAAGATTGTTCAAATAAAAGCCCTGGGGTCAAAATTGGCCCCGCCCCAGGGGGTCATTGATTTTCCCTATATGCATAAAGTAAAAACTTAAAAAATCTTCTTTTAAAGAACCCAAAGAGCTAGAGCTAAGATATTTAGCATGAAACATCTTCTAATGAGTGTCTACCAAGTTTGTTCAAATAAAAGCCCTGGGGTCAAAATTGGCCCCGCCCCAGGGGGTCATTGATTTCCCTATATGTATATAGTAAAAACTTAAAAAATCTCCTTTTAAAGAACCCAAAGAGCTAGAGCTTAGATATTTGGCATGAAACATCTTCTAGTGAGTGTCTACCAAGAATGTTCAAATAAAAGCCCTGGGGTCAAAATTGGCCCCGCCCCAGGGTGTCATTGATTTTCCCTATATGCATATTGTAAAAACTTAAAAAATCTTTTTTTAAAGAACTCATGGAGCTAGAGCTAAGATATTTAGCATGAAACATGTTCTAATGGGTGTCTACCAAGTTTGTTCAAATAAAAGCCCTGGGGTCAAAATTGGCCCCGCCCCAGGGGGTCATTGATTTTCCCTATATGTATATAGTAAAAACTTAAAGAAATCTTCTTTTAAAGAATTCAAAGAGCTAGAGCTAAGATATTTAGCATGAAATATGTTCTAATGGGTGTCTACCAAGTTTGTTCAAATAAGAGCCCTGGGGTCAAAATTGGCCCCGCCCCGGGGGTCATTGATTTTCCTTATATATGTGTTTAGCAAAAACTTAAAAAGTATTCTTTGAAAAAATCTAAATAGCTAGAGTTAAGATATTAAGCATGAAACATCTTCTAGTGAGTGTCTACAAAGTTTGTTCAAATAAAAGCCCTGGGGTCAAAATTGGCCCTGCCCCGGGGGTCATTGATTTTCCTTATACATTGTATGTGTATAGGAAAAACTTAAAAAACATCTTTGAAAGAACCCAAATAGCTAGAGTTTAGATATTAAGCATGAAACATGTTCTAGTAAGTGTCTACAAAGTTTGTTCAAATAAAAGCCCTGGGGTCAAAACTGGCCCCGCCCCAGGGGTGTCATTGTTTTTAACTATATGTGTATAGTAAAAACTTAAAAAATCTTCTTTAAAAAAAACACAATGAGCTACAGCTTAGATGTTTAGCATGAAACATCTTCTTATGGGTGTCTACCAAGTTTGTTCAAATAAAAGCCCTTGGTTAAAATTGGCCCTGCTGGGGGTAGGGGAGGGCAGATCATTGTTTTTCATTATAAGTGTGTACATCATGAAACGTCTTCTTATAGGTGTCTTCCAAGTTTGTTCAAATAAAAGCCCTGGGGTTTAAAGTGGCCCCGCTCCGGGGGCCTACATACAGGTGAGCGACCTTAGGGCCATCATGGCCCTCTTGTTATGAAAACAGTAAGTTTGGCAATATGTCAAATCTTATTTATATAATGAAAACTGAAAGGATTAAAGATCAGTAACTTAAAAAGCAAATACATGTACCAAGGAATCACTTGCATAATATACATAAAAGGTTTAATCAACACTTGGCACAGAAATATTTGTGGGCTTCATTTGTACAGAACAGTGAACTCTTGAACAATTTCTTGGTCACATGCCATCTAATAACCTTTATATAAGGAAATATATAACAACTTGAAACTGTGTTACCATAATACTGCATTATTACTTTCCATGTATAAAATTATTGTTGAACAGTTCTTACACCAGCTTTTTTAGACCCCAAAAAAACTTTAATGAGCAATCAAACCTGAAGAAAAATCATATGGCGAACTAAAGAGGTCTCAACAAACTGATACTTAAGTTTTTAAATAATGATAAAGATGTGTAAAAACAGAAAACGATTAAGAATGAAGCAAAAGTGAAATATGCGGATTATCAATGACTAGATACTAGTCTGCGCCATCAATCATTCCTTCTTCCATCCTATAAATAAACTGTAGCCTGGGTTTCAGTCTGTCGATTTTTATGTGCTTCTGTTCGGCAAATCGATATCATCAAAACACGATAGAGTACGAAATAGTGCGTATGTTATGAATGAGCAAAAAATATGAACGCCTGAAACCCAGGCTAAATGAACTGGTACATATTGCAGAACACGTTGTTCACCATGGAATGTTTGTAAACTACATTGTATATAATATTAAATCATGTCCCAACTCAATTAAGGTTTTCTCCAACTGACGTTTTCTCCAACTGACCTTCCAACTTCTATTTACTTGACAGAGAAGCACTTTTCTTTCTTATATTTCACCTTTCATACATGTAATTAACATATTCTGATATGCACCAACATACCACCCAATTTTAGAGACCATTTTAATTTTTTTTAAAGGTGGTCTTTTCCAATGTTCATCACTTTGAACCAACTTTTCACAGAATATCATGTATATTTCCTGTCTTCTCAACTCTCATTTATTTTAAATAATATCACTATTTGGGACATAAGGTTAAAAACTAGCTCATCATAAGGTTAAAAACTAGTTCATCAGCTTGAATCATCAACGTCACTGTCTTCTTGGGATTTTTGTCTTTCAGGGGAGAGAATCCAAGCTATTACCAGAATAATCAAGAACACTGCTACCCCATAAAGCATTGTTGACGTATGATTTGATTGTCTATGTAAACTAAATCCTATATATCTGAAAAAAGAGAAGAAAATACAATGTATTAGAGCTGTCATTGTTTCAGTGCAAAGCATATTGACGATATATATATCAATATCAGATGCGATATATGAATATCGGATGATAAATATCCACGATACACTTATTACTTATAATTACTTGTCTATTACTAAGTATTCACTTTCCTATCTCTTTAAAATACATGTTCTGTTCATGCAATTACGATATGTCCTGTTTATAAATGCCCACTGCATGATTATTTCTTCAATGCTATGAAATAGGTCCTTACGTAATGACGGCATAGTTTAGGATATGGACACCTACTTCTGGATAAAGTTTTTTAGGAGAATTTTCATTTTTTTCATGACATTTAATTTATCAGTCAAATTTATGAATTTTCAAAAGTGTATTGATTTTTTCAAATGATAATTGAATGAAACTTTTTGTATAAAATATTGATTTAATCTAACAAGCTTAAGGTAAGTCAAAGGAAGGATGACTAAAAATACAAGACACTCAAGGTCTTCCTCCAACAATACAATGGGGAATCAGTATAAGATTTGTACAGTGTAAGTGTTGCTTAAAATGTCACAGAACATCAAATGAAAGAATTTAGCATCTGTACAGTGACTAAAATCTACATCACAGAAGGCTGAATCAATAGCCAATGAATGAAAAAGCCTTAATTACTCAGCAGACTACCAATCAAAGACATAGCCTTTAGTCATTATCATAAAGGCCTAAATAGGGGCATCCATGGCCGAGTGGTTAGAGTGGTTGACTTTAAACCACTTGCATCCCAATACTGTAGGTTCGATCTGTGCCAGAAATTCTTTCATTAGAGAAAGTTATCCAGCGAGCATATGGGAAGTTAATGGTTCTACTTAGATGCCTGTGTGTGACTGAAATAATACAAAAAGGGGCAACGGAGGTCTTTCTCTACCAATAGAGCATGAAAGTCACAATTAAACCCATACTGTGTTAGTCCCACATAAAACCCAACCAAAAAATAATGATATGGGCTAGCTATTTAGTTTTTCTACACTGTAAAAATATATCTATATTTAACAAAAGGTGCTTTTCTTTAGCACATTATCTTTTTCAAAATTCAAAGACTACTTACCCAAATTTACAAGTAAATATCACATCATTATAACCATCGTTATTAAAGTCCCCTACAACAAGAGGCCCTGTAGAGGGACAAGGTGTGGAATGTTGAGCAAGAGTCCTTCCTTCTGTTAATTCCACTAAACTGATATCTCTCCATCCAACTACTAATACGTTTTGCTGTAAAATTACAATACATAACATTCATAATTAACACATTCTTCTGCAAGAAGGCTATAAACAAAATTAAAGGAGCTCCACTGAGGTCAAAAAGTCTAAAAACATAAAATTTGAAATTCTTGCTTATATCAAGTGAAGCACTCAAAATAGAAAAATCAGCAAAAAATAAAGAAATTTGCTCAGAATTAAATGGAAATTTGATTGTTTATGCAATCCTTAGAGTGAATAGCCTTTCAAAGCTTTCATTTTGAAACATTTTGCACTATATAAATGACGATTCTGGAAAACTGGGTTGAGGGAATGATCTGAAAAGTCATTGGTCCAATCCTACATCAAGTAATACACAAATCTTGAAATAATATTTCTAGTTGAATCATGTCAAAATAGCTGTGTGGAGTCCCTTTAATATGATTTGCTGTTAAGTTACAATAAAAGAAATCTAACTGTAGAATATTTCTTATCAACACATTTTGCTGCAAAAACGTAGTCAACATAGTTTATATGTTTTGCTGTAAAATTATAACAAACAATTATTTGAGCTGTAAAACAACAATTAACATATCTTGCTGTAAAATTACTATCAACATCATCACTACATTTTGCTGTAAAATTACTATCAACACCATCACTACATTTTGCTGTAAAATTACTATCAACAGTCACCACATGTTGCAATCAACATAATTAACTAATTTTGCTGTAAAATCACATCACAATTAAATATAATCATCAAATTTTGCTGTAAATTTTCAACTTACAAATTTTGCAGTAAAAAAAAATAGTAATTGTCTTTGAGAACTAGAGGGGGCTAATCAAAAGCATTTAGCAACAGCAAAGGGCTATCTGTACACATTTGCTCTTGACCATAATTATTCTGTACAATCCAGCTTAAGTTTTTCTAAACCAATTCTATATTTCGGAGAATTTCAGATTTTGTTACCCTTGTTTTTTGCTGGTACATTGTATATGAATATAATAGAACAAAATGCAAATTCTCCACTTTTTTCTTGATCAACATGAAGGTTTCAAATTTCTAAGTAGTAAGTAATCTGTTTGTTTTCTAGTTGTTGAGTTATTTACTAAACTATTGGTTCATATGAGCCGCGTCACGACAAAACCAACATAGTGGGTTATCCAGACCAGCCTGCGCATCCGCGCAGTCTGATCAGGATCCATGCTGTTTGTTTGCTATCAGTTTCCCTACTTGTTTTGTTTGTTTGTTTTGGGGTTTGCGTCACATCGACACATTATAGGTCATATCGCGACGTTCCAGCTTTACTGGTGGAGGAAGACCTCAGGTGCCCTTCCGTGCATTATTTCAGGCACGAACGAGCACCTGAGTAGAACCACCGACGTTCCGTAAGCTAGCTGGATCCCTACTTGTAATAGAGTTGGTGAGCGAACAGCATGGATCCTGATCAGACTGCGCGGATGCGCAGCCTGGTCTGGATCCATGCTGGTCGCAAACCCATTATAATGGTTTTTTCATGACGCGGCTCATATGTACATGTATAAAACAATTTAAAAAACCTTTGCTCCATATATTTGCAGAGACATGAGAGCCCTGTCTGGATGAAAAGAATTTTTGAACTCCTCAAAAAGTTCAGACCATTCTCCTTTCTTCATTTTTCTTACTGACATGGCAACAGAGTCCCAACTAGCATCAATCTGGGTCTGAAGATACAAAATATTAACAAATCTTGTTATATAAATGCATGTGTATATTTTACAGTAAGTAAAAACATTGTTTAATGTTTATCTTTTTTTTAAAATAAGTTTTAACACATGAATTGTGATAGTCATATGACAACCATCAACTTATGGAGGGAGACTTTGAGATTCAGATCTGTAAATTATTTCAGGTACAAACTGACACCTAGATAGAATCATAGAACTTTTTGTAAGCTAGCTAAATAGCTTTCTCACTTGAAACAAATTTACGTCTACCATGGGATTCCAAGCAAGACTACAAGTGTGTCAATAGGACACCAATATCACCTTTATACACTGTTTAGTCAGTCTACAGTTAACAGTATAACAGTGGACAGACAAGGGCAAATCTAAGTAATGCTAAAAATCACTAAAACAAGTAGCTTATCAAATATAAATTCATCTACATTAAACCTTTAGCATACTAAAACACTGCTACACATAGCTATTACTATTCTTATTAAGTTTTTGTCTCAAACCATTTAATTTTTTTACATATCAATTCATACCTGCCAGTTGAAATCCCCGTTTTTATCAACAGACGTTACTCTTCCCATACTGCCAAAAGCTATCAAATCATATTGGTCATCTACCTTCCGTAAATGATGACCCAATAAATGCCGCACAACCCCTGATTTTCTAGCAATACTGAAATATTCCAATTAAAATGTTTGACTTTGACAATTAAACTTCACCAATAGTTAAACAAGAGGGCCATGATGGCCCTGAAGTCGCTCACCTGTATATAGGCCCCCGGAGCGGGGCCAGTTTAAATCCCAGGGCTTTTATTTGAACAAACTTGGTAGACACCCATTAGAAGATGTTTCATGCTAAACATCTAAGGTCTAGCTGGTCAAGTTTTTTCTTTACACATATAGTTAAAAACAATGACACACCTGGGGCAGGGCCAATTTTGACCCCAGGGCTTTTATAAGAACAAACTTGGTAGACACTCACTAGAAGATGTTTCATGCTTAGTATCTAAACTCTAGCTATTTGGTTTTTTTTCAAAGAAGATTTTTAAAGTTTTTGCTATACACATATAAGGAAAATCAATGACCCCCTGGGGCGGGGCCAATTTTGACCCCAGGGCTTTTATTTGGACAAACTTGGTAGACATGCACTAGAAGATGTTTCATGCCAAATATCTGAGCTCTAGCTCTTTCAGTTCTTTAAAAGAAGATTTTTTATCCCAAGGGCTCTTATTTGAACAAACTTGGTAGACATCTATTAGAGGATGTTTCATGCTAAATATCTTAGCTCTAGCTCTTAGGGTTCTTTAAAAGAAGATTTTTTAAGTTTTTACTATATGCATATAGGGAATTCAATGACCCCCTGGGGCGGGGCCAATTTTGACCCCAGGGCTTTTATTTGAACAAACTTGGTAGACACCCATTAGAGGATGTTTAATGCTAAATATCTTAGCTCTAGCTCTTTGAGTTCTTTAAAAGAAGATTTTTTAAGTTTTTACTATATGCATATAGGGAAAATCAATGACCCCCTGGGGCGGGGCCAATTTTGACCCCAGGGCTTTTATTTGAACAAACTTGGTAGACACCCATTAGAGGATGTTTCATGCTAAATATCTTAGCTCTAGCTCTTTGGGTTCTTTAAAAGAAGATTTTTTAAGTTTTTACTATATGCATATAGGGAAAATCAATGACCCCCTGGGGCGGGGCCAATTTTGACCCCAGGGCTTTTATTTGAACAAACTTGGTAGACACTCACTAGAAGATGTTTCATGCCAAATATCTAAGCTCTAGCTCTTTGGGTTTTTTAGAAGAAGATATTTAAAGTTTTTTCTTTTGGTTGCCATGGCAACCAGAGTTCTGCATGGAATTAAATTCTTTGAACAATTTTCAAAGGTGACCACCAAAGGAACATTCCTGTGAAGTTTGGATGAAATTGGCTTGGTGGTTTATGAGAAGATGTCATTTAAAGTAAAAGTTTACGGACGCCGGACGGACGCCGGACGAAAAGCGATCACAAAAGCTCACCCTGTCACTTTGTGACAGGTGAGCTAAAAATTACTGTACGAGTACAATATTTCATTTTCAAAGTTTTTCTTGCAAAGAAACCCAAGGGAAAATATCAATCTCTAATAAAATTTCATGATTTTATCATCAATTTAACTCTACATTATTTCTGCCTTTTGATGTCGCATATCTACTATGTCACGTAAATTGTTTTAGAATTCATCCTGATGAAGGCATGAGCCTAATTGTACCTCATGAAGGCTTAAGTCTAAATGTAGAAAACAAGCTATACTCATGTGCTGTTGTTGATCATTCTACCATAATGTGTAAATACATGACAACAATTCAGTAATTACGCAGGTCCTAAACTTTCTACAAATAAACACACTGATTTCATACCTTTTAAGAATAAGGGGTGGTAACTTTATAAACATGTCTTCATCGTACACCCAGTTGGTCGTAAAAAATAAACGTTTTGTTGCACACACTGGAAATCTTTCCAAATTTTCTTTGATCGGAAATATCCGCCAAATCTCCAGAAAACATGGACTATAATTTTCTTGTTCACCCCATGACAGCTTCTTGATGTCGTTTTCTGAATCCATAAGTCCATAGATGGCGCTATCGTCCGCAAGTTGAAGGCGTGTTATAGGACGCCCTGTAAGGATGTTTAACACCTCAACACCATTTTGATGGTTAATAACGACAGCGTTGGGGTTAGCAATATGCTCTGCATCACTGTGAGGCCTCTGTCCACCATATGCATAACCTGAATTTATGAAATGTGAAATGTGTTCAAACAAGTTGCAGGTATTCTAAGTTTGGTTTTAATTCACAACACACTGCTAATTCCATATGGTGCCATTTTAGCTTTACTGGTACAGGAAGACCTTGGATTATACTCTTTGTAATTTGTTTTTTCAAATATAAACTACATGAAAAGAGTGTCAAAATCAAAATAGTTAAGGGAAGAGGTGATCTTACATAGATCATTTAAAGACAGAAATAAAATGCAAGAGATATGAGGAAATACATTCAGAATTAAACATAACCGTCTATTTTTTGAGTGATTTTTGGCCTGGTTTGTGATAGAAACTCTTTTCACTTTTAAGGTCATTTCCACAATCAAAATAATTATTTTGGAAGAATGGAGTAAACGAATGATCCGGAATTTCGCAAACAAATTATAAGTGTAAACCTACATCAAATCATATAAATTTCTAAAAATTAATCCATCAAATTCTAAAATTGAGCAGTCATTAGTATAGAGAACAGCTGGCCAACAGAGATGTCCAAACTGGTTCGGCTCTATAAAGGGTGGCATCGGCCTGAAATAATCCTTGTAAACAGTTGAAATATAAACAATACTCAACCAATCAGATGTTTTGGATCAAGTGCCGATTTAGTTGGTTCAACTTCTGCTACATCTTCATCATCATCGGTTACTAGGCTCTCATCTACAACCTTCTGGTAACGTCCCAGAGAAAACTTTGTATCCTGTATTGATTTCCAATTGTGCGGCTGAAAAATAAACAAAATTTATATTAATAATCTATAAAAAATGTTATTAACAAATAACTTGCTTTTTTAATATTGGTTTATGTTTGATGGCAAAAAATCTTTACTTGATGATGTTAGAATGGCATTCTAAAACTTTCAATTTGGCCACACATTATATACTTTTTTCTTTGAGTTTTGGAATTATACTATTATAAAATAACTTAGGCTATTAAATTCTCAAATTTTCACTGGCTGACAAACCTTGTATTCACTGAAAGAGAATGTTGTCCCATTAATAAATCTTTTGTTGCGCAATTAAACAAATACATGTACCAACATTGATTTCAATATCCACAATGGAATTTTATTGTCAGAGGATAAAAGTTGTATGAGAAATTTTTATGGTTAATAATTCAATATCATTATTCATTCAAAATGCTAAAACCAACCTTCCCTGAATTTATTTTAGTTTTCATAACAGCTTTTATACGCATATCATAAAATGAATTACAGCCAGTCTTACCAATGCCTTGTAGAGCTCCTGTTTATAGTAAGTCCATGGTGACTCACCAATGTGAAGTCTGTGCCGTTTTAAACTCAGCTTCCAGTGATGCTCTTGTGTCTCTTCCTACATGAATAATTATTATAATATTTAGCATTCATATTTTTTAAAGAAATTGTCATAACAAGAGCACCACATGCAGTGTTAAGGCACACTGTTACAAATGGGCATAACTCCATAAATATTGCTTTTAAAAGTATGTACCTTGTCTAAAAACTGCACCTTGTCATGATAAGCAAGCAGAGCTGCATTACTGGTACTGGTACTGCAGTACGTACTGCAGCGATTTTGCAAGTACTGGTACTGATACTGAATTACTCTTACAAAATTTTGCTACTACTGGTACTGGTACTGCATTACTGTCTTAAAAAGTGGTACTGCTACTGCATTACCCAGTACTTTTGGTTTTGATAAAAATGAAAAATAACATCAATTTTTCTCATAAAATAAAGCTGTAAAATACATTAACTATATTTTATTTTTGTGAAAAAGTAAGTGATCAAATCTAAAGATAATTTGCTGCAATATTCCTTCAAATGTTAACATAGTATTCATCATAAAAAGCACCAAAGACTTTCAGTAAAAATTAAATTAAGATAAACAGACTCAATAACTCTTTACCCTAAAATATCCTTATTAAAATCTTTTATTACTTTGTATTTACTAGTAAAAGAGCAAAATAAACACTAATTAATTTCTTCTATTCTAAAAAATCCCATTTCAAGTGAAAAAGTGATATTGTTAGCACCATAAAAAGTTGTTATTTACTTTGGTTTAAATTGAACAGAGGTGTGAAAGGCAACAAAAGACTGTTGTGTTTTAAATGAAAGATGTTTGCATTGTATTTATACCGTTGACTGGTTACTAAACAATTAGATATGACATGAATATATGTTGTAAATATTGTTTATAAAAAGTATGTTAAAACTATAAACTTTAAGTTGTAAATATGTTATGTTAACTTTAAAGCAGCACGCCTCCAGATTCATCCTAATTTTCATGAAAATTTTGAAAATGTATTTAAAGGTAAAATATTGTTAAATGAACAAAGAAAGTACTTATAACATTACAATCGGCACTTAAATATCCATGTAAATTACCAAAAAAGGTCAAAACATGCATAAATAGCCCCTACTGCGTTAGTAACGCAGTAGAAATATGGTGATAAATAATACAAAACACAGTCATTAATTGCACATAGGATATAATTTATCACTTGAATCTTTAATTTGTTTACTTTTCTCAAAGTTTTAGTAATTTATTTCCAAGTTTAATTTTCTTGAAATATTTTGGGTCATCTGGAGGCATGCAGCTTTTAAGTAAATAATGACTTTATTTCTTTGCTGAATAATATTTGCTATTATTTGTTTGTCACTGTATTTATTCAAACTTTGATGAATATATAAAAGTAATGGTACTGATACTTAATTACTTCACCAAAAAAAGTACTGGTACCGCAGTACCGAGCTAAAATCTAGTACTGGTACTGGTAATGGTACTGCATAATTTGCCAAGTACTGGTACTGGTACTTAAGTACTACAACCTTAGTACTGATGCAGCTCTGTAAGCAAGTATTACAAGTTTGGAGCTGATAACTTTTGAAATGTTTGAATAATGGGCTACATTTGATAAATATATTTGCACGACGACAACAACAGTGATTGTAAGAAAAAGATAAAAACTTGGGTGGTGAGACAATCTATTAATTCTTTTGAAATTGTCAAGATGCTGTTCTTCTCCACAAATAATAGTCAATTTTTATACTTAGCACGCTAGTAATAGTCCCTTATTTTGCAAAACACAAATCAAAAAGACATAAATCGTTCTGAAACATGCAAACACAGTTCAATGGTTCAGGAACAACACTAGTCAAAACTGTCCTCATTCAGGATTTTATCAAGACATGCTTAATCAAATTGGAATAGTCTTTTAAACAAAAACTGTCAGTAGGACAGGGTGCTCAACTATTCTCAGTGATTGATAGTAGAACAAGAGCCTGTATTAACAATGTGCAATTTTCTTAGTTCTTAATTTTGTCAAAATCTATGTTAGATTATGGGCCTTGGTCAGTGACCTCTTATTATGCTTTCAAATAAGTCTGTAAAGTGTCAACCTATTCCCTTCAGTACTTTTTGAGATATCAAATTGCAATCAAGAAGTTAACCCAACTCAAGTGTGACACCAAAACCGACACAGATGCCTGGGTGAGTACAACAGCTCTCCCTATTCTTTGAATAGTCAAACTGAAAATATAATATATTTCTATCAAATACAACATTTCAAGTAATCACTTGATTGTTTATCAGATTAAATCTACCTCTTTTTTAGTTTCTTGTTCACCAAATTCTCCTGGCAAATGATGCCACCTGGTCGATCCATCTTTAGCACTGAGGGCAAATGTGGAGAAGTGTGTGAATGTATCCTCCTCCACTGTATGCTCAGTGTGAGATGCCTCCGTCTGCTCAGGCTCGGTACCATTCTCAGACCTGTAATAATACATTTAATAAAACATACAGTCAACTATCGTTATCGTTATCGCTTTTCTCGATATTTCGTTATCTCGATGAACTTTTGAAAGTCCCGATTTTCTTCCTTCTTTATCTATATTGGAAATATTTGTTTATTTCGATATTTTTATTTCGATATTTTCAGTATCTCGATGTAAAATTTTAGCCCCAATAGTTACTTTCACACTATTATCCTTTGATTATCTCGACTAATAATTTTCCTTCGTCTGTTCCTTCAGACGTGTGAAAAACACAAACTAGACGATAATTGCTCAATAGCCCGTGTCATAATGATGATTATGTTTGTAACAAGTTAAGCTGTTTTTATAAAAGTTAATCTATTTAGCGTTTTGATTGACTTATGTCCAAAATGAGTGAATTTTACGTTCTTTATAAATATTCGAACACTGTATCAATTCATTATGACATTAAATGTAAATGAAATAGTGAAGGTAAAGAAACGCTATCGTTGCAATATTGTTTCACAACATCACCACCAAATCCATCAGCGGTGGAACAATCTTGATAACTAACCCAGGAAAATATTTGGATCAACCACCCTGAATTTTTTTTTCACTATATTGGTGTATTACTGAGTAAACCTCACTATGTGTTTTTATCACAGACACCCGTATTTCCGTTGGAAAACATCCGCTAATGTTACTTTGTTAAATATTGACTAGGCCTATGAAAACAAGACATGGAATAGTTTATTTGACATAAGGTATGCACATGTCTTTTGTAAAAATCAGTTTCTGCCTTATTTAAACCCTTATATGTTTATCTCGACATTTCGTTATCTCGATATTTTTTGGACGGTCCCGATGACTTCGAGATAACGAGAGTCAACTGTATTTAGTTTGGTTTTAAGATTATGATCGTCCGGTTTTCAGAATTCAGACGTTCTGGTGTTAAAAGGATTTTTTTTCAATGAAGTTATATGGAGAAAATACAGGACATTTAAAATTGCCGGTTTTCAGAGGATTCCAGTTTCCAAAGAGTCTGGTTTTCAGAGATTTTACTGTATTGGTTTAATGGCATCATTTTACCTTTAGCTCAGGTGCATTTTTGTGCGTTTTTTCAGGCGCCTGAGTACACACTTACTTTACTAAAAACTCTTTTGACTCTCAGTAAAAGTATACATTTAAAAGAGATGATAATAGATGGATAAAATAATAATCAATCAATACTTGTTTTCTTCTTTTGGAGGCTCTTCTTTCTGTTTCTCGTGTTCTTTATGTGTGTAACTGCCTCCTACAATCACCAAACCTTCGTCTGACTTCTTTACTGTGTGTGACGTCACAATGGCGCCCATTGATTTGACGTAGTAATTATCAAACTGCTCTTTGAAGTCGAGAATTTGTTTTTGCCAGAGTAGTTCCAAGTCAGATGAGTAGCAGAACACCCACCATGTGTTTGTTACAATCACAATTACCTTTAAATAGAATATTTTATATTTCTTTTTATAAAACAAATAAATTCAAAGTAATTCATTAAACAGTAATGTCAATTTACCATCCATTTATGATTACTAGGAATAATGTGAAGTCGATTGATAGTCCATAATAATGTATTTCTAGAATGCACATCAAAAGCAGTAACATAATTCAGCCAAATCCATGACAGAATTATAGGTTTTGGACCTTAGAAAGTGAACTTCATATGGGAATGGATTATGTGCATGACAAGATTTTGTAATCAAGTGATACTGTCAGTGGTAAATCAGATATCAAGTTGCATGCATGTTTAAAGATGACACTGGCATTCCCATATGAAAGATAACTCACTGTAAATTCTTTAAATATAGAAGCTAATAAAACAGAAAATTAATATTTTCATGTTGTTTTTCAATACTTAACATGTATTATAAATAACAGACAATAATTATCACTTTTCAATGTGACTCAGTAATATGTCTTCTACAAACCAGATGCATTTGCATTTGTAACATTCTATATATTCTGGCAAAAATATGCAGTTATGGTGTAAAGTAAGTAAATTTCTGAAAATTCATCTGCTAAGAAAAATACCAATACTAGAAACTCAAAAACACTGATTCACCTGCTTCCTGATCTGCATTAGAGACATATATGGAACAGTAAAACCTGTGACCATGACAACAGGCCAGCCTGAAGGTTGATCTTGACTACCATTGGTTGCTTGTGGTAACACAACCTTATGCTTCACCTCAACATGTGGCAAAGTGCGATCCTCTTCATCCTTCCCAACCGGATCTGGCAAGGTCATTATGCTTAATTTCAAGTCATTCGTCAATAAAATAATGTCATTAGTTCCATCACTATCCACATCTGTAATAACAGGAGGTGGGAGCTGTTCAACTTTTGTTGGAAATTTCTTGTTTTGGAAATGATGATATTCAGCTCTTTTTCTCCAGACTGGTCTCAGTTCATACTTATCATGTGACCGCATCAAATATCCAATCACGGCACAGAGAAGTAACAAAATGAAGTGGTTTTTGGAAGGACTTCTTATCTTTGATATGACAGACATTGTCTAAATGGCAGATATGTTACCAAATGGCAGGTGTGTTACCAAGTCTTGGCGGGTACTGTACTCTGAAAATAAAAAATAAATAATATCAAAAAATGCAAATGAAATAGTCATTTATGCCGTCAACAATCAATTGAAATCAGAAAGTAAATTCCAGTGACAATGTCCTGGATAATTGAAATCAGAAAGTAAATTCCAGTGACAATGTCCTGGATAAGACCCCTGTGTATATTTCAGAAGTAAAACTTGTATTTAATACACTTAAGAAAAATGGAATGAACCTTATATAAATTATACCACCGGTTTAGACCCCAGGGTGTATTCGGGGATATAGCACTTCCACACCAGATATTCTAAAAATGACTCACGTGACTCAAGTATGGATAGAACTTTTGGCTAGCAACATTGGCTCGTACAGCTAGCCACAGCCTTTCACAAATAAGCTACATGTAAACTAAACAGAATCAAAGTCAAACAGTCAAAATTTGGTCATAAACATGAAGTAGTGCGGTTATTAACATATACTGAAGTATCCTTTGGTCATGAAAGTTATATATTTTTTTAATTAATTTTTCCTTGGTCTACAGTATTTCAAATAATGGTCCAGAGTTCTAAACAGCTAAACTCTGCCTCTGGTCCGAATGTTATCTGGTCCGAAAGTCCAAAAATAATTTGAGGAAATTAATGGTTCATACACAATACATTATGAGTACTCTGGAAACATATAAAACTTTTAATATAGTCATAAAAAACATTCAAAGCTTTTTACCATAACTCTATGTTAGTTTTATTTTATTTGTAGACCAGTTTTCCAAATTGATAGATAATTTTTAGTAAGAGTGAGTTCCCTTTCATCAAAGCGGTGCAGAAGTAGAAATATACTCGACAAAATGGACGACTTGTCAAAAATTCTACAGATACTGATTGACACTTAAAATGCTAAATTCCAGTTGTCACTGTCTAGCTACAGGGTAAAACATTTGATTTGACAACAAAACAATTATATCGACAAATATTTGTGGAATTGATATAAATCTTTTGCCATATTTTCAAAGCTATCTGTCAGATTAATTTCTGAACAGCTATAGCCTATCAGCTGATCAGCTGAGAGCAGGGTCTTTTGAACAGTGTTGAAATAACCCGCTTAACAACTGGTTCTTGGCTGTTAATTTTACGCTATCAGTCAAATATTTGAACATAAATAAAATGTATTATCATTCGACATACATCATTGATATGTTGTGAAAATAAATGTAAATTTGTAGAATCTGTCTGCCCTAGTCCAATATATTAGATGTTACAGGCTTGTTATAGTTTACGTCGGTCAAGCCTTACTGTCTGCCCATGTTGGAACTTGGATGTCAGACCTTGATGAGAGATCATGACCCTTACGTAACCTTACAGATAAAATCAGGCATTACCATGATTAAATTAAATGTTAGTGTATTATTGTGCCAAATTTATTTTAGTTAAACAGTCTGTGTAAGAATTATTAGCTATAAGCTATACACTCTCGGATCTATTCCTGAAACCAGGGTCTTTCTGTTTGATTTAAGACCCTGCTGAAACCAACCTGAGTAAAAGCAATATGTGTAAAATTTCTTGCTCAAGGAAATAACAGCTTCCATCCGACAGGGTTTGAACACACATGTTCCTTATGTACATGTATACTAGTTTCACATGTCAACTATTGACTAGTGGATTGATCAATGCTGGTTTTACATTTTCCTAGCTAATTGCACAAGAATAAGATTATAAAATTACCTAAAGCTTTCATTTACAGTCATATCTATTTTCAGGATGAATAGTTGATCTGACAGCATTTTCATCTCAGGATTAATTTAACTGAGTGAGCCGAAAGCTTCAGCAAAGAACAAGTTTACATAATTGTTTCTCAGTTGCTATTGTGAGTGTGATGTACCGCAATTATATTTTTATATATTTTTTTTTGCAGGTATACATGTCCAGAATGATTAGGTTATAAAGCTGTCATACCTATTTCATGGCTAAAAATGTCTGCAACAAATAATTTTGATGAGGAGGATCTATGGGCATGTAAATGTGGTGATGGTCGGACAATAAAATTTTCTGTAGCAAAACTGGTTGAATACTCAGGGTATGTATCAATCTATTCTATATAGATACTATATATCTACTTTATTCACAAGTTATTAGTTCCATGCTTAGTTTGGGCAAAGATGACGATCTCTGTCATTATTTATTGGTTTTAAAATATGTTAAAATTGGTTTAACAAACAAGCGAAGTTTAACAAACAAGTTTTGAATAATAAAGTGCATGTTTCCATTTAAAATAAGTAGCAAGTCAAGCGAATCAGGTCAGATTAACATTTTGTTATCATATTTTTTTCCTTACAGAGACACATGTATGAAAAATTTATTTAACATATTTCAGGTATTTCAGTGCTTTGATGAACAGTCAGATGAAAGAAACAAGGGAAAGAACTCTTGACCTTAGATTTTTCTCATCCGATACCATTAATCTCGTCCTGAAGGTGTTCCGATATAAAGACAAAAAATTATGTGATGATAAAATTTCTGACATATTTTATGAAAGTTGTCAGCTGGAAATCCTTGAAGATCTGTTGAAGGCGATTGACTATCTTGATATGCCTTGTCTCTATCGTAGGTGCAGCGACTTGCTTATCACCATATTGCCGCCATTTTGTGACGAGATAGACCGACTGTGGAAAATGTGGACAGTTTGTGAAACTTATGGTCTAGAAACTGTGGAGGATGAAATTTGTAAACAAATCGCAAAGAATGTTAGTGTGATAGAGAGTAAAGATTACTTTTTCTTCCGAGAAGTTCCTAGAAATATTTTGTCTGGTGTTCTGTCCGAACCAAACATTGACGTTAGTTCTGAAGTTGGGGTTATGAAGCTCATTTACGAATGGATTCTGTATGCTAAGGAGGAACGGTTGAAGTGGTTTGATAGTTTATTTAAATGTATTCACATACCGTCGCTGATTCATTCCAATTTGCCCGAGATTGGCCACATGGTGAAAGCACTGGGTGTGGAAAATATTGATATAATGAAATGTTATTCTGGCTACATTGCTAATCCACATGAGTATTTCATTCTAAGACCACAGCATTGTGAATTACGTAATGGTAAGAAAGTCTTAATGCTGTTTGGTGGCGTGTATGAACATTCGCTAATGGCACATAATCAACATGCAAGAAGACTTTGGCGCAGTGCACAGTCAATTCCGATCATGTATCAGGACCTGGAGGAAGTCAGACGTCAATGCCTGAATAGTAATGTCTCAAATGCGACAAAAACTTCCCCAAATATCAGTCCAAGATCAAAGATTAAGCCCATTGGAACAGGTTTGCATCTGAGAACAATAAATAGACTGAAATCTCCTATGAGGCTGTTAGAATTTGGAATCTGTTTATTTGAAAACTTTGTATATATGGCTGGAGGACAGAGAACTAACAATGAAGAAGCAAAGTCAGCTGTGAAAGGAACTTACAGAATGGATCCCCATTTAAGGGAATGGTGGGAGGTAAATTATTTTTGAAAGCAATATTACGAGTTGGAAACAATTTATTGAGCATATATCCAAATTTATTTTTTCCATTTTAAATAAGTGACTTTTAGAAATAGGTAAAAACTTACTTGAGGCTTAATGGGCCTTTAACCAAAAAATGTACAGTATATTGTTTAGCTTCATGGCTATGAATGGGTACTCGATAGGGTGGTATAATTCCATGGCTCCATAGTGTGGAGTGCCATCAGCTGAGTGAAAGACTCATAAGAACTATACATAGATTCTAGTGGCTTGAAGAACGGGGGTTGAGCTTAAAGTTGTTGTGCAACTTACTAGACTGTAAAATGAATTATTTTTATTAATTGTTTTAGGTAGCACATATGATAGAAGCTAGATGTTTATTCACTCTGTCGAGTATTTGGGGCCGACTTTATGCCGTTGGTGGCGCTAATGAGTATGGTATACTAAGCTGTACAGAATATTATATCCCGAGGGAGGACAAGTGGTATATTGGTCCCCAGTTACCCACACAATTGCATGAGCATGCCAGTAAGTATATGTAAATATAATGAGCTGCGTCATGACAAAACCAACATAATGCGTTTGCGACCAGCATGGATCCAGACCAGCCTGCGCATCCGCGCAGTCTGATCAGGATCCATGCTGTTCGCTTACCAAACCTTTTTAAGTAGAGAAACTGATAGCGAACAGCATGGATCCTGATCAAACTGCGCAGATGCGCAGGCTGGTCTGGATCCATGCTGGTCGCAAACACATTATGTTGGTTTTGTCATGACGCGGCTCAAATATATTTTCTGAAGATTTTAGTTTAACCATTCAAATAATATTAGAACTATCAGAATTGAAGTTTGTGTAATACTTGATAATGGTTTTTGGCTGCAAATTTTATTTCTACAACCATCAAAGGTATTCACTTAAACCATCACACACGGTTTGTTTTCTTGGTCATAATTCTACATCTTTGTCAAAGTCTGACATTTCTGGTATGGCATTATATTGAGTTATTCCCCTTTATTTATTATGAAGAAACATTTCTGGTTAGGAATTTGCATTGAAGATGCAAGAAATCCATAACCTGTGAGGTTTCAAAGTTTTTTTTTTAACACAATGGTAAGTGTCATATTTGAATATGTAGGTTTTGACTAATTTTCAAATTTCTACAATGTACAATGTCCTGTTGTTTTTTCTGAAATTTCCCTCTATGTATACACATAGAAATTCCTGTAAGGCTCTAGTTTGATTTTAAAACACTGTGTCACTGCAGACAGCAGATATATATAGCTTTATACAATTTACCAGTAAATTATCATCTTTGTTTAGGTTGCAATTTTAGAGAAAAGTTGTACATCTCTGGTGGACATACCAACACAGAACATTCGAATCAAGTTTGGGTGTTAGAGTCCAAAGATGGGACATGGGAACCAGTAGCTCCTCTTCTTGAGTCAAGGTCATATCATTCCATGGTTGCCATGGGTGATAAGATGTATGTGATAGGTGGATGCCAAAAAGTTGGTGATAGAATCAGAGATTTACATGTAAGCTATAGAAATCATATTTGCCCATTTTTTCCTCTTACATCAGTTAACTTTAAGCATATTGTATGTTATTTAGTTTATACTGAATTTATTATGCCCCCACGTCGAAGAAGAGGGGGTATATTGCTTTGCACTTGTCGGTCCGTCGGTCCGTAGACCAAATGGTTTCCGAGTGATAACTAAAGAACCCTTAGGCCTAGGAACTTCAAACTTGGTATGGTGATTGGTCATGACCAGTAGATGACCCCTATTGATTTTGGGGTCAAGGGGTCAAAGGTCAAGGTCACATTGACCTTGTAGGTAAAAACGGTTTCCGATCAATAACTAAAGAACCCTTAGGCCTAGGAACTTCAAACTTGGTATGGTGATTGGTCATGACCAGCAGATGACCCCTATTGATTTTGGGGTCAAGGGGTCAAAGGTCAAGGTCACATTGACCTTTTACGTAAAAACGGTTTCCGATTAATAACTAAAGAACGCTTAGGCCTAGGTACTTCAGACTTGGTATAATGATTGGTCATGACCATCAGATGACCCCTATTGATATTGGGGTCAAGGGGGAAGGTCAAGGTCACATTGACCTTGTAGGTGAAAACGGTTTCCGATCAAGAAATAAAGAACTCTTAGGCCTAGGTACTTCAAACTTGGTATCATGATTAGTCATGACCAGCAGATGACCCCTATTGATTTTGGGGTCAAAGGTCAAGGTCACATTGACCTTGTAGGTTAAAACAGTCTCTGATCAATCACTAAAGAACCCTTAGTCCTAAGAATTTCAAACTTGGTATGATGATTGGTCATGACCAGCATATGACCCCTATTGATTTTGGGGTCAAGGGGTCAAAGGTCAAGGTCACATTGACCTTGTAGGTAAAAACAGTTTCAGATCAATAACTAAAGAACCCTTAGGCCTAGGAACTTCAAACTTGGTATGATGATTGGTCATGACCAGTAGATGACCCCTATTGATTTTGGGGTCAAGGGGTCAATGTCATAGTGACCTTGTACTTAATGACCGTTTCTGACCAATAACTCAACAACTCAAGTTGCCTTGGTTGATATTTTTATGTGCTTTTGGTATACACATTTGAATGTCTTATGTAATATATCAACTTGGCTGTCATTAATGAGGCCTATGTGATTCATAAAATTTATTTATATATAATTTGGTAAGATTTTTATTAACTTTAATTGCTGCACAAAACCTATGGGGTCACAATAATTATTACCTTGTGACTAGTCAGGATCAGTAGATACTAGATAACCCTGATTAATTGCTTGTTCACTGGGTCAGAAGTCATGCATAATAACCTGATCACATGACAAATTGGTTGCCGATAGGGGGCATACATGTTTTACAAACATATCTTGTTTTAAGTTTGATTGTGAAGGCTAGAATCTTAAAGGCTTTATGCCTCAGAAATGCTATCATTTTTTGGCTTGTATCATTTCCTTCTTTTTCTTAAAACAGAGTATAGAGGAGTACAACCCAAAGTCGGACACTTGGACACACCTTCTGAATCTTAGTACACCAATCAGCTGCACACTTCCTGTCATTATTGGAGAGGAAGTACTTTTCATTGGAGGTTACAGTTTTGATGAGAAAGAGTACCTCCAGCAGACGGTATCTGTCGATTTAGAGAAAAGACAGTGGAAAATTTCTCCAATGGTGATCGGGACATCAAAAAAAGTTGTAGGATATTTGTGCCTAAGTTTGAGTGTCAGGCCAAGAATATTGAGATGAAAATACTTTTGTACTTGTTAAAATGATTACGTATAAAAGATAGATACTGGTTTCCTAGCAGTTTCCGTCCCCTAGCAGTTTTCCGGTCGTTTATCATTTTCGTCCAGTACAGCCTATTTTTACCAGTGAGGCGTCCACATTAATTCATCAATCAGAGAGACATTTGTTTTCTATGCTAAACAGCATTTAAAATAGTACAACGATTTATAAATTTTGAAGTTTTGCTTGTTATTTTACAAAGTTACATAAGAGAACTTGCGACTTTTAAAATAAGCAACACCTGGGGAATTCTAGTTTGAATATCAATGCACAATAACTAAGACCCCATTTTAGGTAAATCAATACTTCGGAAAATATTTTTGCAGACGACACGGAAATTGTTGGGAAGTTCTGTTTGTTTGATAAATCCATTTTAACATTGCTTTACGGTACTGAATTATATTCAAAATAAAAAAGGTCCGGAAAACTGCTATGAATTTTTGAATAAAGGTGAAAAAAGGTGTTACATTTCAGGCTTATATTCAAATTAAAAAGTAAAATGAAAGTGCAACATTAAACACATGGCAATGCTGGACAGGTACCTAACTTTGTCCTGTCAAAGTTTTGTACCACTCAGTAGACTGATTTTTATTTTATTTGTTAAAATGTGCGATTTGTGGCTGGAAACTCCTAGGAAACCAGTAGATCACCTGTCAATAACTGTCACTTTAACTAACATTTAGGCAAAAATTGTGTTAATAATGGCTGCAAATGAAATCTAAATATATTTTAAATGTGCAATGAGTGAGGAATAGTAGGGACTGTCACAGATGTGATCTTGTGGTTGAGGTGTTTCTGTCTTGAGGGATCGTAGGTACGAGCCCATATTTTGATTAGGACAATGTTTTCTCATACATGCATAATGTCAGTACCGGTCAGTTCTAGAATGTGGACTCAAGAGTGACTTACTCCGATAATGTAGTTGATGACCCCTGCTGGTTTTGGGGTCAATATTAGCAACTTGACAAAAAACATATATTTATTTTACATACTATTTTATCTAGCATTATGATCGTTATTGTAGAAAATTAATGGAAATTAGGCCAGGTCAGCAAATTGATTGTTAGCCTCTTGGAGACAATTTTAAGTAAAATAATATTTATGGATCAGTGTAACTGAGGGGGGGGGGAGTAGGAGAGAAATTTCTCCTCTTGTGCCAAAAAAATGGTTTATCCAAAAAAAAATTATACACATACATTGTATATAAAATTCATAGATGTTTTTTGGGGCTATTTTATTACAAGTCTCATAATGATTTCAACAGAAATATTTACAAATTCAGAGTTAATTTTTTAAAGACATATACAGTTCAAGAGTTCTAGTTACAATCCCAAATCAGATTCTTACATATCAGGTTTTTTGAGGAGAAAATTTTTTTTATATTGAAATAATTCAGAATTAATGATTTCATAGAAAGTTTTATAAATCATTTTGTGAGAAAATTTGTAAAAATGGACTATCATTGCTAATATTTTTATCATTAATAACATTATTATTTTGTGATTATTATTATTATCATAAATACATGTATAATGATAATCATTATTATCTTACCATATAAATTCTTCATGTGTAAAACTGGTTCAAAAATGTTTTATGATATAACTGCTAAAAACAATATGGAGATATCTTGTATACATTTTGGTTGTACAAGTTAGAAAGATGAAAGAGCCTGAAACAATGTACAGAAGGGCACCTGAGGTCTTTTTCCACCAGTAAAGCTGAAAAGTTGCCATATAACCAAAACTGTGTTGGTGCGACGTGTAATGTGTAACCCAACCTCAAAAAAATGTATAGATTTCCATTGGCAACTATAAGTAAAAGTATATACCGGGCTATGGTTGAGCAATATAAACCTGTACAATCAGGAATAAAATCGGCAATAACAATGCTGCCTATACTGGCTTAATATAAAGACGAATAATCATGTAGATTTTGAGATATGATTGTGGAATAAAACTTATCTCATATGTTATGCTGCATGTGACGTATAGATTTTAACTGTGATCATTGACTTTTGCATTGCAACAACTGTAAAGTTATAATGTTTAATGTGATAATTTGTGATTTCATCATTTGTACAATTTATTGTGTCGCCTCTACGGAGTAGTGGCGACATATAGGGATCACTTCTCCGTCGTCTGTCTGTCCGTCTGTCTGTCCGTCCGTCCGTCACAAAACATGTCCGGACTACTCCTCATAAACTACTGGTGCAATTTCATCCAAACTTTACAGAAATGATCAGTACCAAGTCTAGTTGCGCATATTGTCAGCATTTTCCGGTTCAATGATTTTTGTCAGAGTTATGGCCCTTTAATAATTTTTAATTTGAAAGTTTGTCCGGACTACTTCTCTTATACCACTAATGCAATTTCAATGAAACTTTACAGGATTGATCTGTAGCTCAAGTCCTTGTGCATATTGCACGGGTTTTCTAGTTGAATGATTTTTGGCCGAGTTATGGCCCTTTGATAAAAAGGTGTTTTTTTCTGTGTGTTGCCAGATACACAAAAGCTTGTCCGGAATACTTATCATAAACTACTGGTGCAATTTCATCCAAACTTTACAGGAATGATCGGTACCAAGTCTAGTTGTGCATATTGTCAGCATTTTCCGGTTCAATGATTTTTGTCAGAGTTATGGCCCTTTAATAATTTTATTTTTAAAGTTTGTCCGGAATACTTCTCTTATACCACTAATTCAATTTCAATGAAACTTTACAGGATTGATCTGTAGCTCAAGTCCTTGGGCATATTGCACGGGTTTTCCGGTATAATGATTTTTGGTTGAGTTATGGCCCTTTGATAAAAAAGGTGTTTTTTTCTGTGTGTTGCCAGATACGCAAAAGCTTTTCCGGACTACTCCTCATAAACTACTGGTGCAATTTTATCCAAACTTTACAGGAATGATCAGTACTAAGTCTTGTTGTGCACTGTCCGTCTGTCTGTCCGTCTGTCACAAAATTTGTCTCAACATGAAATTGGCCATCATGAGGCTACACATGTGATCACTAATTGCTCTTGTTATTTATTTTTTGTAAACAATTTCTCATTTTGTATCATTGGTGCATTTGATTTCTAAAGCAGAGGCTGTAACATTTAATAAAATCAATAAACTTAAATCATCAAAAATTAAAATTTAAATGTGCAAACCTTTTGTAATAAGAAATATTTTATTTGTATGAAATAAGCTATTTAGCCAGTCTATTGTTTATGCACTCTTCTCCTTTTTCAGTCAAGTTCATTAACTGTTTCGATTCTCTCTAATCAGTTTACTGGGCATCTGCTTCAATGAAGTACATTTGTAATGATAAATATAATGTCATTGTTAATTGCCATATCTTTTCTTTTTTTCGTAAGGTCACATAATATCCAACAAATTACATTATTATCACAAAATTTGTACAAACAACTAGCATTGTTATCAAGAGAATGAATTTGTTTCGTTCTCCCACACAAAAACCAATTACATGTATAAGGTAATTTAATAAAAAACAAAAGTATTAATTTCACAAATAACATAATGTTAATTATAAGGTAATTTAATAAAAAACAAAAGTATTAATTTCACAAATAACATAATGTTCTCACATACCTATCATTTTTCCTGAGATAAATAAATCCAGCAAACAGATATAAATGATACACTGCTATGATAGCAAATATAAGTAGGGCATTATTATGGCCCACACATTTGAGTGATTAACCCTTATAGCTTTAACGAAAAAATGGTATTATAGATTAAACCATTTTCTTTTTTTAATCTTCATAACGTCTCAGCCGTAGGCATTTTCTCTGTTGCCTATTTCTAGGTACAGATGTACTATCTGCAGGTTTCGTCTGCACTGGCTTCTGATCTCCTTAAACATAATCTAAACTTGGACACGTCCCGTGTTATTTCTTTTCCTCTGTTTGATTGTTAGCATAGAACCTTTCATAGCAATGATTATTCAAGGGGTAGGGTCATACGCTGTTTCAAGTTTATTCTGTTGTTCCCAGTTTAATAGCACGCAATCTCCAAGTTTCAAATTATTTGGCTTAGCTCTACGTTTCTGATCAGAATACATTTTGTTTTTCGTTTCGATAGACTGTCCCTGTCTCGTTGTTGTCAAATGTCATTTTTGGTAATTTTTTTTTTTGTGTGTAGTAGTTTGTGGTGTGTTGCGAAAATTCATAAGATATCTACTTAACGCTCTTTTATAATCTTGTCTAGACGCTTTAGCTGTTTTAATTGTTTTTTTGCAGTGGCGCCATGAATCTCTCAACTATTCCATTTGCTTGTGGGTGCAATGGAGTAATTTGTTATGTTTAAATCTTGTATTATCAGCAAATTCTCTGAATGCGCGACTTTGAAACGGAGGTCCATTGTCCGTTTTCACTACCTCTGGATATCCGAATATGAAAATATCGCCTCTAATCGCGGTATGACTGTATCTGCAGCTGTCGATTTGATTCTCTCAACGACAGGAAATCTACTGTATTCTTATATAACAACTAGTAACATGTAACCGTCTGGAAATGGTCCACAAAAGTCACAACTGACTTCAGAAAACACATCTCGTGGTAGTAATGTTGGTTTGATTGGATCTGGAATAATTCTTGTTGATGCACCTTGGCATACAATGCATGATTTACATATTTCTTCAACTATTTTATCCTTATCTGGAAACCAACAATATTCACATAGTAATCCTTTGCATTTTGATTGGCCTTGGTGACCTTCATGCGAAAGCAAAATAATTTGTTTTCGCAGACTTTTTTTTTACATAGCTTAATATACAGTCTGTTTTGGTAGCTTTTGCTACATCTGACAGCTTCAATGCACCTGGCAAAGCATTTTCAGTGATAAAGCTGATATACTGCTCTGCTACTGTGTTTGTTTTGTGTCTTGCATGTGGATGCCTGGAAGGATAATCTGATATCATCATTTTACCTGGTCCATAAACTGTCTGAAAATCATATGTTGTCAACTTCTAATCTTGGTGACTGTATTGTCTTGATATTGTTGTAGATTGACTGAAGTGCAGCATGATCTGTTATCAGTTTAAATTTCTTGCCGAATAAATACAAATGGAAATGCTGAATCATGATAACAGCACTCAAAGCTTCTTTCTATTTGAGAATTGAATTGTATGCTTTGCTTCCATATGATACTATTTTGCCGTTTTGAATACGTATTCCTGAGCATCCAACTGAACTTCCAACAACCCAGAGTTCAATTTTCTTTTTTTTGGATCGAAATATGTCAAGACTTTATCACTAATTAAGGTATCTTTTAATGATGTGAACAAATTTTCTTGGTCTGCAGTCTGTTCAAATTTTACGTCTTGATGTGTAAGTTGTCTTAATGGTTCTGTTAAGCTTGAATAGCATCAAGAAATGAACGAATTTTGGATATTGATTTTGGTCTGTCCATATACTTTAAATTGTTAGGATTGGGTGATTTTCCTGTTGCGGAAAATACGTATCTATAGAACTTGATTTTAGATTGTCTGAATGAACATTTTTTGCTGTTCAATGTAAGGTTTGGATCTTGAAGATGTGCAATAAAGCTAGAAGATTGGCATCATGTTATTCATGTCTTACCAAAACATATGATATTGTCGGCAATATTCAATATGCATGTAAAACCTTGAAGTGCTTGACAAAGCTCGTTTTGTAAAATTATTGGTGCTGCGGACACCGAAATTTAGACATTTTTATAATACTAAAGCAGCCCAATATGTGTCTGAAATGTTGTCATTACACATGATGCTTCATCCAATTTAATTTGATGGAAAGCTTTGTACAGATCTAGACGCGAAAATACTGTTGCGCTGTTTAACGCCAAGATATCAACCACTGTTGTGCAACCATTTTTCTGTTTTGATTACGGTGTTGGCTTTCCTCATATCTATGCACACTCTCACTTCATGTGGAGCATTAGGTTTCAGAGTAGCTACTAAGTTCGAAACCCATGGTGTCGGAAAACCTTTAACCTTTTCAATGATATCCATTTCCTCTAAACTTTTAAGTTCCTTTTTGACTTGCACACGTACATGAAATGGTACTAGTACCTCCTAGGTGGTTGAGCTAAAGGTACAACACTTTCATCAATATGAAACTTAACTTTTCTGTCTTTCAGACATCCTAAGCCTGTGAAAACTTGAGAATATTCATCAATAAGTCCTGAATATGCGTCTTTGCTTTGAACTGATTTGGAACTGATTGTATTTGCAGTAAAATCCCGAGCTCTACCAATAATTCATAACTGATCATTGATTCTTTGTTGCCTCTAACAATGTGAAAATCTTTCGTCTAAAGTCCGACTGCACAAGCAGGGAACATTTGCCTATGAATGGAAGTGGAGATTTCTGTCCAAATGTAGATGCTTTTGTTTTCGTTTTCTTGATTTCTGGACGAATTTTCATTTTCTCAAGGTCGATTTCGCTAATAATATTTATCAATGAACCGTTATCTATCAAGACATAAACATCTACACCATTTAATTTTACGCTTTTCTTTAGCACTTTCTTTTTCCATCTGACATCTTAAATCCAAATAACATGTCGCATTCATTCGAATTGTCATCCGCCATGCTTGCCTCTGATAAAACTTTTGAATTCGACTGTTCTTCATCTACTGATGACGTTTTCTACAGACCGATATAATTTCCATGGTTCTCATTTTTAGCTCACCTGTCACAAAGTGACAGGGTGAGCTTTTGTGATCGCTTTTCGTCCGGCGTCCGTCCGGCCGGCGTCCGTCCGTAAACTTTTGCTTTAAATGACATCTCCTCATAAACCACTGAGCCAATTTCATCCAAACTTCACAGGAATGTTCCTTTGGTGGTCACCTTTAAAAATTGTTCAAAGAATTTAATTCCATGCAGAACTCTGGTTGCCATGGCAACCGAAAGAAAAATCTTTAAATATCTTCTTTTAAACAACCCTAAGAGCTAGAGCTTAGATATTTGGCATGAAACATCTTCTAATGAGTGTCTACCAAGTTTGTTCAAATAAAAGCCCTGGGGTCAAAATTGGCCCCGCCCCAGGGGGTCATTGATTTTCTCTATATGCATATAGTAAAAACTTAAAAAATCTTCTTTTAAAGAACCCAAAGAGCTAGAGCTAAGATATTTGGCATGAAACATCTTCTAGTGAGTGTCTACCAAGTTTGTTCAAATAAAAGCCCTGGGGTCAAAATTGGCCCTGCCCCAGGGGGTCATAGATTTTCCCTATATGCATATAGTAAAAACTTAAAAAAATCTTCATTTAAAGAACCCAAAGAGCTAGAGCTAAGATATTTGGCATGAAACATCTTCTAGTGAGTGTCTACCAAGTTTGTTCAAATAAATACCCTGGGGTCAAAATTGGCCCCGCCCCGGGGGGTCATTGATTTTCCCTATATGCATATAGTAAAAACTTAAAAAATCTTCTTTTAAAGAACTGTAAGAGCTAGAGCTTAGATATTTGGCATGAAACATCTTCTAGTGAATGTCTACCAAGTTTGTTCAAATAAAAGCCCTGGGGTCAAAATTGGCCCCGCCCCAGGGGGTCATTGATTTTCCCTATATGCATATAGTAAAAACTTAAAAAATCTTCTTTTAAAGAACCAAAAGAGCTAGAGCTAAGATATTTAGCATGAAACATGTTCTAATGAGTGTCTACCAAGTTTGTTCAAATAAAAGCCCTGAGGTCAAAATTGGCCCTGCCCCAGGGGGTCATTGATTTTCCCTATATGCATATAGTAAAAACTTAAAAAATCTTCTTTTAAAGAACCCAAAGAGCTAGAGCTAAGATATTTGGCATGAAACATCTTCTAGTGAGTGTCTACCAAGTTTGTTCAAATAAAAGCCCTGGGGTCAAAATTGGCCCCGCCCCGGTGGTCATTGATTTTCCCTATATGCATATAGTAAAAACTTAAAAAATCTTCTTTTAAAGAACCCAAAGAGCTAGAGCTAAGATATTTAGCATGAAACATGTTCTAATGGGTGTCTACCAAGTATGTTCAAATAAAAGCCCTGGGGTCAAAACTGGCCCCGCCCCGGGGGTCATTGATTTTCCTTATATGTGAATAGCAAAAACCCAAATAGCTAGAGTTTAGATATTAAGCATGAAACATCTTTAAGTAAATATCTACAAAGTTTGTTCAAATAAAAGCTCGGGGGTCAAAACTGGCCCTGCCCCAGGGGTGTCATTGTTTTTAACTATATGTGTATAGTAAAAACTTTAAAAAATCTTCTTTTAAAAAACCCAATGAGCTAGAACTTAGATGTTTAGCATGAAACATCTTCTTATGGGTGTCTACCAAGTGTGTTCAAATAAACAAATAAAAGCCCTTGGGTAAAAATTGGCCCCGGGGGTGCTATATACAGGTGAGCGACCTCAGGGCCATCATGGCCCTCTTGTTGTAATCAAGTGATTTATCCAGATCTTGTAAACACTGCATTCTCATTTTTTGTGAAGTAACACCCTGTATAATCTGGCTTTTAATTTCAGAGTCAATGTCTGAAAATTCACAATTCTTAGCGTTCTGATGTAATCTTGTACTAAATTGGTCACTGGATTCCCCAAGCAACTGCTTCATATTACGAAATTCGAATATTTCGAATTGTGTGTTTTTTCTTGGCTTAAAGTATGTTGCTAATCCAATTTTCATTTCCTTGTAGTTTTCATTGTCTTCTTTTAAATTTAATGTATCATAGATATCGTAAATGTCATCTCCTGCATAATGGAGTAACAGTGCTTTTTTTCGTTTTTTAGGGTTTATTCCCAGTCCAACAAAATTAATAAATTTTCTAATTTATCTAATTACTTGTCCCATCGTACTCCAAGAGAGAATTTTCATCAGCATAAACATCGAACTTTGGAAAAACAGGTAAATTTTCCATTTTCAAATCTGCTTTTTCACAGAGTCGGTGTAGATTTATCCACAGTCTTTTTAATATCCAATCCTCGTCGCCAATGTAACATTTATATATTATATTTGGACGGTGTACTAGCACACAATCTAAACAAGACCCGAAGGATGGTTTATATATTTTATTATATGTGTTGCATCCAAGTATACACTTACAAACTCACAAACATCAAGTAAACATATATACAGTAACAATAAAGATATTTTTTTATATTAAAGGTGTGGCTTAATCTTTCTAGTAGACTTGCTTACTACAGAAGCCTCTAAGATGACTTTGTACAGGTTTTTTTGTTTGTGATGATTTGAAATTTGTACAATTTATTGTTTTGTAAACACTTTCTCATTTTGTATCATTGGTGCATTTGATGTTTGCCTGGTTGCAATTTTATTTAAAATTATAAAGAAATTATTGTTATTAAGAATAATAGCCTCCAAGAGGACTTTCTATTTTTTTATGTTTTTTGATAAATTGTAAATAATTTGTACAATATTTTGTCTTTATTCTATTCTTACATTTGAGCCGTGTCATGACAAAACCAACATATTTTGTTTGGGACCAGCATGGATCCAGACCACCCTGCACATCCGAGCAGTCTGATCAGGATCCATGCTGTTTGCTATTAGTTTCTCTACTTGTAATAGGGTTGGTAAGCGAACAGCATGGATCCTGATCAGTCTGCATGGATGCGCAGGCTGGTCTGGATCCATGCTGGTCGTAAACGCACTATGTTAGGTTTTTTTTGTAATTATTCCATTCTTACATTTATTATTGGAAGCTATGAAGTATTTTCATACATTTGCCTCAAAGGTTGTGTAAAAATGTTTTTGATATCGTACCATATTGTACACATACTTTTAGAAAGATATGTATAACATGCCATAAGAATGATATTGTTTACATCTGATTAAATTTGTGCTAAACATTTTCCAGGAGCGGATATTTTCTTCATTTTTTTTTGCCAGGGTATCAGGGGCCATAGACGTCATGTGGATTTGAATTTGGAAATGTCCATTAGAGAAAGGGGGGATATATTACTAAGAGTAGGTATTCATAATTGTTCTTGAACTAGAACTTTTTGCTCTTATTATATTCATCTTTCTATCTTCCATTTATTTCAAACCCTCTTGAGGACATACACATGTATGTGTGTCAAAATTGTGAGATACATGTAGTTAAGATTACATTAAAAGATGATAAAAGTTTTTTAAAACGTTAAAAGTTTAAAACGGGGGCTGGAAAACTAGGGTGAGACATGTTTAACACTTAATCTGCTGAACTTTGCAATGGATATGCCCCGCTTTGAATTTAGAACAGTTGATTTGAAGTTTCAGGGACTTGATTATCAAAATACAAAAATTGAGTTTCAGATGGTGCATGATGTCCTGGCTCAATACAAGGGGCAAAGACTGGTCACTTTTGGTTTCAGCAGGGTAAAAGGAGTCTCTGTGGCTGAACAGTTAATTAAGATAGCTGAGTTTGGTTCATCTGCCCCTTGCTGCATTTGGCCTTCATCTTTAGAAGCTGGCTGGTTGCCATATGACCTTTACAAAGCTGGTGTGACTTACTGTTTGAAGCTATTTACATGCTGCATGTAGTTTTTAACAGTTTGAATTTTGAGGAAGAATATTTCCAAAATAACTGTATGCAAGAAATACGTTTCACCAGTATTTTGCCTCAGAAGCATGCACAGAACCATCCATCAAAATCTACCAATTGGCAGAAATGTTATTTAAAGCATATTTCTATTTCTAGCTCTGGAGACCATCTTGTGCAGCAGACTTATACAACCTGACCATGTATGTAAAGAACAAACTCGAAGATACTCCTGTGGAGTTTCTTTAAAATCTGCCCAGAGATTTCAAGAGGAGTTGTGTAAAAAAGGAAAAAAATATATATATATATAATTATATATTTGTAGCTCTGTTGGTCATATCTTCAGCAGACCAAAATGATAAAAGCAATTTTTGTACGACTACTGCAGGTTCGTTCCTATTTATAAGTTTCATCAGTATTGGGCAAAGAATCAAGGTGGTTTTGTTTAAAGCAAAATGCTGATACCAGACACAAGGTGATCATAATAGCACACGTTGAACACACACTGCTCAGTTAAGCTAAAAATCGCAACTACCAAATTCACTGTTGTTATACATTATTCCATAAGTTTGTCTTGAATGCATAATAATGCTAACACCTCAATCTCAAAAACTTTCCCTTGTTTAACATAAACAAGTTCAAACAAGGGACACTAATCTAAATTAAGTTGAGCAAGATTTGATAAATATTGTTCAATATTTATTACACAAGGTATTTTCATATAAAATACACAAATCACACAAATTTACAAATATATCGATACAAATATGATTATTTATTTACAAAATGATCACAAAGATAAAAGAAATAACAGATTGTTGAAACATAGAAAAGAGATTGAGACATTTACAAAAGACAGGGCAGGTGAAAATAAACACAAATAATGTGGGCAATATAAAAAAACTTCTTCACTATTAAAACTTTTTTTTGGTAGTCTACTTCAACTTAATAAATTATGGTAATTTTACAACTGATTTTTATCATTGGCATGTTTTCCCCCCACTTTTTTTATAAAGATCAAATTTGTTGAAGAACTAAAAAGAGCTGTTTTTTGTTGTTGTTGTTGTTGAGATTCTGGTATAAAAAATAAAATAAATAAATAGACAAAGGAAATTCATTTCATTTACATGTGAACAGCACTTAGTTGAAAGATTTTAATGACTAGTGTAGGAAAGAAAGTCAGTTGAAACAAGATAAAGTCTTGGGATATGTTACTATAATAAAAGTAATACTGTAAAATAAGATTTTTTCGTGAGGCCTAATTTTCTTGAAATCAACATTTCAGACTTATTTTAGGGGTTAAAATTGTACCTTCAGTTCTTTTAAATAAATCAGACACTTCAAAATTTAATACCTTGAGAAAAATACCCGATTTACAGTTTGTATATCATGTCTATGTTTTTTTTTACAAGTCATTGTGTAACCTTATTATGAGATTACCCTCTTAAATTCTGAGAGAGATTTTGTTTCATTGCATTCAGTATATTGTATAGAATGGATTAAAAATAGACATAAATGTTGAATAATTAATCATAAACTTATATCCTCTGAATCTGTTAGGAAAAACGTTTTAACATGACAAAGTAAAAAAGTCCTAGAAGGAAGAATGTTAAGACAAGAAGAGAGTGGATGTGGACCTGTAGGGGTGAAGATTGGGCAGTCTTTCAAAAGTCATTAATTAGCAAGTAGTTTTGCTTATGCACAAACAAAAATTTTATGTGATGCTTATTATTACTAAAAATTGTTCTCAAAATTCAATGTGTAGTAAAATAAAATATAACTCACTGTAGGTTACGTATATGAAAATTAAACACCGGTAAGCACAATGACTCAACTTTTGTATAAGGTATAGTAATAGTATGATTTTAACAAAATTATTTAGATTCTACTTAACATAAATTTCCAAAATTTATAAAGGAAAGATATTCTGTATCACTAAACCGTTGAAACATTACACCCGAGAGTTGGTATTCAATCTTGTCTCTGACAAATAAATGAAATATGAGTTTATTAAAAATATATCCTGTTTTTTTCCCCAAAGTTGTTGTTTTTTCACAATAATATAGGTACTTTTAATATCCACCTTCAGATGACACTTATGAAAAGTTCAAAAATCAATGTATAAAATATCCCTTAGCGACTAAAATACCAAATGATGATGATGTTTTTAAAGCAGATGTATTAACTGTACATCTATTTGTTAGCAGCTGCAGCATTTTTGTTATATTTTTCCACAACAATTTTCTTGTACTCGGCTTGATTATTCCACTGTTCAGCAGCCTGTGCATTTAGAGGACTCTCGTTGTTTGGCTCTGTAAAACAAAATCACATGAATGTAAATGAATGAATAGAATGGAAGCAAATGGATAAATGTTTTCAAACGAAAATCGAAGAAATACACACATTCAGACTGATTTCTCTATTTCACAACAGGGTAAGGTTGTGATTTACAGTAAAAAAACTTTCCTAAACTCAAACTGCGGTATTTGGTTGGTAGAAACCAGCACAGAATCAGTATTAACCAATGAAAATCCAATTCTAGACAGAACTCATAAATAAAGTTTTATAACCTTTAGGCCTGGTCCTGCTGTCTAATGGCAATACAACTTTTACAAAATCAATTAGGGTTGTAATTTTCAACACTGATAATGTTTCGATATATACATAGCACAATACAACAGCCTTTATGATATAAATGCAAAGTAAAGTCCCTGTGATAAGAAGTTACCTTTAATCCTTTAACAAACATACGAGTCTACAACAATTCAATATTATAAGATTTTCAAACACCATGCCTCTAGCTATCCAGCTAGGTTACTGAACAGAAGTAGTTTTACTCAGATGCCTATTTGTGCCAGAAATAAGGTACAGAAGGGCACCTGAGTCTTCCTCCACCATTAAAGCGGGAAAGGCATATGACCTGTACTGTGTTGGTGTGATGTTAAAACCCAACCCATGCCTTCAGATGTATAACATAAAATTTGAAAAATAAACTTAACAATATTATAGCAAAAGTTTAAACAAGAGGGCCATGATGGCCCTGAGGTCGCTCACCTGTATATAGCCCCCCCAACCCCCCAAAACATAGCAGGGCCAATTTAACCCAAGGGCTTTCATTTGCACAAACTTGGAAGACACCCATAAGAAGATGTTTCATGCTAAACATCTAAGCTCTAGCTCATTGGGCTTTTTAAAAGAAGATTTTTTTAAAGTTTTACTATACACATATAGTTAAAAACAATGACACCCCTGGGGCCGGGCCAGTTTTGACCCAAGGGCTTTTATTTGAACAAACTTTGTAGACACTTACTAGAAGATGTTTCATGCTTAATATCTAAACTCTAGCTGTTTGGGTTTTTTCAAAGAAGATTTAGACACTCACTAAAAGATGTTTCATGCTTAATATCTTAACTCTAGCTATTTGGGTTTTTTCAAAGAAGATTTTTAAAGTTTTTGCTATACACATATAAGGAATTTCAATGACCCCCGGGGCGGTGCCAATTTTGACCCCAGGGCTTTTATTTGAACAAACTTGGTAGACACTTATAAGAACATGTTTCATGCTAAATATCTTAGCCATAGCTCTTTGAGTTCTTTAAAAGAAGATTTTTTAAGTTTTTACTATATGCATATAGGGAAAATCAATGACCCCCCGGGGCGGGGCCAATTTTGACCCCAGGGCTTTTATTTGAACAAACTTGGTAGACACCTATTAGAACATGTTTGATGCTCAATATCTTAGCCATAGCTCTTTGAGTTCTTTAAAGAAGATTTTTTAAGTTTTTACTATATGCATATAGGGAAAATCAATGACCCCAGGGGCGGGGCCCAATTTTGACCCCAGGGCTTTTATTTTGAACAAACTTGGTAGACACCTATTAGAACATGTTTCATGCTAAATATCTTAGCTCTAGCTCTTTGGGTTCTTTAAAAGAAGATTTTTTAATTTTTTACTATATGCATATAGGGAAAATCAATGACCCCCCCCGGGCGGGGCCAATTTTGACCCCAGGGCTTTTATTTGAACAAACTTGGTAGACACTCACTAGAAGATGTTTCATGCCAAATATCTAAGCTCTAGCTCTTACGGTTTTTTAAAAGAAGATATTTAAAGTTTTTTCTTTCGGTTGCCATGGCAACCAGAGTTCTGCATGGAATTAAATTCTTTGAACAATTTTTAAAGGTGACCAACAAAGGAACATTCCTGTGAAGTTTGGATGAAATTGGCTTAGTGGTTTATGAGGAGATGTCATTTAAAGTAAAAGTTTACGGACGGACGCCGGACCGACGCCGGACTAAAAGCGATCACAAAAGCTCACCCTGTCACTTTGTGACAGGTGAGCTAAAAACTGGTAACTATGTAACAGTACAAAATTCTTAGTCACATGGTACACTTGCATTAACAGTAAGAATAACTCCCAGAGACCTATGGGAAATTAACATTACGAAAAAAGGGAGGGGTAAAAAATATTTATATCATAAATAAAAACAAATTTCTATTGCAATTCCTGTTATTTCTGATATTATGTATACATATATACATAATAAGTTATACTTTCTGTTTAAATGTGGTGAGTGTATTTCTATTCCTTATATAAAATACTTAACGTATTAACAAATAACAGCTCAATATGATTTCACTTATTATTCAGCATATCTATTTAATTATATATAATAAACAAACTGGTAAACAAATTAACTTTTTTCTACATTTACGTCTTTATGCACATTTTGTATTCGAACTGAACATCTTAAGGTACATTATAGAATAAGGGGTCGAAATGTCCGGTCATTTTAAGGGGTCTATTAGTGTTTAAGGGGTCTAAGTGTCATGGGTCGAGATGTCTTAGGGGTCGAGGTGTCAAGGTGTCAAAGGGTCGAGGTGTCATAGGAACAATCTTGGTGGACATTTACTAGAACATGTTTCATGCCAAATATCCAAGCTCTAGCTCTTTTGGATTTTCACAAGAAGATTTTTTAAGTTTTTACTATATACATAAATATAAGAAAAATCAATGACACCTGGGGCCGGGCCAATTTTGTCCCTAGGGCTTTTATTTGAACAAACTTGGTAGACATCCACTAGAAGATTTTTCATGCCAAATATCTAAGCTCTACCACTTTCCATTTTTTACAAAAAGATTTTTTAAGGTTTTTGTAAAAAAATCTTTCGGTTGCCATGGCAACCAGAGTTCTTTATGGAATTTAATTTTTTTGACAACTTTGGAAGAGCGTCATGCAAGGAATATCCCTGCAAAGTTTCAACGAATTTGGCCAAGTGGTTTAGGAGAAGTTGTTTAAAGAAATTGTTGATGCAAGGACTGAACACCTTGACAAAAACACCATATATTATAGGGATATTATATGAAATAAGGTGAGAAAGTAAATTTTAGAGTGGTTTATTGTTGCTATAAGCACATTGATTATGCGAAGAATTAATTTCTTAATTGATTGGTGAATTATGTACCGCATTATAATCAGAATTTGATATTATATTCCTTTCTTCCCATCAGATGTTGATCAGAATATTTACAATTAAAACCACCCTGCAATTAAGACCACTTTGATCCAGTCCCGATGGTGGTCTTAATTTAGGGTTTTCACTGTATATAGCAGATACGTGTACATTTTTAGAGTATATGTATGCATTTTAAAAAATATGATAATATTTATAACATTGGAATTTAAATAAGTGTTGAACCATGACAATCTACCAAATTACATAAATTATTTCCTATTCTTTATCAATAATGGTAAACCTATATCTTATGAATGAGATTAAAGTAATAGAAAGAGCATCGAAACACAAGGCTATCTGATTTGTACAAGGGGGGGGGGGGGGGGGGGGGGGGGGGGGGGGGGGGGGGGGGGGGGGGGGGGGGATGGGGGGGGGGGGGGGGTGGGGGGGGGGGGGGGGGGGGGGGGGGCATAGCCCCCTGAGTATAAATCAGATTCCCTAAGTGTTTTGATGTTTCTTTCTCTTTTGTATCATAGTCCAAACATAAAAACACGTTCCCTGATGCCACAATATGAAACCCCACAAAAAAGTAACCAATGAAACGAACATCTGAAATATGATATTTCTGTTGCTTTCCCTCTCTCTGTCATCACAATATTAAACCCCGGACAAAATGAGCCAATCAATTGGAGATGCTCTGGAGTGCGGGTAACTAATACCTGCACTCCAGTTAAGGCACTGTGAATGTTATATGTATATAACGTTTTAACTCACATTTTCAAACAGAAAGGTCCCCAAACTATGATACAATCTATATTATCACTCTCTCAGAAAACACAGACCAACAAAGCTTACTGTTTATTACATATTTCTTTTTTCACGCTGCAATATCTATACAGATATTAGTGTGAACAAATAAAATTAATATCCCTTTTTTTTGTGTACAATGATGAAATAATATACTGTATTTCATCAGTGTGATATATCATAATATCACACTCCTTCTATAAACTGTGACCTAATTTTTTGACCAAAAAAGATGACCCATATTTGCCTTCTTTGACCTAGAAATCATCAAAAACAATCTTCCTCAATCAATTTCAAGGATATTTGGATAAAACTGCAGCCAGTAGTGTGTAAAACAAGATTTTTTCTATTTTTAGCTCCTGCGGCCTAGTTTTTGGCACGAGATGACCCATATTCTAAATCTGTATTTCATTGAGACAAACATTTTGACAAAATTTGATTATGAATCCAATGAAAACTGTGAACTGCTAGAGTGTTAAAAACCCAAAATGTTGAAGCCTGGTTTATGAAACCAAGCACGATCTTCCGCGGTCAGGTGAGCCTAAAATATTTCAGTATTCATGGCATCAGTCACATCAACCACTGCAGAATAGGGAACATTACATATGAGCCGTGTCACGACAAACCCAACATAATGGGTTTGCGACCAGCATGGATCCAGACCAGCCTGCGCATCCGCGCAGTCCTGATCAGGATTCATGCTGTTCGCTAACAAACTCTATTACAAATAGAGAAACTGATAGCGAACAACATGGATCCTGATCAGACTGTGCGGATGCGCAGGCTGGGTCTGGATCCATGCTGGTCGCAAACCCATTATGTTTGGTTTTTTCATGACTTGCCTCAATTATACACTTGGAAATGGAAACTTGTTCTAGACTAAAAAAAACAACCTTTCAGCTTGTGGAGAGATAAATATTATTCAGGAAATTTTCCGAAACAAGTCAATTATATTTATTGTCCCCGATGATTACAAAATACAAGGAAATGTTATAAAAATCTTATTCAGTTACTCAAGTTGTCATTTCCCAGTCAGTAAATATAATC